TAAATATTCCGATAAAAATCAGCATATGACTTAACTGGAGTTAGATATAGGACAACTGAAGTTTTTCTCTCTTTGCATCATGGAGCACGATGATGGGTGTAACGGAATGAGAACGATGAACGCCGAACTGAGACAGTCTGCATGCTCTAAAGAGTTTTGTGGATGACTCTGAGGCGTAAGCAACAAAACATTTTTGTATATAGATAACAGTTGCATTTGCTATTGCAACATCTTTAATGAAGTTTGAGCTGGTTTCTAAGTTCTCTATGGTTAATAAGCTTTTATAACGTTCTGTGGAGACAATTGAGAGGGAATTTCCTCAAGAAAATAAAGTTGTTGGTGCTCCATAAGCAAAATCAACATGATAGGACATTTTGAAAAATTTAGTTTAAATCTATTTTCTACCAACCATTTCCGTATTTTGTGATGTCTTTGTAGGGCATTAGCTATCAAACCAGGTTAGAGCGACAGAGATCATTATACTAAGAAGATCGTTAACAAGAATCAAAGGGAGTAGTGGGTTTTAAAAAATACATCGTTAACTTCTGATGTTGACTACCTTCTGTCAACATACACTCTGCTTACATTAATACAGAACATTCAGTTCTTTAAGTAATTTTTGATCCAGAATGAAAATATGTCAGGATTACCCATCTTCACAGCTTTTACTGTGAGGGGATTGTGGAAATGTAGGAACAATACATGAACCAGTATCTTGTCTAGCTATCCTATCCCAGGACCTTTCTTTCCTGAACCCGTTTTAGGCCAAGAATCTTTTCGTCTTTGTAAATGTTTTTCATCAGTTGACCGTTAATCACCATTTTTATTACCCATGGTAGTACTGTGCCATGATCACTATATCGATCTGTGTCAGTACATGAACTTCTTCAACTGGAAGCTTATCACGTAATTTTGGGTTGTTTAAACAACAAAACTATCCGTCTTTCACTCATTTCGTTGCATCGATCACATTTTAAGTGGAGCCTATAATTTCGGTAGCATCCATGAGCTTCTTGAGGAACCAGTCACTAAGTATATCGCTTTTCTTAATGTGATTTGGGAATGAAGTGGTAAATACCCCATACATGAACGATTGTTCAGACATTTGTTGAGATAGTAGTGATTATAGGATAGTTGTTATTGTTCTTGGACACACTGATCATCCTACCTGTGTTCAATCACTTTTTACACACATTTTTCAGCAGCGTAAAAACAAGATCTGAGCCAAGCACTTAGTTGTGTGATTTATCGTTAAGATTTCGTTTATTATAAATACTTATGAATTTTTGCCGGTGTATACAAACATTTATGGATTTTTATGAATGTTTGTCTGATTACACTGTAACGCTATTGGTAGGTACTTTATCTTCAGTTCAAAACATCTTTTATATTCATGTACAATGACTCATATACATATATCTTTTCATTCGTTAATACACACTTTGTCTTTCTGATTTTTCCTTTCGTTTTCAGAAGGAGAATAAGCTTTTTTGAAGAAAAACTCCTCGAACAGCACTTTTTGTTATTCCTACATAGTTTAAATTAATCGCGAAAGTACTTGCATTGATCAGAATTGCGAAGTAATACAAACGAATTAGCTATAAAAATCTTTAAACTAAGAACCAATAAAGTGGAATTGATCGGACAGTCTCTTACTTTTGTGTGTGGTTTGGAGAAGGTCGGTCATTTTGTCAGTGGCTAGGGTGTAATGGAGTTTGCTATATTCAAGCAATGACTCCTTCAGTCTCGCCTTCGGGCATTCCTGTATAGGCTCAACTAGTGGTTGTGAGTATAGCTTCTTTCGATAGAAACATAGCATTGTGTTTCGCTTTCGTCGATTCTGTTAATGTATTTTTACTACAGTCAAAACAAATTTCAGAAACACATGGGCGACTTAACATGAACCATAAGGATTGAAGCGTCTCAAATACAGTAGAACCACCTATTACAAAAATGTCATTCTAAAGATGAGTATCGGGTCCTAGCCAAGGATACAATTGGCGTTGTTGAATTCTTCTCATGTAGAAGGCAGTAATTCTGAAAGATCTGTTTTGTGTCTCCTATATTCTTATTATTTCTTTTCTTGCCAGCATTACAAATTTGAATCTTTGTTGGGTAGTTGTACATGATCCTTATTGAGTTAATCAATTTCGGTGTCAAAGCTGTGTGCTTTGCCTGCTTTGTTCTCGGATTTTTCACAAGAATTTCTTGTGTTCAGTATTTTAGCAGGAGATTTCGTGCGATACCAACAACGTTTCCTTATGTTCCGTGATTTGAAGCGATTGAGTCTGTAGACTGTGAAGTTAAAGCAATTAAGTAGAGCAGCTGATCGAGGCAGTTAAACTCAACACACGATTTTTCAGCCTCGATTTCATAAAGGTACCATGTCAGGATATCATGACTTCTGCCAGCAATGAAAGATGAAGTTGCTGTTCTTAGAAGTCGCTAGATGTTTTAAGTTGCCAGTGAAAATTGAGGTTTACTAGTTATTGGTGGACAACCTGAGCAGTGATGTCGTATTCAAGCAGCCAATAAATTTATTCAAATGAAGCATGAGAAAATAGCATGGAACGTCATAGCGTTTTGCACTTTTCTATGACTCTATAGCTCTTCCGCATCGTGAAATTGGTGCATGAGCAGATAGGTGTACATAATTTTTTTCATATATATATATATATATATATATATATATATATATATATAAACATCTTTCTTGCAATAAAATTATTCCTTCTGTGTCACGGAAACAAGATAACCTGGCAACTTGGTTGGATTGAGCAGTCAGGTAGAGTCAATGGATGGAGTGGTAAAAATGTAAGACAACCGGTTACGACATTTAAATCTGATAAGATCTGCGTTCCATATACTAAAATCTTCGTCTTTGGGTCCAAGTATACCCACATCAAGATGAACCCAAATTTTTAAAATGTAGCTTTGGGTTCTCTCAATTAATTTTTACACACTAGTTACTTCGCCTTTTGGGAGGTAATTCTTGCAAGTATGAAAACACTAATCTTTTAACAATATCTAGTAGGCAGTGACTCTTCATTACGATGGTGTGGTAAGTAGCTACTGGCACAGAATGCTATCATTATCATTGACTTCAAATAGTCTTGTAGGGTCAGTAAAATTCACTGAGCGGTCCCCGAATAATCTGGCAATCGGATCAACGAATTTCGAACAGTTTGTCGATCCTCGTCAAGGTTAAAAAACCAACGCGCATCAGATAATCGTACTCCGTGTGGTGGTGGTCTTTTTTCGCTTGTACCTTCTCTAACTAACAAATTTGCGTGATAATACCCATTGTGTTATACGGTCCTCAAAGAGCAATGGTGCCTGGCTACGACTAAGCGGTAAACCACGTTAGGTGCCGACCGTGAGGTATGACTTCGAAGTTAGCCATTGGTCACATCATTCTCGTCTAACACAAATAGGCCCCCAATGATCCGACATAGATCATCTATGTTGGTGATCTACAGTCTTCTGATGACTAACTGTCAACGGCTAATTCCAATCCTGCCGTTATTAACAAAGGACCTTTACAAACGCGTTTTAGTGTTATTATCAGCCAGAAACTTGACTAATTTTGATAAACCCCTTTATCTTGTAAAAGATGTGCTGTAAAATCCACGGACACTTAGTGTGTTTGGTTGCAATGGTTGGCATACCATTTTCTGAAATGAGAATCAAGATGAAGAAGTAAACAAATTTTTAAAACAAATAATTCTGCAATTTATACGAACATTCGTCAAGACTATAATGAATAGTTTGGCAGAAATTGAGCGTCGAGTTTAGAGAAGTCATTATATGCGGAAATTATATTTGAAATAATCTCAGCGATTGAAATTTAAGTAATTCCAGCGTTTCGTCCACATAAGTTAGCTGAACGAAACGCTGCAATTACTTAAATTTCAATGTCTTAGATTATTTCAAATATAATTTTTACATATAAGTAATACTCCTGTAAGTTTCTACACTGGTGCTAGGCTTATTAGTTTTGCTTGACACACCCTAGCTGAAGACTCTTGGTTATGCTTCTGCCTCTGATCGCGAGTAGCTACACCGTGCCACACATTTTTTGCGACCGCCATCCAAATTAGACAGAACGCTTCTAAATATATTAACAGCCTTCCATACATATCTTCTAACTGCTTCATCTTCGAATCTTGGTCTGACTGAGATGATATCCTTTGATTATCCAAGTGTTACAGACAAAAGCATTGTTAAAGCCTGAGTAACTGTGGTATTCTTATGATAATGTGTAGAATTCAATAACCGGAGATTATAAGATATTTTGAAAGGAAAAATAAAATTATGTAATTTTTTGGGGAATTCAGTTGCATTTAAGATCTGGACGCTCCTGTTAATGGGTTTCTGAATACTTCATTATTGCGGGCAGATTTGTACAGTAGTTTTTAGCTAGCCAGGTTTTCAATAAGTATTCCTGGTATTTCATCACCCTGCGTTACTTCATCGGCAGTAATAGTAACAAATATCCTATCTTTGTTTTCACTATTGAGGGCACTACTGAAAAGACAACAAACCCTCAATCACTAAGACACTACTGTTGTAAAAATTTTTGATCATTTGTGAGGTGCTGGTTAGCAGCACTTAAATATTTGCGAACACACAACGTTACATAATGCCACCGTACTCGATATTCATTTTGGAAGCGCCGGTGAGCACGATGAACACATTTTAGTTATTTTTGATAAGTTTTGACTCGTTTAAAAGTAACCAAATCTTCTTGAATTCATATCATTCGAAGGTTAAAAGTCAGGATCAGCACGTAAATAATGAAATATATAGAATTAATACATCTTAATTGTAGTTCTTTACATACTTGTAGACAAGTTACAAATATAACTTTACAAGGTATCTCTACAAATTTTTGTTTTTATTAGGCAAATAACTAATAGAAGAACTAGTATTTTTTTGTTTCATCCATATTTATTTGAAAAATTGAAAGTTGCTAATTGCGTATAATATTCGAAGCGCACGTACTTTAATCTCTAGGTCGTATTTTCTTCATATGAGGGTTCACCAAGTAATAACAGGTTCATGCAATGGTGGTTATTCACATATCGCACAAGCAAAGATTCGGGGATCTAACTACGTCGTTGGTTTTTTGTTAAAAACTTGACTTTTTTCTCAAGGTGTATGCCAGCGGGTGCGATGTAGTTATTTTGAACGAGTCGTTTTGTCGCAGTCAGGTGATTTCTGGGTGTGAGTTAGGAAACTCCGTTGTAACAGCTGTTGCTTTTAATCACCATTATGGAAAGGTTTGATATTATCTAATAGATACCTTTTTCGTAGATTGCCATTGCTAACGCTGATGGAATATTTATTTACGTACCTCAGGTATGTAAAGGGGTTTATATTTACATGAATATATTTAGCAAAGCCTAGAAAGTATCGTTTATTTGTTTTTATTGCATCATATGGTATTTTTTAAGGCTCCATAAACTTTATTTATAAATTATATGATTGTTGCCACGTTTACTGTTACTATAATAAAATTATTAGTCACCATCATTCTTTGTCGGATCGTCCATCTTCAGACTTTATTTGAGCATCTGTCAACTAGTGCATGTAAGACTAACTTCAGATGCATTTTTCGCTTGTTGGAAGGACGGTTTACTGTCTGAAATAAGCACCACGCAACCAGACTGAACTACGGGAGTTGAACTACTCATCGTTCCAGTCACCTCGTGAAGTAGTTACCGTTCTTTATTTACGTATCAATTCGGTGCAACCAACTGAGGTAGATACCTCAGTACATCGGAAGTTGGTCGCGCAATTTCGTGGATTGGTTGATGTTAGAAACTATCATCATTGGGTGCCGACTCAGTGGTCCAGTTGGTTAAGCGTTCGCACGCGAGACCGGGGGCCCTGGGTTCGAATCCCGCGAGCGGGATCGTGGATGAACGCTGCTGAGGAGTCCCACAATAGGACGAAACGGCCGTCCAGTGCTTCCAGGTCCTCAATTGTGATGGTCTAACATCAATCGGTTCGTGATCTCAATCAAAAACATCTACTGTATTTTCCCTGATCATAAAACCAGACTTTCGTTGAATAAAAATAAAATAAAGGTGAATTTGTGTTTAATCATCTGATTTTGATACATATTAGTTAGTCTGAAACCATTAATTATACTTATATTTCACAGTCAAGACATGAAGTTTGTATCTTTGTATACAAATCAAACCAGTAATCACTGACTTTATGAATTAATATAATGTCCTAGTCTGGCAGTATTCAAATCCTTTCACGTTAGCTAATCATCAGCACTAGTCTAAACGGCGAGTGAAACTTGTATAATTTGCTCTGATCACCTCAGTCAGTGTTGAAATTGCATAGTAAAACGAGTATATTGTCCGTATATTACTGATTGTTAGAATATGCCACTTTGAAAGCTACAGAATTCTTAGTTGTTGCCCATGAACTACTCAAAAATTATAATTAAGAGCCCTAGATGGAAAATTTAGAACTCGTCACAATGTGGCTGAACTTTGAAGAATCTTAGTTTCCACAGGTGTCAAATTTAATCAAATAAATTATCACTTACATTGTATTTTAATGCATGTTTCCGTTCATCTGTGGGTTTTCTTTGATATCTATATTTAGTAAAAGTTTGTTGGATTACTGTACAATGTTTCTATGTATCATGCAATAATCTTTCCCTATAGGGAACAACAGGAAATGCGCTTACTAACTCGTTAAAACTATTTTGGTCGTTCTCTGATCACTTATCATTACCATCAAAAGCGGGAGTTTCATGCCTTTCCTGGTCTCATAGACCCTGTTTTCAATTTCCAACTAGTGGCTTATTGGCAGGCCTTAATGATGGAAGCTTATTTATGTGGCGATCAGGTGTTACAGGCAATATCACTGAATCAACTCTTCGTTTTCACATCGGAGCTAACTCAACAGGTTCAGAATATGGTCTTGACTCTGATCCTGTTCCTAAGAAATCTCTGTCAACAGAAGTACCGAGTAAATGGGAAATTGTATGGTGTCATCGACTAAACGGTATCGTTTTCTTTCTATTATTCTATTTGTCGTTTTTCATAATCTCTAAAAAACTTGCATGACGATTTTTCATACTCAGGTTTGACTTGTATGTTTAGACAGTTTATTTTTCAATAATAATAATAATAACAGTAATAATAATAATAATAATCCTATTCGTTTAATCAAAATACATGACAAATGTTTGTACTAGTCTAATTTTTTACTGTAAGTGTAAGTATGCTTTCTCAACTTTCTTAACTTTAGTGGAAAAGAATCTCTTTAGACATAATGGTCTTACCGATTAAGGACTGAAACTTTGGCTTCAAAATTGACGAATCTTCGTTGATATATTTGGCTCCATTTGCATCCTTGTGCATATTATTTATTCTCTATTCTACTGATTTGTAATGTAACCATTGTATCCACCTAAATATCAAGCTAAACAATATCACGATTACAAATTAACCGATGATCACTTTGCAATATGTATTAGATAAAGCAATTTTTTCTCTGAAAGACTTACAATGCTATGAATGAAACTGTAGTTCATTAAATCACTTGCAACGTCATATAGACAAACTATAAGAATGTAGCTGTTTTAATCAAATTTATCTCTCTTTAATCTGTTACTAACAACCTTTTAATGAACTAAATGTATCGATTCACCAATTATTAATGGAAGTGATTATTTTTTTGCTGAACTAACTTCTTACCGTTATTTAGGGAATCTGAATGATATTTGTTCTATATTTCCGAACTAATAGTTGAAATGTTTTGTCTCACTTATCCATAAAACAATGACACGAGTCACAGCCAACTGGATTTATTGCATCTTCCTTCATCTGAATATCTAGTGTAGCTTTGTTGCTTCTCCACAAAAAGCTATCTAACTGATATTGTTGTTCTATGACTCGCTTAGTTGCCATTGACCTTGTATTACTATTTAACTGAAAGAAGCTTAGTTTAATTTATTGTATTAATCATGTGTACGTAATTTCTTTTCATTCAGGAACTCCTCTGCAGGTTGATTTCAGTCCAGATGGTTCATACTTTGCCACCATTACCAAATATCATGATAAGAGAAGTCAACATAATGATCAAAAGTCTGATACTGAAATGCATGTATGGTTCCGTGATCCTTTCTCTGATTTGATTCCATCAAAACACAGTTATGATGAACAGTTTCGAATGACTGAAAATTGGGAATCTATCTTCTTACCGCATCCTTGTAATGTTTGTTCGTTTAGCTGGCGCCATACCAGCAGATATCTCCCTAGGTAAGCTAATTTAATTGATCAGTTAAAGCTAGTTTTATCTAACTGTATCATAGTTTAGACATTTCTTACAACTTGGTAGTTATTTCAAAATAAAGCACCACTATTTAACGGTCTGTTTTTTAAAGTCATTAAGGAATAAATAACTAAGATACTAGCTTAAATCTTGATACCGGAATTATTCTCACCAAACTAACCTCAGTTAGAAATTCAAGTTCGTGAAAAAACAGAAATCTCACGATAATCGCAGTGAAATTAGTGACTAACTTACACTTTAAAATCATTTCGTTAATAACTACTCAATACCTAACTAAAACTCAAAAACACGATTTTAATGATCAAATATTAAGAAAGCGGATAAATTTGTATCAATCAGATCTTAAATTTACATCGGGTTCTGGATTACAAGTATATTCACCGTTGCCATGCATTGGCCAACTTTGTTGACCTGAAGGTAGCATTGGATTTTGTCGATTGAAGATTATGGTATAGTATATATTCTAGCTTTAAGAAATTTCCGTAATGTCACAGTTATGTGAATGCTTACAGGTGATTATTAAATAAGGTGATTTCAACGAACGATACTTACCTGAAATATTCACTGATTTGATTTGTCTTCAATTTTAAAAAAAATATCAATATGTAGTCAACTTTATTTAGCTCAAACACTTCTAAAATCTACCTTCCATCAAGCTAGTTATTTTCTACCTAGTCTAGTGCGCTGAAGATATAGTTCTGCCGAAAAAAGCAGCTGACACAGTTAAATATCTCTTAAACCCTCTAAACGTACGTTTAAAAGATGTTCAGCATACGTTGTCGTTTGTTGAATTTCATTTTCTTGAAAATTTGAAATAAGTCGCCAAATTCAGTTTTTCATTAATACAAACCAGGTTACTTTTTCTAACTAAATTATTTACGACTTTGAGTGTCTATCGGCTTAAAAATTCATCTTGTCTACTGAGCAATTTTGCACAAGACTACATGTTCTATGAAGAATGCTGGTCAGTGGCCTATGCTCCTCCACAAGGGGTAACAGGCGTAGGTATGTATATATGTGTTCTGTTCCCAAGGTATAAAATTCTGTTTTTTTTTCAGTGGTTGGATAGCAAATGTATTATTAACCGCGAGTGAAGATAATTTATGTCGTGTATGGATTGAAGTTTCAACAAATCATTCTAATTTATCAAACACATACAAAGGTATCAATTCTTTACTGTCTAAATCAATTTCTAAGAATGAACCAGAAATTCCAGTAAGCAGTTTTTACTTACATATATACATTACATGTTATTTTTTATGGTTACAGTTTTATGCCATTCATTACTTCTTTTAAAATCATTTTATTTATGCCGAATCTTTTCTACTGTCACTTTTCTAATCTACCATTTGTTTTGATAATTTCATGTCTTTATACTAATGTTATGTGATAATTTAATAGTTGAATTGACGAGTCAATTGAAACTAGACCACCATGGAAAACCTGGAAGCACTGGACGGCTGTTTCATCCTAGTATGGGACTCCTCAGTAGTGCGCACCCATGACCCCACTCCATGAGACTGTTAGGTCCTGTGTTTGAATCTCACGGGGCGGGGTCATGGGTGCACATTACTGAGGAGTCCTATAATAGGATGAAACAGCCGTCCAGTGCTTCCAGGTTTTCCATGGTGGTCTAGTTTCAATTGACTCATGATCTCAACTATCGTGATTACAATTTGTTTATTTATTATGATTGTAGAGTTAAATATACTTGATTGATGTTTTATAAATATTCTGCTAATTCTATCAGTATTCTCATTTAATACAAATTTTCTAGTTTTTATAAAAGTTGAAAGATTGAATGTGTTAAGACTAATTAATTCAGGAAATTGAAAAAAATTCTTCACTAATAGTGTACACCTTTATGACATTCATTCGAATCGAGACGAAATAGATGTTCAATGTTATCTGAACATTTTATCGTATCCTAATTGAAATCAGTCAGTATATGTCCTGACTGTTGCTGCTACATTTACATGATAGTTGGGCTTGCCTATCATGATGAACCAATCGGACTATAATGGCTGAAATAACTGTTCCTCATGGTTCTACCATGCTAGACAGGTTGGTTGAAGAGGGGTAAGACTAAAAGTATCAAGCTTTAGGTCTGAGGGCGAAGTCGTACTGCTAACTGTACAGTCGTGTGACGTCAGCAAGGTGTTTCCTTCAGAAAACCAGCATTAGCAGTGATGCTACCTTCCCACAAGGAAGGGTGTGGTTAGAAAATGTCGACCCTAAAAATGCACACCTTATCCCACGGATTTCCGTCTCTGGAAATAAGGTCACAACAATTACAGAGCTAACACAAAAAGGTTGTGTGTGACCGGCTTGAAGCAGTTGTCCCTTGGGCACTGCGGTCACGCTCTCTGGTCACTAAGACCAATTCTAACCCAATTTCCTTTTCAGGTAACTCTCTAAGAACCCTTCCACTGTATGGGCAACGGTGAAGTGAAAACTGCCCTCATACCTCTAACAACACTAAAGACTGAGACAGTATATGTTAACCGCTAGAAAGCAGATATAGTGAACCAATAATAATCGCTAAATGATCAGGACTGTTCTGTAAGTAAGTAATGAATAGCGTTAGATGTATGTGCGGAAAATAAAGGTTCTCTTATGGTAGTTATATGAAGATAAATCTAACAGATTGTCTTTGAAATTCAAGTATCGCCAATCAATCAAACATTAATGAATAAACAGCACTGCTAGAGTTTTGTATACATCAGGTTTTTCAGTATCTAATAAAAATCTATTCGACTTATTGTGGTCGATAACATGAGTGAATTCGAAATAAAATATTATTATCAGAATAGGGTTGTGGAGATTATTAAGTTATTGATTGAGATCTTGAACCGATTGATGTGCCTGGTCCTACGTTGTAGCTGACTGACTGATGTTAGACCACCATTGGAAACCTGGAATCACTGGACGGCCGTTTCGTCCTATTGTGGGACTCCGCTGGTGGTCTAACATCAATCGATTTAAGGTCTCAATCAATAAAATATCATTCGTAGGACAGACGGAATAAAATTCACAGAACTGCGACATTATACAAGAGTTTATTTAACAATTTGTAAAAGAAATTTCCGATGTCTTCTGGTTTCATTCACTAGCATTCAAATGTAACCAGTCATCGTCTTCTAATTCCTCTGAGACTAGGTATAAAATCATCGGATATCTGTCATCATCCTAAGTAGCATGTTATCCAAATGAGACCAAATGTTTGAATTCCAATAAATGATAGTCTAGTTTACTAAAATTCATTATTTGTAACCCTCCAGTTTGAACATAGAAATTTTGTTGCTCAATACCCTCCTAGATATCATCTACTACAATGAAAGTACGCCTACCTTTAGGTCATCTGACCGATATACCATTCAAAACGAAAAATACAAGTGATCCAGTCAATCAGTCGCATGAATCTTCAACGCAATATCTCACTTTAGAACTACCTAATTGTTTTTTAACACATCCAATTTTAAAACATTTTCTAGATTTATGGTAAGTTATTATTATTTCTCAAATACATGGTTACTCTTAATAAATAGTCAATTCTACATAGATTTTGTAAGGTGGTTAATCGACAGGAAACCCCAGACATAGATTTCGTGCTATTTAACTTTCGTCAGTACGATGTACCTGTAATGTTGGGGAACTGATGTGCGCTGAAGGTTTTGATCCCGTATCATCCAGTTACATAACCAGAGACGTCACTACTGAGTCATCCATACCATTAAGAAACATGTGTCATACATGATGTTGTTCAGTACCCAGTGATCAATCAACTGTAAACTTTAAAGTTTATTTACTAAAACCCAGAAATTTAAAAGTTGAAATTTGTAAGGTATGATGAATGAATGCTCTTAGGATATTTGAAATTCACTATGTATAAGCAACTTAAGACGTGGCACACATGTCCATCGGTTCAACTTGTCACATCATATCAGCACGGCGCGATAAAATTCTTTAGTGAATCTGAATATATATTTCTAGGTTGTATCTGTCTACAATGAGCTGTTTCATGATTTTTTGATCCCGTTGTTATTTTAAAACAATCTTTCAATTTCTTGATTATTTTGTATCAGGGGACATTGGTCTCAGCCTCAATTCCATGTGGGTTTGTGGATGTGCTGTACTGAGAACACAAAATGTTGTCTAGTAGTTCTTAGTTTTCATTGGTTATCTAACTAGGATCAGTTTGTGATGTAAACGATAAAATTTAACAATCTCCACAAATCTCTCACTAATTTTTAATTAACTTTATTATGGACGTGTATATTCAAGGTTTTATTGTGTTGTCGGAAGAAGCTCCGATTTGTTAGTTCAACTTGTGTTTGTGCCGTCAAATTTTAATTATGTTCCTTCCACAGAATAAATGGAATGCGGATAGTAGTAGAATCCAAGATACGCGTTTCATCCTATTTGCAACTTGTCAGGTGGATGTAATTGTATCCCAGAGTTGATGTTCATTCCAGGACTTGAGCCCAGTATCATTTCAAATTGAATTGTATTCCTCATAGTTTATATAATAAAGTCATCAGAATATGTAACATAAAGTACTCATCTCAATTTTAGGATAGATTTTATCACGAATTGTTCTCAAGGAACCATAGAGAGCTAGATAAATGTTTCGTTCAAGTTTAGAACTTCATATTATCATAGTGTACACGTTCAGCATCTTGGTCAAAACTTTCAAACAGGCCTTATAACCAACACAAAACACTTATCTAGTAGTCTATGTTTTTCTGTAATCAACCAGCCAAAATTAATCCATGATAAACTTAATTGCACAATTTAGTTAAGCTTCAAAACTAACCGACCAATTAACTAAACTTGATCTGAATTCGTAATAAGTGACTGTAGATTACACAATTTGATTTATGTCTCATTTTTCCCAATGTTACTTATATTTACATTTTTATTACTAAAACATGATATAATCAAGGTTGACTGATCCTTTGTCAAACATTGAAGTGGATTATGGATCACAATTATCATCGTCTACAATAAAAATAGATGATAAAAAGTTTAACTATACACAAAATATATTTCCACAATTTGTGTTTACCACATCTTTACCATTGGATTCTTTCCCGGAATTATGTAATCTCTCATCTGCAAATAAGTAAGTCTATGATCACTATTTATATATATATCAGCTGTAGTGATTTAAAATCAATTGTGTTGAGATTTTAGTGTTGATTGGTAAATTAATCAGATTAACTTGATAGAAGAACTATAATTCATAGACGAAGTAATCAGATTTAAGGTAGAATCTCCTGGGTTCTTACACGAAATTCATTCATCATCTATATGGCTTTATTTATTTATTTGAACACATAAATATTGATACAAAGGGTCAACGAATACATATGCACCATACAAGTCACTTGGTTTGTGTTTGAGCTGTGATACTGTCCGGGTGCCCAAATCGAAGTAGGTGGCTTTCTTAGGGGGCCACTCCCGGAGCCTTCGAATTAAAGGTCTGATCCACAAGGCAGTGAAGCAGTGCTAGGAGATGTTTCCTTAGGATCCTGGGTCCCATGTACACCATTGGTTTGGAATCAAAAATTCCCAACTGCCCTAGGTGAACCCTTCGTGTCCACGAACCCGGTTAAAGCGCCGGACATTCGCTTTTCGTCCTCTCAATTTCGTAAACAACACCCGTGGTGTGAGAAGACAGTGGGTGTATACGATTGGTTATGTAAAAGCATTTCGAGAGGGAGAACTGATTCTCCTCACCCTCGGCTTTATCAGAGCATTTGGGGACTAAATAATGTCCTAGCATTATAGTTGATGTCATTTTGTGATGAGAACCCTAATTTTAATTCCAAGAAAACTAATTTCTAATACTAGATCTCCTCACTAAATCAGACTTGGGTTTCTCAAGGTCACTTCAACACCACGACCTAAAGGTTGCCCGTAAATTACGGTCTCACCAACTCGAATTTACTACTTTAATTGAAAAATATCCAAAAGTTAACTGGATTAAATTCAACGAAATAAATAAACTTCATGTTCGTAATGGAAATCAATCAATCACATAATTATGGTTTTAGATTCATATAAGTAGTAAATAATAACCAGTCTGATTCATAGGTCTATATCTTACAATAGTTAACATTATTCGCTTATGAAAAAAATATCTGTCGAATTGTTTTTTCTTTGGATACAAATGGTTAAAGAAGCAGGAGTTAGAAACCAATTAGAGTGTAAAACTTGTGACAGCATTTCTTTTGCCTCAGCTTTATTGTTTTCATTTTAAATATATAAGAAATGATAGTTACATATGAACCGTTGGTCTCCAACATACAGTGATCTCATGTTCTCCTTAGTAGGATGAAAAGAAAATTGTCATATATATAAGAAGATAATAACAAAATAGTCAATGATTGAAATGGCTTCACACGTCGGTAGGCATTCTTTATTTTAGAAGTCAGCTTTGAAGTCTTTTATTTCATTCCCTTTTTTTTCTTGTTTATCCACAACTAAAACAAATACTACTTTAATACTCTATAATTTTATGATAGTTCACAAGTTGGTCGACTTGTTGTTCATTGGTTCAATAATAAAGAATATCGTTTGAGTACACAATTGGAATCGTTTTTAAAGGATACAATATCACGAATTTTAGCTATCCCAACTCATATTGGTATGTATCTAGTCATATTCACTTTTGTTTTCTATCATTAATATTGTAAAATGTAACTCAATATTCAAGTTAACAAGTTTCATGCAACTGATTTATTTGAGCTATAGTTACTGTGTTTTGGGTTGATGTTATTGATAGTGTATTTTATAGAATGACCCTTAATGACCTTGAAGTGGTAGTCAATTACAATAGAGGTGCTGTAAATGAATAATTTATAATATAAAGACTCGAATAAACTTAGGGTTGAGAGTGAAAGTATGAGTCTAGAGCCAGAGATTTTGATGGAGACTACTTGGTTGGGGTCCGCGTGACTATCGTAACCAATAGTTGATGACTCTGGGTGACATGGTTCAGAATCGATCACAATGGTATAGGTGTATACAGTCTTTGTCTTCCGTTAAACCGTGAGATTAGATTTGCTTCATATCTTTCTTTCTACGAACTGATTTGTTCTTCCTGTATTTCATCCTTATAAACAATCATTATTTTATATATTACTATCATTGAAGTAACTACTTCTATAAATTTGGTGTTGATCTTGTTGTGCTAATGAGGTGTGTTAACTTGGACCGATGCATATATGTGCCTGATCCTACGTTGTAGCTGGCTTGTTATTAAGTTGGTAGAATTTACATGTCTACTAAATCACCAACTCATAAATAAAAGAGCGTTCATATGAATCCAGTACAAATATCAAAGTTTGTCTTCATAAGAACTTCAAATCAGCTTAGAAATATACGAAAAACCAGTAAGCATTGAACATTTGTGTTCTGGCATGAGATTGGTTCATTTGAGCCTACAATTATTTTTAACAACGATTGGTCTATATATTCTCTTAACATGAAGAGGAACTAATACGAACTCAATAATAATATGGCAACTGACACACGTAACTCATCAACAGCAATTCCCATATAATGGAACCGAAGAACACGATAGGAATGCAGAAAAAAGACTAAAGGGGAACAACTTCGTATATACGACAACAAAACATGACCTTGGAATATTGAAAAATTGGCAAACTGAAATTAATGACAACTAATCACGAAACAACAAAAGTCATGAAGAAATATAAATCAGAAAAGATATATTACTGTTACCGTTGCTGGAAAGAACTATTGAGTTCGACCATATAACGAAGATAATATTCACTTGGTGTTATAAAGTCAAGAAATGACCGGAAATAACAAACTGACGTGTATATATTGAAGTATTGAACGTATGGTTTTCACATTTGATGAAAGAACTCTGTAGTTTTGTATCAAAATGCAATCGGTTTTCGCCCACTTGTGTTCTCGCTGCCAACCGGGAGGCAGAGATCGAGAAGTTCGGCGGACGCCGTTGTGGGGCCAGGAGAGGAGGCACTAGTTGGGGCAGTCTGATACGGGAAGGCGACGTCGAGTGGAGTGTTCTGGCAAGGTGGCGTTGACTGTAACGGTTGCTGCCGACGGAGTAAGGTAGTGAAGCGTGCGGCTGCTGGGTGGAGATCGGATGTTGATGGCTCGGCAGGCCGACATTGCCACGGAGGTCAGCGCGCCAACGGACTCGACATCTTAACGGGGAGCGTGACAATTTTGTTACTAAATTTAGCATACTTTCCGAAATTTTCAAGATATAATGTTTACCCATAAATTTATAAATACCATTGTTTTGTATACATTATCTAACCTTGGAGGGAAACCTCTTTCCTTGAATTGCACTTTATCGTTCAGAGCTCAAAAGTTAGGGGATTAAGTAGCGACTAGGAGGTGTTCGAGCGCCAGATAAAGTAAAATCAAATCTTTTACTTATTAATTTTAACTATGTTCTTTTTGCAAATTTATTATACATTTTAGCTCTCGATAATACATCCAATATCAATAACAGTAATAATAATTTCATGACTCCAGAATTGTTAGATCAAATAGCTTTGATGGATCAGACTGTTTTTCGATTATTAAGTGAATTACAACATGCCCCGGATGTCGCATTTGCAATACATCCTCTTGATGGAAGCCTTATTGTTTGGTAAGTGCGTTGCGTTTTGTTTTCCACTTCTCTTTGTGAGAAGTAATAACATACTTCAGTTATAAGGGTTTGGATTTTCTCGTTATGAGCATTAAAGACAATCAGTTTCTGTTTACATCTCATGAATATCTTGAGCGAAATGCTTTGTCATTGCTGTTAGTCGCAAGCATTTTTTTAACCAGATTTAGATGGTGGCTAGCATTGGGTTCAATTTCCAGGGTGAACATCAGCAGTGGAGTGCTGATACATCCTGTTGATGAATCCCAAGTGAAGTAAAACGCTCATTCTGGATTCAACCAATAACCACTATCCAACTGTGGTTAAAGATGTCGTACTATTAACTGATTTTTAAATGATTATTTTTAGTATTTTGTATGTCTTAATGTCTCGAATCTTCTTGTCTTTGGATATACATATTGTTGCTTACATTTATAAGTTGTCCAGTTTAAATTAATTTTCTACCATTCTTTAGTAGGTTTTCAAATATTGTTCATTTGACAGTTACGTGTCGTTTTAACTGAATATAACTTCATTAGTAAAATAAAACAGTCATTTCAGAAAATTTATTATGTGTAGTGTTATTTTAGTGACCAACGATTGACCGTGATGTAGTGGAGTTTGAAAAAAAAGATTGTACCATTTAAAGGAGTATCAAATTATCTCGTCAAACACTGCGTCATCAATATCAATGAGGACCGAACGGTCGGCATCGTTATTATGGGGCTACTTCATAAATCGAAGACAGATAACTGTTATGTCCTGTTGACAATGGAATAATTCACTAAATGATGTAAGACTGTGGCTAACCCACTACAAGATGCGTGTATTGTTGCATGTACACTCGTTAATAATTTTGCGCCTTGATACAGCACCCTAGACTAAGAAGCCTTATGAGGGATTCATTCTCTAACCTTGATCACTGGTTGTAGATGTTAGGTAACATGGTTCAGGGTTGATCGAATGTCTTTATATTCTCCTCATTTATGAGGGTTTTTCAACTCCCCTAGATGGACTCTCCATGTCCACCAATCCGGTTAAAGCACCGGAGTTTCGCTTTTTGTCCTCTCAATTTCGTAAACAACACCCGTGGTGTAAGAAAGCAGTGAGTCGAACTTCCCTGGCAGAGGCTATATACGCGTGGCCATGTGAAAGCATTTCGAGAGGGAGAGTTGAATCTCCCCACTCTCGGTTCTACCAAGGCATTTGGTAGCGAATATATACAGTGACAACTTGAACCAATGCACATTTATATCATGTTCTATACTGATTATAATTATTGACTAACATTTAAAAAAAATCTTTTTTTCCTCAAAAAAAAATATCCCATTTAGGTATATACATGGTTTGGATTTATCTATTCCTAATCCAGAAGGTATACGAACTCATAAAGTAATTATTCCATACGAATCATCATTTAATCGTGATCATAAATTTGGATATGAATCTTCATTTATAATTACACCTAATATAAATAATCGTTTAACACAAGTTACATGTAGTATAAGATCACGTTTACATCAAGTTATTCCATTCGATGCAGCTCATTCATTAACATCAAAATTATTTACTTATTTAACAACAGATTATTCTAAACATTTTATGAATTATTTTCATAATGAAAATATAATGAATCAACAAAAATTACAAAATTTATCCGATACTACTGAAATCACTAATAAGTATTTAATAACAATTAATTATCAAGATTATTTAAATATATTTTGTCATTTATTCTTATTACAATATACAATTAGACAATGTTTATTAAAATGGTCAAAAATTTCTATGAAACTTATGAATAGTAATAATAATAATAGTAGTAATCAGAAAAATACATTGAAGCAATTAAAACAGACAGTATTAAAACCGATTTTATCTTCTTTGGCTCAAGTAAGTTAATTTGACTTTTATTTTTACTTTACTTTTACTTTCTAAGCATCTCTAAGTTGTATCTCTTCATCATTGCAGCAATTTGAAAGACTCTTTCAGTCTCCCACATTGTATAAGCATTCCATATACTTAAATTAATGGTTGCTCTGGTTGTTAGAAGGGGCATCAGGATATCGTGACTTCCGAAGGAAATTGGCTTTCATCATAAAGTGTTATAACTCTTCTAAATGAGGACCTTATAACTCCTAGGGTAGAGTTTAAATGCTTTGGATCATTTTTTTTCTGGTTAGCGTTTTTTTAGCGAGTTAGTTTTCTACGGGATGTGGTCGCTAATCCCATATCCAACCTTCCTTGTCTATCGCAAGCTTGGGACCTACACTAGTCCCAGAGGGGCTCCAGGTGGAGTTTTACTTTACTATTACGTTACAATTATTGTATATATTGTACTTTATCAGTGTAGTAAAGGTTTGAAATTATCTCGTTGTTTGACACGGAGGATTTGATTTTAAAAATCAATATTGGGATACAGGGAATATCTCGAGTAGGACGAAACATGCTTCTTGGATGGTACTACTGTTAACTATAATCCAGCTATTCTACGATATCTTGTGATATAATAACTATGTCATGAGCAACATACACGTGATGGACGTATCCCAACAAAAATCGATTGAAATTCAGTCCTAAATATCGACAAGAGGTATTGCAAATTCTCAATAATAATAATGAAACTAACTTAATACACGTTCAAAAAGCTAGTTGAGGCTACACAAACTCAGTAGTTCAATTGACAATGCATTGGCATTCAAAACAAACATATCTTAGTTCAGATCCCAATCATCTTCATTTCCCTACTGTTGATTGTTTGTTCAGTTTGCTCTTTGATATTAAATCTTGAGAGTAATTCATAGTTTCTTTGTGTATTGTTTTTTTTAACTGTTCTAATGTTTATCAATGTTTATCAACATCTTAATTTTTGTTAGATTTTACTGTGTTTCTAATTAATTCACTACAAGTAATCCGCCAAACCAAAACGTGGCATCAGTGCTTGAAGTCACTAACTTCTGGTGTGAGCCATGTTGGGAGATGCAGACTACTTGTTCGGAGTCCGCATGATTATCGTAACCAATGGTTGGAGACTGTGTGTGACATGGTTCAGAATCGGTCACAATGGTATATATATATTTATATATATATATATATATATATATATATATATATATATATATATATATATATATATATATATATATATATACCACCATTGACTTAACTACTTCTATGAATCCGGTGTTCATCTTGCTGTGTTAATGCGGTATGGCAACTTGAACTGATGTATCTGTGTGCCTGATCCTACGTTGTAGCTGACTGACTGACTTAAGTTTACTTCTTCATTCTTTTTTCGTCTTTTATTAAATTTTCTTTTTTTCTCCGTCTCGATTAAATGATACTTCTGTAAATTATCTTTTTGCTAAATGCTTATTCATCGCTGATTTCACCCTCTGTATTTATTTTATCTTTTTCATTTTATCAGATTCATTTGAATTCAACAACTTTTCAAGCACGAACTCCAAATTCCTCACATGTAGCTATGATCACTATGCATACTAATGGTTCATTACGTTATTGGCGTATCGATGTATCAGAGAGTAGTCAGTAAGTTGATTTATTTAAGCACACAAACATTGGTACAAGGCGGGACCAAATAGATATTATTTACTTACTTACTTACGCCTGTTACTCCCAATGGAGCATATGCCGCCAACCAGCATTCTCCAACCCACTCTGTCCTGGGTCTTCTATTCTAGTTCCATCCAATTCTTGTTCATTTTTCTCATGTCTATTTCCATTTCCCGGCGTAATGTGTTCTTTGGTCTTCCTCTCTTCCTTTGGCCTTGAGGATTCCATGTGAGGGCTTGCCTTGGGACGCAGTTGGGTGCTTTCCTCAATGTATGTCCTATCCACTTCCAGCGCTTCTTCCGCTGGGATCTGGTTTGTTCTCTCCCACAGTACGTTGTTGCTAATAGTGTCCGGCCAACGGATCTGAATTGTTTTGCGTAGAAAACTGTTAATAAACACCTGTATTTTCTGGATGATTGCTTTCGTAGTTCTTCAGGTTTCCGCCCCATACTGTAGAACTGTCTTGACATTTGTATTGAAAATCCTGACCTTGGTGTTGGTTGACAGTTGCTTTGAGTTCCAGACGTAAATATGCTCCTCTTGCTTTACCGATACGCGCCTTCACATCTGCATCAGATCCACGATGTTCATCAATGATGCTGCCCAGATATGTAAAGGTTTTTACATCTTCCAAATCGTTTCCGTCAATTGTGATTAGATTGCTGCATGCTGTGTTGTATCGGAGAACCTAGCTCTTCCCTTTGTGTATATTGAGACCTGTTGCTGCTGAGACTGCTGCTACACTGGTCGTCTTCTCCTGCATTTGTTGTAGCGTTTGGGATAGAAGGGCCAGATCATCCGCGAAGTCTAGATCGTCCAACTGCATCCTAGTTGTCCATTGTATCCCGTGTTTCCCTTCAGATGTTGACGTCTTCATGATCCAGTCGATCACCAGGAGAAAGAGAAAGTGTGAGAGTAAGCAATCTTGCCTGACACCGGTCTTTACCTCGAACAACTTTTTCAACTGTCCTCCATTCACAATTTTGCAGTTTAATCCATCATATGAATTATGTATGATATTGACTATCTTCTCAGGCACGCTGTAGATATGCACCACATAAATTATTTGATTTATGTGAATGCTAGGAGCAGATTGTTTTCTTAGGGAGCCACAACCCGAGCGTTTGGCCTAAAGATCTAATCCACAAAGCAATGGAACAGTGTAAAGAGATACAGTCCTATGGTAGCTGGTGACCAACGATTGGTTCATACACCACTTATTACCTCAAGATACTGGAGCCTATGTGCACCATTGGTTTGGAATCAGGGTTTTCTAACCCCTCCAGGTGGACTCTCCATATTCACCAACCCGGTTATAGCACCAGACAATCGCTTTTCGTCCTCCTAATTTCGTAAGCAACAGTAATACCACTAGAAAGCAGTGAGTAGGACTTCTTTGGCAATGGCTGTATACGAGTAGTCATGTGACAGCATTTGGAGACTGAGCTGACTCTCCCCATCATCGGCCGTACCAGGGCATTTGGGGGCATACTTTTTGATAAATATAGAATCATATATGCGCTTTTTTTTTCTTATATGGGTCTTGGTGGTTTTGTGTAACCTGAATTTTTAGTATTTGTTGTTCAAGCTGATGCTTAAACCATATGCTTTCCGATGTATACTCTGAGTTAATGATTCCTGATGATCATTCGTAATTGATCAATTTCAATCCTGAATACCAATAAGGAGGAAATACAAATCATAATAAATAACATTTTGATTAATATTTCATAACATTGATCATTTTGTTAATCCATATCAACGTTGAAATGTAATAATTCATCATAGTCACATTTAGAAATGCTACGAATAAGCAAGTCGGGTTGTAACTGATTGAATTACTCTAACTCAAATATGTGGAGAGGGGGGAGACATATTTATATTAATGTTTCAAAAGTCATGAATTCGTGATTGATATCTATGATGTCATCTCATACACTAGTTATTAAAGACTGTTCTGTATTTACCGAAATGCATAACTTTAGCAAAAATATTTTTGTATGATATACCATAATATTTGTATTACATAACCTAGTTTTCATTCACAGCCGATATTGAATCATTAGAAAACAGTTAGCATTGGAACAATTATTCCGACCTATATATGGGGCTTTTATCTGGTATTCGTACTGCTATAACTGTGACGGCAGCAGATAAGAGGGTAGCCAATTATCGATCGGACCAAAGACGCCCAAACACGTTAGGACGGCCTAGGGTTCTGATTGCCCCCGCTCCCCTGTCTAGCCCAGCCAGTTGAGTCCAGAACACAAGTCTCAGCCTCGGATATATGAGTCATTATATTTCAAACACACTCTGTTTATATACTAATTAAGCAGATCACCTTGTACCATAAAATAGAAAATAACATTGTACAATATTGATAAGTAGGAAAATGACACGTGAAATAAACATTGACCAATAAGGAAATGACACTATCTCAAGTCTAAGGATAACGTTAGACTTAACAGAATAATTTCTGGGATATTTTTCTGAATATCCCAACACGTACATCATATGATTTACGTTTAAGCTGTTATATCTCAGTTTACAAGATATCCTCATGTCAAAATATACCAGCCTTCATTGTTGAACCTTAGAGATTTATAGTCCTGCATAACATCTAATGCCATAATATGATCAAGCAGAAAATAACTCAATGAAATTGCACTACTTCACTACATTTACGTAGTATAATCAAATGCCCCCAAAATCCCTGGTACTGCCGAGAGTGGGGAAAATCCGCTCTCCTTCTCGAAATGCTCTCACATGACCACGCGTATATAGTCACTGCCAGGGAAGTTTGACTCACTGCCTTCTCGTGGCACTACTGTTGTTTGCGAAATTGAGAGGACGAAAAGCGAATGTCTGGCGCTTTAACCAGGTTGGTGGACACGGAGAGTCCATGAATTATCAGCTTCAGAGTCTGTTTATTATTTATTTATTTATTTCAACACATAGATATTTGTACAAAGAGGTACCAAATACATATGCGCCACACAAATCTCATTCGATATGTGTGAGGGCTTTGATACTGTCCGGGTGCCGAAACCGAAACAGGTGGTTTTCTTAGGGGGCCACACCCGGAGCCTTCGACCTGAAGGTCTGATCCACAAGGCAGTGGAGCATCGTAAGGAGATGCAGTCCCATGGAAGCCGGTGACCAACAATTGGTTCATACGCCATTTGTTCCCGCAAGATACTGGAGCCCATGTGCAACAAGAGTCTGTTTATAGAATAGTTCACTAATAGAAAAATATTCAAGTGTCCAATATGAATTAGGCAGTAGTCCACGAATATTTCTCCCACAAATACTACTGCATAGCTTTATTAAGTAATGTTGCACAAAAAATATTCTGATTTCTGAACTGTTTTTCTTTCAACCACGTTTTAATGATAAGATTTATATAATCTTCTTTTCTTCAAAATTCATTTTAGTTATCAATGGATTGTCGGTGTATCTAGTTGTGCACGTTTAAGTGGACATCGATTTCATACAAACATTATCGTACCACATCCAATATTACCTCTCGCTTTGAGCACATCACATTATGAGCATAAATTAGAAAAATTACCAATTGATGAATCTACCATAACAACAACATCATCACCATATAATTCAATTAATAAAGACAATGAGAAAATTACTAATTATAGTGAAATAATTTTATGGTATGTTTCATCAGTTGGTCCACTTACCACCGGTTACACATCATCGTTACTATCAAATTATCAATTTCATTGTTCACAACATGCTACCACTAATAATAGTAATAATAATACTGATTCGGAATTATATAACAATCAATTTATTACAACTGATATTAAAGGACCAGGTAATATATCATCAAATGGTGGGATTTCAGAAGTGGCTCGTTTAATCTTCTCCAATATATCATCGAATACATCTTTAACATTTAAATATATTGCATGGTTCCCATGTCAGGTGACAACAACTGCTACATCATATCCCGTTGCATTGTTTGTTGCCTCTTTAGATGGTAATCACGATGATAATAATAATAATAAGAAGAAGAATGAGCAAAACAATGATCAACTTGGACTATTTTTAACATTTTCTAAATTTAAACAAATTAATAATAAATCTGTATTAGATGAGAAGATTAAACAAGATCAACAGAATCATTTATTGCATAGTTCATTGAATTCTGATACATTGGGATGTATTATTCAATTAAATTATAAATTACCATATTCTAGTCAAATTGAAAATTATGTAAGTTTTTATTTGATTTCTATTAATTGTTATCTTTTATTTATTTATTTCAATAGTTGAGATCATGAGTCAGTTGAAGCTAGACCATCATGTAAAACTTCGAAGTACTGGATGACTGTTCCGTTTCATTGTGGGACTACTTGACTGTACGCATCCACGATCCCGCCTCGCGAGATTCGAACTTAGGACCTATCGGTCTTGCACGCAAATGCTTAACTTTATTTATTGATTTTAACAACTTGTTAACACTGAAAATTAGGGGTGATTTGAATTGAATTTTTGTTAGTGAATGGGGAAGTGGTTCAGTATATTCCACGAAGTAATAAATAATTCACAGACTAGACAAGAATGCATGTCCCCCAAATGCCCTGGTACGGCCGAGAGGGAGAGAGTTAACTCTACATCTCAAAATGCTTTCACATGGCCACGTGCAAACAATCAATGTCAGGGAAGTCCTACTCACCGCCTTCTCGCGGCGGGGGTGTTGTTTAAGGAATTGAGAGTACAAAAAGAGAATACCCGGTTTGGGTTTACAACTCCCACCTAGGGGAGTTGGAAAGTCCTGACCCCATACCAATAGTGCACATGTTCTTCAGTATCCTGAAAAAACAAATGGCGTATGGACCAATTATTGGTCACCGTCTACCATGGGATTGCATCTCCTGACGTTACTTCACTGCCTTGTGAGTTAGACTTCTAAATCAAAGGCTCAGAAAGTGACCTTCTATTAAAACTACGTACTTCATTTTGAGTGCCCGGGTAGTCTCCCGCTCTACGCAAATCTGATGGAAACTACTTTTTGTGGTGCATATATATTTTTTGCCTCCTTGTGACAATGTTTATATGTTTAAATAAAATATATGAATTGAATGAAAAATATTCTTTTCAGTAACTATAGGTCGAAGGCTCCGGGTGTGACCCCGTAAGAAAACAACCGGCTTCTGTCTGGGCACCCGGACAGTATCACAACCCACATACAAATCAAGTGACTTGTGTGGTGCATATCTATTCGGTGCCCCTTTGTTGATTGTGTAATTAAACAAATTGTGACACACCTTTTTAATGAATACCTTTTATACATATGATTTCAAGCTTATAATACCATCCACTTATCTAAATCAAAGTGCGGATGCTGTGATATCCAATTCAATGGGTAATAATATACATTACCATAATGTTCCAGTGATTGTTAGTTAGTTATGAATGTGCCGAATTCGAACTGTTGTCTGAGTTATTTTCCAAGATGTTTTCTTTTCATTAACATGTCGTTTATATTTGTTGTTCATCGACTTATTTTTATAAAAAAGATTATGAATTAGTTTATCAGAGAGCCATCGAAGATTATGGAACGAACCGAACAGTTTCTTTGTTGTTATATTTAGGACTCTTTATGTTAGCGGAACATAGATTGGATTAAAGCATGATCAATGCACGATTGCGTTAGTGCACGCTGATGGGCTAATTATTATCCAATCAGCGCCAGTCGATACTTGGAGAACACTCTAGAATCTTCTCATGTAAGAACTATAAATATACTAACGTTATTCCTACTGTGCTTCTTACTTCCATCCAACCTTGCTATTCGGAATCTAGTCTTTTTCCTGTTCAATCGTGTTCTAATTTTGGGACTTGTCGAGTGAATTGATGTCCAAGAATACTAAGCCATAGGAATAGCTGGGTTGTAATAAGAGAGAATTATAACACCTTAATTTTGTACACCTATGACCTTTCATGAAGTCTAACCAGTGAATTCCTGAACTTGTACCATTAACTTATCGGCAGAATTCAATAATGTTAGGTAACATACATTACTAGTATCATTGAATATTTGTAAATTTATGAATTATTGGATTTTCTATCATCATAACTCCATCGACTAACGCTAAGTATGTAAAAATAAACCAATCAGAGTGTTTCAATTTGAGTCTGGACTGTATACCATTGATACCATGTATCTATGATAAATTCATTTTTGCGATACCATTCTCGTTATCACTTTCACAGACATAATACTTACTTGACTTGATTGTGACTTGAATAATTATGGATTTCGCGTTTTTCTTATTTATTTAATAATAATTCTATTTGTATATTGTATTCATTATAAACAACCACTTTGTTCTCATATGGAACTTCACAGTAAAATGCACAGTTAATAACCTTGCTAGAATAACTACCTATAAGCGTTTATATAATTGTGTCATAGGTACACAATTCCAAGGCATCATACTCTAGGAAAAAACCTAAGGTTCGAAGGCGAAGTCGTACTCCTGACTGCACAGTGGTGCGACAGCAGTAAGGTGTTTCCTTCAGACAATCAGCATAACAGCGATGCTGCTTTCCCACAAGGAGGGGTAGGGTTAGAAAAGGTCGACCCTAAAAATGCACACCTCGGCTTATCCCACGGATATCCGTCTCCGGCGGTAAGGTCTCAATAAGTACGGAGCTAACACGAAAATTACTCATAAAAAGGTCGTGTGTGACCGACCTCAATCAGTTGTCCCTTGGGCACTGAGGTCACGTTCTCCGGTCATTAAGACCACCTCTAATCCAATTTTCCTTTAAGGCACCTTTAAAGGAGAAAACAACTCCTTGGTTTCTAGTGGTCTATCTATTAATTGATTTCACTATGTGATGTATATCACTTATATATCTAATTAATCTTTATAATCCTTTCAACTAATCTGCTAATATTATTATTTTTATTTCGATTATTATAGGAAAATTTCAATGCTGAAACATTAATATTACATGTATTTCCCAGTGAATTAATTATGTCCAAATCAGAGAGTTGCAAACCAATAAATACTGTATTAACTAATACTACTGATCAAATGGAAAGTTCTACTAAATCAGATATGAATTCTTTATCAACGTTTTTGATTGTTCGTATGACACGTTATAATTTACGGAATGAAACAGCCAACTCTTCTGTTGTTCTAACTTCATGTAGTGAGGTATGTGTTTTCTTGTTTCTATATAATATGGTGTAAAAACCTCGGTACAATGAGTTTTTTTTGTAGTGTTCAATAAATAGCCTTAAAAAAATATTTAGTCAATTAATGCCCTTAGGAAATTCTAGGAGGTGGTCCAATGGTTAAGGCGTTCGATTTCCAGCCATATAATATACCCTTATGGGTCAGAATAATTCTACATTGGTTTTTAGGAGAACCAGACACCATCCGGACTTTCACGTAAAAACCCAAACAGTACAGCTCAACCCCGTTTAGCAGGGAAACAACCAACTGACTCCACGAGAACAAAAGGCTTTGAAAGGGATTTCCAGTCAATAAGTTTCAGGTTCAAACCTCCAGCTCCTCTACGTCGATTCTGGCAACAGAGTAGTATCACTAGTCCTCATATTTAGAGTATGGCTTTAAGACAGATAAACTAATCTCAACCTCATAGATGAGTTCGTAAATAAGATAGAAACATATCTGTTAACCAACCGATTAGTTGAACTCATTAATAATATGTTAATATAAATAATAATTTGTAAATGTCCGAAATATATAGTTTATTTGTGATTACGAATAAAACTTTTAGTTTCTTTGCTTTAATGAATAACCTTGTAGTAAAAGAAGTATCGTAATATTTTAATGAAGGGAAAAACAGGTGAGGACAACCGAACTGTATTTGTCACAAAATTACAGTTACTTGCTAAAACAGAAAAACCATATAGTAAATATTTAATTTGCGAAATATCATTCCATCATATCAAATCGGACTGTCGCTGTTGCAATCATCAATTCAATGTCTCACATTTCATTGTTCAGGCGTTTTCTTACAAATTGCATTGTGTTCCCGCTCTTCTTTTCTTGATCTTCCCCCATCTTCTGCTACCAGATATTACGTTTTTAACTCGCTTCATATACTGCTTATATCAATATAAGTAGCACACACCACACTCGTCACATCTTTTAATAAGTTGTCGTTGTAGTTTTTCTGGTCGCCGTACCGCTGCTTCTTTGGTGATATTCGTGACTTCCACCCACGATGATCTTAAAACCATTTCTGCAGTTGACTAGCATTTACGCGCTTCTGCTTGTCTTCTCTCCGGATCATGCAAACCGAGCCGCGTCTCTCTGTGATAACGTACGGTCCTTCCCACTTCGGGATCAGCTTTCCTGACCCTGCCCCTCCCTGCTATGCTACTTTTCCGTTCTCTACACTTTAATAGGTCCCCCACTGCAAAAGGTCTCCACGTTCTCCTCCGTTGTCCCGCCTTCTTTATGTCTGATATTTATTTCTTTTCCACGTTCCTTATTGCCCCCCTCCTCTCTTTTCTTAGCCTTGTTGTCGTTCACTTCTGTTGTTGTGGCCAGGTCTTATTAAGCATTGGAAGTCGTGGCTGTTTGCCATACATGAGTAAGAAAGGTGACTTCTTGGTTGTTCCTTGTATGGAGGAACGATGCGCCAGCAAAATCAATGGTAACTCTTTCTCCCAATCTCCTCCTTTAGATGCTAACCACTCCTACAACGTCCGATTGTTTCTCTCTGTAAGCCCGTTTGTCTGATGATGATACGGTGTAGTTCGTATCTTCTTGATGCCAAACTGTTCTAGACAGGCTCTAAACTCGTCACTTTCAAAACAGAAACCCTGGTCAGTTAATATCATCTTCGGTATTCCGTGACACGCTACAATATGCCGGATTATCACTTCGGTCACTGTTCTTGCCCGCTGGTCTGCAATAGGTACGGCATCTACCCAACGTGTAGCATGTTCCGTCATCACTAGGCAGGTACTGGTTACTGTTCGCCGTCTGTGGAAACGGTCCCATCACATCCACCGACTACAGATCACCGACTGAGGTTACTGGGATTGACTGCAATGGTGGTTGTGTGTATCGATCGCTTTTCATTAGTTAACACTGCTGGCAAGTTAACACGTATTGAGTCACATCGTCTCTCATGCCCGGTCAGTATGCACTTTGTCCTAGTAAATCCGTTGTTCTTGCAATGCCTGTATGTGCTACCTGGTGACACTCGTGTATAATTTTACGCCGCCAGTCTTTCGGGATCACAGCCACCCAATTCTCGTCATCGTCCTGTCAGGTCAGGACTCCATATGCGTTCACTCCCAGTCGTTCCTTTTTCCGAAGCAGCATTGTTACCTCCTTGTCCATTGTTCTTTTGTCTACGTCATTCTGATTACCTCTCGAAGGTTAGGGTCAGCTTTCTGCTGCCGGACGAGTTCTAATGGGTCTCCCTCTAAACTATTCACCGCGTATGCTGTCAATGGGAGATCGGCTTCCGTGTCTGGTTTTGACAAGTAATCCGCCATTACATTTTCCTTCCCTGGAACATGGCCGATACTGAAGTCGTATTCTTGCAGACGTATCATCCATCGCGCCAACTTCCCTCGGGAGTCTCTTACTGTTTTCAACTACTGCAGGGGTTTATGTTCAGTCTCAATGTGAAATCGTCTACCTAAAAGGTACGGTCTCCATTTTTCTACTGCCCACACGATTGCTGCTAAACAATCCTTTTCGATCGTTGAATACTTCTGTTCATCAGGTGTGAGAACGCGACTCGCGTATTCCATCACTCTGTCAGCCTGACTCAATACAGCACCTATACCATGGTCACTTGCGTCTGTAGCCACTGTAAACAGTTTTCCGGGTTCAGGCAGTCTGAGCGTCATCTGACGATCGTCTAGCATGTTTTTGATTCGGTTGAACGTTTGTTCGGCAGTCTCAGTCCACGTAAACTTGGTGTTGCTCAACAACTTATATTTCCAACGATTAACTATTGATAAGAGTTTTGTTATTGTATTTTATTATTCTCACTATTATCAGTTCACCTGTCTTCCTACTATCAACTTGTACTTTTACCTATTATGTGTAGTGACTTATTCTATTTCATTGTGATTATTGACTCATATTGCCTTGATTGGTTTAACATTTTCGTATAAATATTCATGTATATTAGAGTAAAGCCTGATGACGATCTAATTGAAAACAGTTGTTCGCTTATATGTGTTGTTCTAATTTTCACAATGGGAATCTTTAATATTATATAGGGGTGCTGCTATTTCGTTGAAATTCTTGACAAGCCGACTGTAGAACGCCGCTCTTCCCAGGAACTGCCTCAACTTCCTTTTCGAATTAGATACTGCAATATTTTTATGGTAAGAATTTTCTCCGGCAATGGTTTTATTTCTTCATTTCCCACTTTATGTCCCCACAACGTGACGCTATTTCTCGCTATCTGTGGCTTGTCCTTATTAATTCGAAGTCCGAATTCGTCAATTCGATTTAAGACTGCTTCCACATGCTTGACGAGATCTGTTTCTGTCTGACTGTACACAACTACATCGTCGCCATATACCTCGACATTATCTAGATTCTTGAGCAGTAGTGTCATTAATCCTCTGAACGTAAACGGTGCACCCACCAACCCGAACGGCACTCTTTTAAATTGATACTGTTTATCACGTACAGTAAACGCTGTCTTGCTTCGACCGCTCTGTTTTATAGGCAGTTGCCAATAACCTGACCGTAAATCCAGCACTGTAAACACCGTGATATTCTGTAGCTGATCTAATGTTTCCACCACTGCCGGCATTGCACAAGGTTTCAGGTCTGTTATATTATTCAATTCTCTGAAGTCGACACAAAATCTATACTTTTCAGTTGGTTTCTTTACCAAGAGTACCAGTGAGCTATATGGGCTGTTCACTTCCTCAATTATACCTTCTTTCAACATTTCCTGGACCTGACGATTTATCTCAGCCTCTAAATGCACCGGGACACGACGTGTTGCAAATATGTTTACTTGATCGTTCTTAATCGGGATTTCGTGCTTTACTTTGTCACAAAATCCATACGGCTCCCCATCTCCAGTGAACAGTTTCGTATACCTTGTGCATAACTCGTTAATGTTTGGTTTCTTCGACGAGACGTCCGCTGCCACTCTTATTTCAACCACTTCACTACTTTCGTGTATTGGCAATGAACCATACTTTGTGACCACCTTACCGCTTCTTAAGTCAACTATCGCTTTTACTTCTCTTAGGAAATCTGCTCTTAATATCGGTCTCGATAAGCTTATGGTTACCACGAACGGAAAATTTATCTCAGCATCTCCCACTTTTACGATACTGTTAGATACGTCAAACACCTCTAACATATGGCCTCCTATAGTGTGGACAGCTAATGTAAACGGCTTGAGTCTTACATTGCTCTTTGCCTATTAACAATACTGCTGCCCCCGTATCTATCAGACAAACTTAATCTCGTTCATTTATGTTCACTCTCGTATAAACTGCCCTTCTATCTACTAGTGCAACAACCCCCAGATTCCTAGGATAGAAAGAACATACGTTATAACGTTTAAAATATCTGCATATTCGTCTTGTTGGACAGGTTATCTTCCAATGTCCTGTCCCTCCGCAAGCGTAACATTTATCGTTCCTTTTATGGTTCACTCGTATTGCTGCAATCTCACGCTCCAGCTCCTCAATCTTCTTCGCGACATTATTTATCTCCTGCTTTTCGCACCCGACCGGAGCTACTGTTCGTGTAATCAGCTGACGAGTCACCTTTGTCAGTTCACTGATATCCATCGATTGCGCTGCGTTCACTAGTGTCAGCTGTTGAGAGACGGTGGTAGACACACTCTCGATAAACTGCGACGCCGATAACTGCCTCCGACTCCTCATCCAGATTCGACAGCTCATGGCGTAACAATCTGGTAAGCCCCACAGCCAGCACCAGTGGGTCACCATCGACCGACAACCTCGCCAACCGGAACTTCTGCAGTGCCTCCCCTCTGTCCACTGGGTTGTCGAACTCTGCAGTGCCTCCTCCACGGAGTTCGACAACCCAGTGGACAGAGGGGAGGCACTGCAGAAGTTCCGGTTGGCGAGGTTGTCGGTCGATGGTGACCCACTGGTGCTGGCTGTGGGGCTTACCAGATTGTTACGCCATGAGCTGTCGAATCTGGATGAGGAGTCGGAGGCAGTTATCGGCGTCGCAGTTTATCGAGAGTGTGTCTACCACCGTCTCTCAACAGCTGACACTAGTGAACGCAGCGCAATCGATGGATATCAGTGAACTGACAAAGGTGACTCGTCAGCTGATTACACGAACAGTAGCTCCGGTCGGGTGCGAAAAGCAGGAGATAAATAATGTCGCGAAGAAGATTGAGGAGCTGGAGCGTGAGATTGCAGCAATACGAGTGAACCATAAAAGGAACGATAAATGTTACGCTTGCGGAGGGACAGGACATTGGAAGATAACCTGTCCAACAAGACGAATATGCAGATATTTTAAACGTTATAACGTATGTTCTTTCTATCCTAGGAATCTGGGGGTTGTTGCACTAGTAGATAGAAGGGCAGTTTATACGAGAGTGAACATAAATGAACGAGATTAAGTTTGTCTGATAGATACGGGGGCAGCAGTATTGTTAATAGGCAAAGAGCAATGTAAGACTCAAGCCGTTTACATTAGCTGTCCACACTATAGGAGGCCATATGTTAGAGGTGTTTGACGTATCTAACAGTATCGTAAAAGTGGGAGATGCTGAGATAAATTTTCCGTTCGTGGTAACCATAAGCTTATCGAGACCGATATTAAGAGCAGATTTCCTAAGAGAAGTAAAAGCGATAGTTGACTTAAGAAGCGGTAAGGTGGTCACAAAGTATGGTTCATTGCCAATACACGAAAGTAGTGAAGTGGTTGAAATAAGAGTGGCAGCGGACGTCTCGTCGAAGAAACCAAACATTAACGAGTTATGCACAAGGTATACGAAACTGTTCACTGGAGATGGGGAGCCGTATGGATTTTGTGACAAAGTAAAGCACGAAATCCCGATTAAGAACGATCAAGTAAACATATTTGCAACACGTCGTGTCCCGGTGCATTTAGAGGCTGAGATAAATCGTCAGGTCCAGGAAATGTTGAAAGAAGGTATAATTGAGGAAGTGAACAGCCCATATAGCTCACTGGTACTCTTGGTAAAGAAACCAACTGAAAAGTATAGATTTTGTGTCGACTTCAGAGAATTGAATAATATAACAGACCTGAAACCTTGTGCAATGCCGGCAGTGGTGGAAACATTAGATCAGCTACAGAATATCACGGTGTTTACAGTGCTGGATTTACGGTCAGGTTATTGGCAACTGCCTATAAAACAGAGCGGTCGAAGCAAGACAGCGTTTACTGTACGTGATAAACAGTATCAATTTAAAAGAGTGCCGTTCGGGTTGGTGGGTGCACCGTTTACGTTCAGAGGATTAATGACACTACTGCTCAAGAATCTAGATAATGTCGAGGTATATGGCGACGATGTAGTTGTGTACAGTCAGACAGAAACAGATCTCGTCAAGCATGTGGAAGCAGTCTTAAATCGAATTGACGAATTCGGACTTCGAATTAATAAGGACAAGCCACAGATAGCGAGAAATAGCGTCACGTTGTGGGGACATAAAGTGGGAAATGAAGAAATAAAACCATTGCCGGAGAAAATTCTTACCATAAAAATATTGCAGTATCTAATTCGAAAAGGAAGTTGAGGCAGTTCCTGGGAAGAGCGGCGTTCTACAGTCGGCTTGTCAAGAATTTCAACGAAATAGCAGCACCCCTATATAATATTAAAGATTCCCATTGTGAAAATTAGAACAACACATATAAGCGAACAACTGTTTTCAATTAGATCGTCATCAGGCTTTACTCTAATATACATGAATATTTATACGAAAATGTTAAACCAATCAAGGCAATATGAGTCAATAATCACAATGAAATAGAATAAGTCACTACACATAATAGGTAAAAGTACAAGTTGATAGTAGGAAGACAGGTGAACTGATAATAGTGAGAATAATAAAATACAATAACAAAACTCTTATCAATAGTTAATCGTTGGAAATATAAGTTGTTGAGCAACACCAAGTTTACGTGGACTGAGACTGCCGAACAAACGTTCAACCGAATCAAAAACATGCTAGACGATCGTCAGATGACGCTCAGACTGCCTGAACCCGGAAAACTGTTTACAGTGGCTACAGACGCAAGTGACCATGGTATAGGTGCTGTATTGAGTCAGGCTGACAGAGTGATGGAATACGCGAGTCGCGTTCTCACACCTGATGAACAGAAGTATTCAACGATCGAAAAGGATTGTTTAGCAGCAATCGTGTGGGCAGTAGAAAAATGGAGACCGTACCTTTTAGGTAGACGATTTCACATTGAGACTGAACATAAACCCCTGCAGTAGTTGAAAACAGTAAGAGACTCCCGAGGGAAGTTGGCGCGATGGATGATACGTCTGCAAGAATACGACTTCAGTATCGGCCATGTTCCAGGGAAGGAAAATGTAATGGCGGATTACTTGTCAAAACCAGACACGGAAGCCGATCTCCCATTGACAGCATACGCGGTGAATAGTTTAGAGGGAGACCCATTAGAACTCGTCCGGCAGCAGAAAGCTGACCCTAACCTTCGAGAGGTAATCAGAATGACGTAGACAAAAGAACAATGGACAAGGAGGTAACAATGCTGCTTCGGAAAAAGGAACGACTGGGAGTGAACGCATATGGAGTCCTGACCTGACAGGACGATGACGAGAATTGGGTGGCTGTGATCCCGAAAGACTGGCGGCGTAAAATTATACACGAGTGTCACCAGGTAGCACATACAGGCATTGCAAGAACAACGGATTTACTAGGACAAAGTGCATACTGACCGGGCATGAGAGACGATGTGACTCAATACGTGTTAACTTGCCAGCAGTGTTAACTAATGAAAAGCGATCGATACACACAACCACCATTGCAGTCAATCCCAGTAACCTCAGTCGGTGATCTGTAGTCGGTGGATGTGATGGGACCGTTTCCACAGACGGCGAACAGTAACCAGTACCTGCCTAGTGATGACGGAACATGCTACACGTTGGGTAGATGCCGTACCTATTGCAGACCAGCGGGCAAGAACAGTGACCGAAGTGATAATCCGGCATATTGTAGCGTGTCACGGAATACCGAAGATGATATTAACTGACCAGGGTTTCTGTTTTGAAAGTGACGAGTTTAGAGCCTGTCTAGAACAGTTTGGCATCAAGAAGATACGAACTACACCGTATCATCATCAGACAAACGGGCTTACAGAGAGAAACAATCGGACGTTGTAGGAGTGGTTAGCATCTAAAGGAGGAGATTGGGAGAAAGAGTTACCATTGATTTTGCTGGCGCATCGTTCCTCCATACAAGGAACAACCAAGAAGTCACCTTTCTTACTCATGTATGGCAAACAGCCACGACTTCCAATGCTTAATAAGACCTGGCCACAACAACAGAAGTGAACGACAACAAGGCTAAGAAAAGAGAGGAGGGGGGCAATAAGGAACGTGGAAAAGAAATAAATATCAGACATAAAGAAGGCGGGACAACGGAGGAGAACGTGGAGACCTTTTGCAGTGGGGGACCTATTAAAGTGTAGAGAACGGAAAAGTAGCATAGCAGGGAGGGGCAGGGTCAGGAAAGCTGATCCCGAAGTGGGAAGGACCGTACGTTATCACAGAGAGACGCGGCTCGGTTTGCATGATCCGGAGAGAAGACAAGCAGAAGCGCGTAAATGCTAGTCAACTGCAGAAATGGTTTTAAGATCATCGTGGGTGGAAGTCACGAATATCACCAAAGAAGCAGCGGTACGGCGACCAGAAAAACTACAACGACAACTTATTAAAAGATGTGACGAGTGTGGTGTGTGCTACTTATATTGATATAAGCAGTATATGACGCGAGTTGAAAACGTAATATCTGGTAGCAGAAGATGGGGGAAGATCAAGAAAAGAAGAGCGGGAACACAATGCAATTTGTAAGAAAACGCCTGAACAATGGAATGGGAGACAATGGATTTCTTATTTGCAACAGAATGAGTCCAGTTTGGTTTGATGCATGAATATTTTGCAAATTGACGATTTACTATATGGTATTCAGATTTTATTGAGATATTCTCTAATTGTTGTGCTGAATACATTCGATTGTCCCCGCCCGTGTTCTTGTTCACTGCAATACTACCGTTGATGCATTCTCTATGTGATCATCCTTGAAGTTCTGATTTTCAAAGTTTTTCTATACCTTTTGTTTTGCATATTCATTGTTTTGTCTCTAATCATTCTATGTCCGAGTAATGTTTTTCACGATCACTGATATTGTTACTACTTTTGTGGTATATGCCACTGGTGTCAACAGATATAAGTGGTATGTATCATCAATCGAATGTAGATTGCCTAGCGGAAGAATGTTGAGAAAAGCAAATAGAAGAGAACGAGAGCAGACTGTAATGTTTATAGAAACGAAGTAACAACATAGTTTTAGACAATTGATCGATATTCTGCAAATGAAGTATTTATTTATGATTCTCAGAGTTTACTAAGATGTTCTGTAGTGTTGTATTAAGAACACATTTGATTGTTCACACTGGTGTTCTCATTCATTATACTTTCACTACTCTGACATTTATGCTAATTATTCGACATCATTGTGTCTATGTACAGTACGACAACTTGAACCAATGTAGGCCTTTCGTTGTTATATGATATCACTAGTATTTGTGTCATAAGAATGATTTAAAGCGAATAACAATAACTTGGTAAAATTATTCAATGAATGAGATCTTTGTTGTGCATTTTCTCACTCCTGATTATTTTTCATCTCTTTTTTTAGACGGATTTTTGTCGTATGGAAATGTGGCGTGTTTGTGTTTCAACGAATACTAAGTCTTCTTCTTCTTCTTCTAATATGATGATAGATGGAAATTCTTCCATTAAGAATTGTATAACCGACAAATCGGATCTAATCAGTGATAATCTTACGACCATATTTAACAATTTAATAACAGATGGAATTAAGGTAATCAGTTTATTAATAGGATAATACTTTCTTCTTATTTTCTACTGTAGATCGTTGTTTTCCTGTTTTTCCTCAGTGGTTGGAATAAATTGTCAAAGGTTTTTAATTTATCTTATTTTGGTACTCAATACTGCGCTTGATCAGTCGCTGTAGATATATATGTATAAGGAATGATGACTAGCGTAGGGCATTATGTTGGGAAAATTCTAGAAGTGACCGAACCAAGACATAGCATCAGTTCATAAAGTTAGCGACAAACTAAGCCATTTAATCAGATGGACACTACCTGGTTCAGGGTTCATGTAACCATCGTAATCATTGATTATAGACTCCAAGTGACATGGCTCAAAATTATTCACCATGGTGTAGATTCAACACTACGTTTTAAAATTGTCCTATAAATTTTTTGACATTCCACTAATCTATATTTTCCAGTCGTATCTTTTATTTCTAGTCTTTTCTATTACCACCAATACTTTTACTACTTCCATTACTCTGTGATGTGGCAATATCAGACGAAGTACATGTATGGTAGGTTCTACTCTATACATGACTGATTGGCAATTTGCATCCTAAGCAGAGTACTTCAATTTGACGTTATATATCACAAGCCTTAGTCTATTGAATATGTCCCTAACAATAGAATCCAAAATTAACATTTTATCCTATTCACTACAAATACCTTTTTATTCATTTAATTAATTAATATCTATCTGAACTCAATAGTTCAATGGATAACACTTTAAACATTTGAATTGAATGGTACTTGATTTAAGTTTCAATTTGACAAACATCAATACTGGGATACAGGTAAATCCAGCTAACGAATCACAGATAGGAATATAACATAATTCTTGAATTCCATTACTGACCACTATCTGTTTATGTATGACTATGATTTATCATTTATCAGTGAAGTCTACTATCAAGAAGTGTCGTTTATCTCATTTTCATATGAAATCATTTCTTATCAGTGAAAATATCAATGTATCTTAAATCATATATATTTATTACATTCTTTTGTACTGACTTTCTATTCGTCTATTATTTATTTGAATAAAACAATTTAGGTATGTGATTGTAAATTACATTTACCATCAGGTGTATCTATTGTTTGTGCTCAAGTATCAGCAGCACATGTAAGTTGGGCTGCTTTATCAACATTTAATGCACCACCGCCTTATTTAATTGTTACTGCATGTTCAGATGGTTGTTTACGATTTTGGCGATGTGAATCTGATTCAAATAGTAATAATTTCACTTTGGAAGGAGGTAAAATAGTTTTATATTTTTTTATTCTAAATAAAATATGTTTACTATTAATTTTATCATATATGTGTCAGGGTAATCGCAATCGGTCATCAGGAAATTCTAGTTGACATTGAGTAGTAAGATAGGTTCACCTACAGTTTTGAAGGAGTTGATATTTCCTGTAGTTTTGCTATAACTGTGTGACGGCAGATAAGAGGGTAGCGAATTTATCGATCGGACCAAAGACGCGCAAACATGCAGAACGGCCTGGGGTTCTGATTTTCCGGCTCCCCTGTCTAGCCCAGCCAGTTGAGTCCAGAACACAAGTCTCAGCCTCGGAGATATGAATCATTATATTTCAAACACACTGTTTATATACTAATCAAGCAGACCACCTCGTACCATAAAATAGAAAACAACATCTGTACAATATTGACCAGTAGGAAAATGACACGTGAAATAATTACTGACCAGTAAGAAAATAATACCATCTCCAAGTCCAAGAATAGCATTAAACTTAATAGAATAATTTCTGGGATATTTTCCTGAATATCCCAGCAAGCTTTCAAGCCCATGTCATGCGTTTTGAAAGTCTGACACGTTACCTATAGTCTATTCATTCTTCAGTTGACTCCCTGCAGAGCTGAGATATTTCCAATCGATTAATCAATGAGTTCTTCCTTTCTACTACCCCTAACTATTTGATGTTAAAACAGTGTTGAATCACTTAGACCAATCACTACATTGCGATTTGATTAATAGAACTCAATCAATACTAGTCAAGATGAAACTAACAAGATATCGGTCATTTCTACTTGGTGATCAATCAATATGAACATATTATGTATTTGCATTGGATTTGTCTCAACATTAACATCTCTAAATGTGAATCTGAGTGACCCGAGTTTGAATCATATGGAGGGAAATAATTCCATCAGGACTATAGGTTTACCTTTCTATCGAGTCCAACTGGCACAAAGTTATCCAACCATCTTAAACCAACTAACCTCAATATTTCTGTGGATTACATTAGTTTACGTAATGAAAATTACTTTGAAATTATTGTGAATCTTCAATTGCGTCTAACAATAATAGTGTTTCTTTTTTTTTTCAGTCCACGATCAATTTACATGGGAAGAATGGCAAATGCCATTAATGCAATCAATGTCTAGTTGTATTGAATTACAGCTACATACCAATAATAATAATAATGTTAATAATAATCATAATAAGTCAACTCGTGTCAATGATGTATCACAGATGAATAAACCCATTATTCTAGACATAGATTGTGCATATAGTGGACGATTAGCTGTGGCATATACTTCATCACAATTATGTAATAATGATAATATGGACAAACATGGACAATCAAATTTAGATTGGATTCAAAGTAATAAGAATGATTTAACAATCTATGTTACTGTTTATGAATGTGAATCTAGTGGTAAGTAATAAATAATTATTCTTAATTGATTGATTGTAAATAAATATTGTTGTAATTTAAACATTTGAGATCATGAGTCAATTGAAGATAGACAACCATGGAAAACCTGGAAGCACTGGACGGCCGTTTCGTCCTATTGTGGAACTCCTCAGCAGTGCGCATCCACGACTCCGTCCCGCGGGATTCGAACCCAGGACTTATCAGTCTTGTGCCAGGCACTTAACCAACTAGACCACTAAGCCAGCATTCAACGGTGTTAATGTCTAGCTTCAACTAATCCACGAAATTGAGCGACACATCCATCATTGTCATCAGTGAGTTACTACCTCACAACTGACCCAGTTGAACTCGACTGGTCACTGCTTCTCACTAGAACTGCAGGATATATATCTTGAAGCCAGTCACTAGTGAGCATATGTTGATTAGCATCAGAAGGTGTTTTGTGGAGATTGTAGTAATTTAAACACTTGGGATCATGATCCCCTTCTGATACTAAATATTGTTGTCTTTTATTCGATTCATTGATGACGTCAGCATACACACCTCTTAAAGATTAACTAGATTCATTATAGAAATCATATAGGTTAGTTTAATGCGAAAGGTAAATATACATGTGTCTTTACTAACTCAGATATAAGGATATGAAGTCAAAGTAATATTAGTCTGTGACTTTTGTCAGATCTTGTTATGACAAAAGAAAACAATAACAAATTGTTTATTTTGAGTTGGATTGCATTGGGTCCTGTGCGATCGGGTGGTAACAACAGGAAAGTAGGTGTATGATTTCTCTCTCTTTCTCTCTCTCTAGTCTGATTATCGATTAGTTCACATGTATTCTTAATAGGACCAGTGAACTTATATTTGCTAATTGATACATCAACCAATGAATAGTGACCAAAATGTTAATGCTTATTTGTCATCGAGCTTCTGATAGCCCAATGAGCAATCTAACTATGTAGATAGGAAACAGATTAGTTCTCCACTGTATCCAATTCAATCCAATTAAAATCCTGACATAAGGCCGCCATAAGTAGAAAAGAGCTATGTAGTAGGTTCGTCATAAATTAATAGTAGCTTTAAAAAAGGTATATCATATAAAATCAGTTTATTCATTACGAAGAAGCTTACAAGTAGGAGAATAATCATCATCACCATAATAATAATCATAATTTAAGTATTGAATAAATCAAGAATAAACATAGAACTAACAATTTCATGTAGAACATTTTTGAAGGTTTTAGCTCTTCTCGTACACGTTCACAGTTATAATAGATCTATCAAATATCCATGTCAAATAGCATATACTCACTTATCTTTTTTCATCTTATATATGTATTATCAAGACATTTAATGTAATCCGATCTATTTTTACAACAACTTGTATCTTGTCTGAACTCATTCAGTGTTAAGATGTGCAGAAAAATATACCAATAATTATCATGTTAAGTCTAATGGTAGCCTTGGACTTTAAATGTACACTCCCTATTGGTCGATATTTGTTTCACTTGTTAAATATTGTACAAAATGTTGTTTTCTATTTTTATGGTACGATGTGGTCTGGTTGGTTGGTATATAAACAGAATATGTCTGAAATACAATGATTCATATCTCCGAGGCTGTGACTTGTGTTCTGAACTCAACTGGCTGGGATAGACAGCGAAGCAGGACCGATAAGGACTCTAGTTTGCTCGTACGTGTTTTATACGTCATTGGTCCGGTCGATAATTCACTGTTCTCTAATTAGCGGTATCATTACGTTATATAGGGGGGGGCATAGGGCACTAATTATAAAACTTATATTAAGTTACGAAACATCAGAAATACAATTTATCCTCCTCATTAGAATATAACAACTAAAAGGTATTTATTATTAACTTTCTACTCAATACTCAATTTATGTGAAACTATCTAGTCAAATCTTAGCATTGATACCTATCATCATTGTTCATGATCCGATAATATCAGTATTATAAAGAACTTCAGTTATGAAGCATTTCTTATATTATTATAATTCAATTCATTTTGAATAAGTTATCCTTTCGTTGTGATTAAACAATGATTTGATATGTTCACTACACAATTATGTTTATCTCTTCTTCTATTTGGGATTTTGAAAATTTCGATTAATGTTCCTCTAAATTCATTTCTTTTCTATTTTTTGATTACAATTGTTAAGATTGTTAGATGCTCTGGTGTAATTATTCCTTCGAGTATTTTCTTCTGGTTATCTTTGACCTGTTGGTGTTTATGTATTAATGATTACTTGTATCATTTGTTTCCAACATTTCTCAGATATTCTCCAATCTGTTTTTAACAGTAAGTCAGTGGCCAATCTCTAATACTTGTTGGAAGAACATAATGATGTAGGGATTCTTAGAAGAAATATTACCTATTCTTTTGTGGAAGCTTTCTTATTTCTTGTTTTCAAACAGTGAAAAACATGTTACACGCATATGATTTTGTAATGATAGAAAATAATTTTAGTTCAATATGAGGATTTTGTAGGTGTTGTGTTCATTGACGTGGATGATGGTTTAATCGTGAAACTTTTACTGTCTTTTTAGGCAACATGATAAACATAACTTAATCCACTAAATAGTCATTGTATATAACTGTACTTTATTGCTTACTTAATTCTGTTACCCTTTGTTACAACGCTCCGTTTTACTTTAATGTTATAACGGTTGGGTTTCCATGTTTACACGTATGGGACGTTAATTTACCTTAGACGAATATCTACACTAGATTCCCTCCCGGTGTCTATTCTACAGGACTTCAACACAACTCAGATCAAGAACACGTGATTAGCCTGACCACAACGTAAATATATTTTCCCGACACAATCCAACAACAATGAACAGTCAATGATAAGTGAATCGTAATAATAAAAAGGACAGGGGAATACATAACTCATCTGACACATGTCTTACTATCTACATGTCTGACTAAGCAGACAACCAATCATTATCATTCTCGCCCACACATCACCCCTGAGGGAGGAGCATAGGCCGCCTGCCAGCATTCTCCATCCAACTCTGTCCTGGACAATCCCTTCCAGTTGCTATCCTTTCTTTTCATGTCTAGTGTAGTTCTTCTGAAATAAGAATACAGACATTTTTTTCACATTGTTATACCATCTACACTTATCACATGTCCTACTATCTTTGTACGGAATAGAACAATGAACAAGAAAAGTGCTTTTCATAATTTCTCTCTGTTAATATAAACTATATCAATTTCAACTGGTCTATCATCATGTCACTATTGTCCCATTTTGTCTATGAATACTTATTGAACAACTTGATAAGGAATTCCTTTTCAATGTTATTTATCTATTTGATATTTTTAGGTGGATGCGAATGGATCTTAGAAGATACCATTGAATTAACATCGGAATATTGTCCTTTTCAAAATAATATTGATAAGGTAATTTATTCTCTGTATGTGTGTGTGTGGAAAATTTACTCTGAACTATGTATTACAATAATTGTTTTGTTTCTTAGATTTTCGTTGTGAAATAGTTTTCTTTTCTCCAAAAATCGAATATTGATATATATTTTTTCACAGATTGAAATCATGAGACAATTGAAGCTAGACCACCATGGAAAGCCTGGAAGCACCTGATGGCCGTTTCGCCCTAGTATGGGACTCCTCAGCAGTGCTCATTCACGATCCCGCACCTCCCGAGTTTCGAACCCAGGACCTATATTTTTTTATCAATTTAGTATAAAGAGATTTGTAGAGACTGTAGAATTTTCGAAATCTTAATTATGAACTGATCCTAATTAGACCACCATTAAGGGCCTGAAATCACTAGGTGGCTGTTTCGTTTAATGCATAGGATAGATCTGAACCATTGTTACACACAACATTGTCTATCAGTTGATTGATTAGAGTCGATTTGATGTTCAGAGGTAAATCTCCTAACCGCTTTTCTCTCGAAGTTAATATAATGATGCTGAAATGTGTTCTGATGTCCGTGTTGAAAGCGAGTTCTGGCTACACTCCGTATAACTTACTCTACAAGATCAGGTGAATCAATAGATCAGACCTATTTCCTCATTAAAATAGCTAAGGTTTATCTGCCGATGTCTTTTACTGTCCATGAATCCCAATAAGACTGAATCATATTTTGTTTATTAAAGGTACCGTTTGTATTTACTTCGTATTTTGTACCCAGTAATAAGTCTCAATAGAACTATGAAGATTACTCTGGATTTTTTGTATATTGATATTAAATTCAGTTTGGGCCTGCACTGATTGGTAACTATAAACCGATTGAGCTTATTCTTATACGAAGGTATTCTATGGCATCCTCGATATAACGGCAACTGAAATTCACCAACAATTCATTATTATTCTACATATCTACATGAAATAGAGGTCGGGACTTTCAGGATAGCTTTATAATCCCGAAAGGAAGAAAAAACTGGAAATGGATTACTTTGTTCCATAAATTACCGCCGGAGGACTTCAGCACACACCGATTTTAGCAAACTAAAAATTGTTGCAAATAATGAAATAGCTACAAATGTCATCATAGAAAACTGTCAACGCAACTATCTTTTAAATAACCAATTAATATGTGATAACGAAAACAATCGCTAACCTGAACTGTTGTTAGCGAACCCCTCCAGTATGAAGTGGGTTTGATGTGTGGTTGTGAAAGTAAATGTGATTGGTCATTAAGTATGATCAAACAGTCACTCAACTTACTGACAATTCAATATGTGATTTTCTTCCCTCCCGTTGATTTCCTACTCCAGACTCACTAAGACTGCTTGTAATTGTGTAGAATAAAGTATTGTCATGTGTTACTGTGGTTATTTATTCTTGTTTGTGAACGGTGGTATCTGTTATAACATGATCTGGTCTGTGTATAGTGGATCGTTCGAGTATGCAGTAGTGTGTATTGACATTCTGAACTGGATCATCCGTTGAAATCTTTTTAATGTATAATCGTAGTGTCATGGTATACCATGGGAAGAAAAGTATTTTAAATCAACCGTCATATCAAGTTTCTTTAGTATATATGTATACATTCAATTGAACACAATATAATACCTTCATTTCTATCCTTCTAATGTACCAGCTTTTTGTACGTAAATGTAAAATAACTATCATACACTTTTGTTTTACACAAACACTAATTCGTTTGCGGTAAAACTTAGCTATATCGCCACTCCAATGGTGAGCGTTCAAACCGCTTTAAGGTTACAACGCACTCATTAAAATCGAGTTAGTAAATAGTACTGGGAATTAAGATTAAGAGTTAGGGCAAAGGTTTTTTATGTCGCACTAACATTAGCTACCATGCCTGGTTTTAGCGTAATTCGTAAATATTTATATGTTAATTGGCTTAGTAGGTCTGGATCTCAATATTTTATAGGTCGTTTTAGCTTGTTTTACAGCACAGGGTTTGTTTCCTTATTTCATGTAGAATTTCATTGAGATCATAAAGCGACCAATGTTATACTACCATTGAAAACCTGGAAGCACAGTACAGTCATTTCATTCTTGTTTGGGACGCCTCAACGTCGTTGCGCGTCGGCAACTCTGCACATGGTGATCCAACTAAGGACTTTCGCTCTCATGCGCTAACGTTTAACCTCTAATCCACTGATCTTTGCATTCTACGAGTTTATGTATAGTTGTTTTATTTTAAAATCTTTCTCTTCTTAATCAATCATTAGTTATCATCTATTCAATTGGATTGGGTTAATGCAGAAGATGGCGGACATTTACTATCAATCATTATTGATTCGGAAATATTTGTTTTTGCCCCGGTCTGTCAAAATTTTTCATTAAGTCGTAATAAACTACGCGGTGGGCATGCATGTCAGCCAACATTAATGACTACAATTGGTGAAGTGTATGTAGGTTGGAAACCTATCGCTTGTACTCGTATAGTCACAGCTGACTTCAACTCTTCATCATCGTTATCATTATCATCTCTTACATCCATCGAAAAGAAGAAATCAATGCAAACACAAAAACAAGAATCTTGTTGGCGATATTCTTCAACTACTGCCTTGCATGGTGGTAGTAATCATCGTTGTTTTATCAAACAAGCTGCATGGCTTCGTGATGGTCTGTTACTAATTAGTGCAAAAACTGAACTTCAGTTGTTTAGTCAATGGCCATCAGATAATTTGTATAGTTTATTTAAGTGGCATGTAAAACCTAAACTGAGCAGTAAGTTAATCACTTTGTTATTTTATAGATTCTTTTGTAATTATCAGCCATTCAGTTATAAGTGATATTGAATTTGGGATAAAGATATTCAGTGACTTAATTTATCAGATCACAGTAATAAGCACGACAAGATAACATTATCAATTAAAAATCTCAGAATAGTAAATATAATACTATTCGAGAAGAAAGAATGAGTTTGTGAGTCTCAGCTATGTCATCCTACATCTGTAACAAACTTGGTTACAATGGTCGAGCGGACTCCAACCAGGAAGTCTACATGTACCGATACTCACTGACGTAATGAACAAAATAGATGTATTAGTTTAATAGCCTCTGGCTTGTTGTTAACTTAATCCTACACCAGCAAACATCGAAGTCGTTGGTTGGACCTTTCCACTGTATGTCCCAATCACCTCGAGAGATGAAGATTCACAATCTCATCAACCCATTTTACATCTTTTCTTAGTATTATGTTCTTAACCTCAACTCTACTCACTTAGTAATATCAGAATATGCTAGAAATGCTTCCTAAACACTTATGATCAAATACTAGTGACCTACAGATATTTTTTAAGGAGTATGTTTCACAACCATAAAGCAAAATAGAACGCAGCGCTACTTAGTATACTCACCTTGTTATGGATACATGAATATAATTAGCAATAAGATTTATTAAGTTTTATAATTCTTACAAGTTTCACTTTTTCTTGCCTATCATTAACTTCGGATTGATAGTTTTCGTGGAGACTTCGCAAAATTTGATATCAAATTAATTGTATTATAAGATAGTCTGGCATCAGACCACTGAGTTTAGATGCAGAGTATTTCATAACGATAGCGAATCCTAACATTTATGTTTCATTTTCAGTTCTCGATGAATCTAACGTAGCGCATATCTTTTCACTTTTATCCGTGGTACTCAAACCTACTCGCTGTCAACTATTTAGGTAATTTAATCTCCACGACAGTTAAAAACCTTGAGTTTATTTTCTAGTGGAATCATTTGCTCACACTACTATACAATTTAAAACAAGAACAAAACAACTGTCCAGTCTTCTCTCTTTTTTCAAGGGTTTTCAGTTTCGTTTGAATTTACTACATAAATCATATTTAATCAATCTACACAATTCTCTCAAACAAATTATTTCATTGTGTAGAGTTGACAGATCGTGACTAGAAGTGAAATTTAGTACACCTGTAATATTATATTCACTTGTTAACTGGATATAATTGCATTTCAGTGTTCATGTTCACATTGGGACCTGAATTCAGTACCAGTATCTTTCACCTAGAGGCTATCTGAACTCACTGGCTCAGTGGATAACGCTTCAAACTTTAGGGTGAAAAGTATTGATTTTTTGTGCATATAAAAACATCAACACTGAAACTTATGTACATACAACTGACGTTTCATAAATAGGAAACAACAACACTAGATCCCACTGCCACTTCCCTTACATTACCAAAACTCTTAACTATATGATAATGTCGAGGCAATCCGCTCAGGATGCATGTATGTTGAAAAAAATTGATCAAAATTTAGTCCTGAAGAAAAACAACTGAATAGCTCAAACCCTTAATAACAATTTCATTTAAATCACGAATCGATCTAAGTTAGACAACCCTTGAGAACTTAGAAACACTGGGCGACCAATTCATCCTAATATGGGATCGCTCAACATTGTGACTCCACGATCCTGTGAACGAGAATGGGATTCATGACCCTCGGTCTCACGCGTGGACGCTTAACCACTGGGCACACAATGTCATAGATTGACTTAGGTTGGATATTAACACCATTGGCTGTCGGTTCAGTGATCTGTAGGTTAAACATTCGTGCACTATATCAAAAGTCTTTGGTTCAATTTCCAACAGAGGGATTGTGGATTTACACTACTTACGAATCTCATACTAAGATGGAATAATCGTCTGGTGCTTACATGTTTACAATAATGGTCTAACTTCATTAGGTTCATCACTTGAATGAAATTCAAAAATCTTTATAAAATCACGCTGAAAACTTTACTGATAAAGATATAAATAGTGTTTAGTTTTTACATTGGTAATTTGCTCGTTTATTATTCTATTATACGTTTTCACATTTCAGATACCAAATCATTGTATAATTCATCAAGTGCGAATGAGTCATTCGATGCAACAGCAACGACAACAACATCCGATACTGTGGATGATTCTACAGTTTCTGGAAGCTCCAATATGTCAGTAGCACGTTTAACTAAAGCTTATTCACCATATCCTTTAAAGTCATCACCTTCACGATCAATGTTGCATGCTGCTTCAGGTCATTCTAGTTTGTCTAATTTACATGCTACTTCTAATAATACTACTAATACTACATCCGATACCACTAGTGACAATTTTAAAATAACTAGAAAAATGAGCCAAATTGACTTGAATCGTGCCAGCGGCAGTGGATTAGACGTTAAATCAAATGAACAATTATTGAAAGATTTGGAACTCTTATCGAATCTTGGATTATTCGAGGCTATTCAAGTAATCTAATGTTTTGTTTTATCCCTTTGTGTGTTTTTTCGTTTGCAATTTGTTTAACTTGTAACATTTACTTCAGGAAATCGGTTATTGTGACAAACTAATCGAGTTCTGTTTGAAATATTTTTTTACAATACCATTAAACAAGTCGGTTAGAAATGATGATGACACCAGCACAACGTCTCTGTCCAACCTTGGAGTTGCCATCGTTGATGGAGATTGTACTGGGATATAGCGACAGTAAGAAGGATGTCTCACAGATAACAAACATCTATACTGATGTCGCTTACTCATAAGCAGAAGTAAATATAACATACCACTTGTTTGGGTGGCCTCTGCTTTTTCACGAAGGGTAACAGGCATAAGCAAGTAAGTAAGTTACTTCATGGATCTTTGATACCGGTGATAAGGTATAAAAACTACTAAGCTCAAACATTTTTTTCCAAACAGAAATATTCTTCAATAGTCTGAGAAACTGGGAAGTGTCAATCTCTTTTAAAGTATTAACAACAGCCAATATGTATACGTATTAATAAACGGATAATACCCCAACTTCAAAACGATCGTAACACAGTAATTTGATAAAACTTTGTGCACTGGTTTTTATACTCATTAGGTGGATTCTGGATATATATATATATATATATACTGCCTACGTGCCCAAGCCTAAGCAGGTGGTTTTCTTAGGGAGCTACTCCGTAAGTCTTTGGGGGTGATGTTAAGTGATGCGGTCCTATGAGGGTCGGTGACCAACAGTAGGTTCATTCTCTATTTGTTCTTTCAGGACCATTCAGTCCATGTGCACTATTGGTTTAGAATCGGGATTTTTCAACTTTAGGTGAATCCGCCGTACCCACCAACCTGTATTAAGTATCGAACATTCACTTCTCACCCTATAGATTTCCTAAATAACACCACTGTCACGAGAAGGAGGTCAGTAGAATTTTCCTGATAATGGCTTTATACTCGCGAACGTATGAGAGCATTTGTAGAGGGATAGTGGACTACCTCGTAATCGGTTGTACCAGTGCATCTGGGGACAGTTATATACCTTTTTTGTCTGAGGAATAATTTTACACCGGTTTTCAGGAAAACCGAACACTATGAATCAATTTATGTTTACAAAGCATTGTGGTCCAGATGTTTGAGGGTAATGGGCCTCAGTGGTTATCGATTTTATTAGTTGTAAGTACTTACTGACTTACACTTACATAAATTCTTCTCTCTTGTTAGATTGTTAATCCAATACTTCCTCAATTCCATCCTCGCCAACTCTTGGAATGGATGAATTTGGGTCATTTACGTCGTATAAAAGCGATATTAGCGCATTTAACTAGATGTTTATCCGCTATTGGCAATTCATCCCAACGGTCAAGCAGTCAGTCTGATAGTCATCGTAGAATGACGAAAGTATGCATATATTTTTCGAAAAAAAAATATTATTCTCGTTTTATCTTTTCCATTGCTTGATGCAGGCTTTTTTCTTAGGCTTCAATACGCTTTTACTAACCTGATTTTATGAAATGACTTTTTAACTAATTGCGTAGTGTATAGAACATAAGCCAATAACCCTTTCAATACTATGGATATGAGAGTGGAATGACAGTTAAGTAACTTTACAAAATGTAAGTCTGTAACAACAATTTAACCATTTGGCAATATTTCACTCTATAAGAAACAAGGTTGAGAATAATCTTTTGTGTACATTGAAGTAGGTGATAATCGGGCATACGTAATACATGTCCAGACCACCTCGATCAATGACATTTCACAACCGATTTGCTGCGTTTGCCTAGTATCCTACAAAGTGTCACCTCTAAATATAGCTCACCTCCACGAATTTCTGTGGTCAGAAGTAAAGCATTTCGAGTACGAAGGTAACATCAAAAACTCCGCCCAAAAGACCATATGTGACCACCCTTAATCAGTTTCCCGATGGTTGTTTCAATAATGCTTCTCAGTCAACAAGAACACTCAATCCAATATCTTTTACATCTGAGATGTTTGTCGATGTCACGTCCTAGATTTACTAACCAGAATTTCTATTATTATTTTTCTAATCTGCGTATGCTAATTCGTGTTATAGTCCAATGTCATAGGCCTTGATTAATGGTACGTTCCGTTTGACACGATTAACTTTGAGCTAAAACTAAACTACTCTTCAGTTTCTGTTCCAGGTCCCTCAGAAAGAAGTATTTTTCCACGCTGTGAGGAACCAGAAAACTCGAACCGTCCACACATCTGTAATAGCATCCAAGCTCATCTTGTTCACTAGTAAATCCTTATCTTCACTTTTTAATATTTCTTGAGACGGAATCTATTCTTCCTGATTTTTAACTAGATTATCTCTAGGATAAGCCATTAGATATGATGTAAAACGGAGCGACGGTTATAAACTTTGGCGTTATCAGTGGATAGGGGTCAGCACTAAACGTTTTTGTGATATCAGCTTCAAGGAACTGATAGTCAATAGACTTTTTACAACCCAGACGATTTGACGGCAAACGATCCATTCATTTCCCACTATTGCCGAGGATCCGGCGTCGGGACAACGAAATCAAATCGAACCTATACCTATATGTATACCATGGAGTGCATGTTATCTACGGGTTTTCTTCTTTGTCAGGTTGGAGCCAATGAACTAATTCCAACCTTTACCATCTGTTTTAAACTTCTTCCCCATCTTCCACCGGTGATAATGATTTGAATCCACAAAACGCTATACAATTATCATCTCTTGTAAAAACCTTTAATCTTTGCTTATTTTCATTTTTCTAAATAAAATAGTTAATTCCTTTTTCATTTACAAATTTGTATTCTTCTATATTTCTATGTTTAATGTAGGGTAATTTAAATTCAGAACTAACCAATTTTGTTATCGAATCATTCGACTCTACCATAACATCAAAAATGTCGACAACAACAACAAGAATAAATAATACAACATCTAAACCAGTGTCTTCAATATCTCATACACCTCATTCTTCAAATAATCTTTTAGAAATGCATACAATACCTCCTTTACCATTGTATGTTCTATTAGCTGTTGATTCATTGCAAGTAACCGATGTTAATGCAGATGTGAAATCGAACAAACATTTCGGTATGTAGTTTTATTGAGTTTTAATCATACACTTAAATAGTGATAAACAATGTTGTATATATTGTTCAATTCTGTTTTAGTTCAAGCTTCCATCAAAGAGAATGAAAAGCACTTGTTGAAGTTGATAAACGCGCTTACAATAGAAAACGAAATATTCAACTTCCATTGACTATTCAATACTGAATGAATCACATATTCAGAATGCAAATGTAGTTGACATCAATACGAAATTTCAATAACTTGGATACAAAGATAATTCGATAATGTAGTTGAACAACAAGATCTGAATTCATGTCAATAATGAAAAAAATGTTCATACTTCTGTTTGATATTCCGTCTAAATCCTTACCAACCAGAGAAAACAAATGTTTTTGCGTTAAAACATCGGATTCCATTGTGAACAGCCCAAACCAATACTTTTAATACTGTAACGATGTTGAAAATAGGTTTTCCTTTTCTAAAAACTGATGTTTTCTATCCCTCTTTCATATATGTAAAAACAGAATCATTGTCTTAGACTTGCCATCCGTATGATATACCTTACTACTGCCGCATCTCAGTACACTCAGCAGTACAACTTCATCATTGGATTTCCAATACAACACTTTTTCTCTTACCACTACTGAAATAATCTGCTCAACTCAATGATACTTCAATAAACAAATATATTAATCCATTTAGCTCTGTTGAGTCATCAAGATAGTCCAGAACACTGAATCAATGAAGAAAATATGATCTCATTTCACCATACTGATCATGACTATAGAATCTAATCATTAAGAAATTAATATGTATTTACTTAGTTTAATGATGATTACATAACTAGTTTAACCGGAAAATTTTTGATCACGAATTACTCTTTAGGGATTATATAGTGCAACTAATCCTCTTACATTTATTTCAGTATATCTCAGCGGTGATATTTCTAACCGTGACCATGAGTGGTAAGCATTTTATTCTTTCAGTGGACATAAAATCCTTGAAGACTCTATATGCCTCTGATTATGACCAACTGTAAACTTGTGTAAAAATCTTTTTTCAGTATAGGGTTGTGAAGATTATTAAGTTTTTGATTTAGATCATAAATCGATTAATGTTCGACAACCATTGAAAACCTGGAAACACTGGACAACTGTTTCGTCCTATTGCGGGACTCCTAAACAGTACGTATCCACGATTCCGTTTGTGCGATTCAAACCCAGGACTATTATTTGAGTATTTTTGCCTCTGTTTCTATAGTCATCCTGTAATGTGAATTTGATTTAGGTCAAATAGTGTAATCTATAATAGATAATAATAATACTCTTAATATTTTACTATAAACAATGAATATGATAAAATTCTCTGGATTAATCAATGAAAAAAAAGATTTTCAGCATTGAAAAGACAAAAAAGTGTGCGAAAAATTTGCCTAAATAAAACTGCTTCAATCTCCACAAAACACCTTCTGATGCTAATCAACATATGCTCACTAGTGACTGGCTTCAAGATATATATTCTGCAATTCTAGTGAGAAGCAGTGACCAGTGGAGTTCAACTGGGTCATTTGTGAGGTAGTAACTCACTGATGACAATGATGGATGTGTCGCTCATTTTCGTGGATTAGTTGAAGTTAGACATTAATACCGTTGAATGCCGGCTTAGTGGTGTAGTTGGTTAAGCGCCTGACACAAGACTGGTAAGTCCTGGGTTCGAATCCCGCGGGACGGAATCGTGGATGCGCACGGTTGAGGAGTCCCACAGTAAGACGAAATGGTCGTCCAATGCTTCCAGGTTTCCCATGGTGGTCTAGCTTCAATTGACTCATGATCTCCACTGTTGAGATTACTATAATCTCCACAAAACCCTTTCTGATACCATTTAAAATTAGACGATAGTTTGCACTACAGATTAACTTCATCTAAAAAATCATTGAGCATTGAAAAATAATGGATAGCTGTTTTGTTCCGATATAAAGCTCCTCACTAATTTATATCCACGATCTTATCATAACTGAATCTGGGATTGTCACATCTGACAGCGATTATGTTATATTTAGACTACTGAGTAAGTGACATTCTTCTATTAGGACTATTATATTATGTTTTTAATACTTACTTTCATAATGCCTCCCTTCTCTATTTTCTTACAACAACCCCTTAATTCCTTCTAGATTCTATAAATGAATGGAATAATGAACATGGATTGACTGACGATTCAAGCATCTTCCAAATACAAGTATGTATAACACTTGATTAATGAAATTCCTTCTTTTTCTTTCTCTACCGATAGTTTTTTCTCCATAAATCCACCGTGTTTCTGACTTGAATGATGCTATTAGTTTTAAAGGGAAATTTTTAGTCCCAAAGTGAATAAAATTCATTTTATTCTGGCTTAAAAGGTTTCACCATACGATTGTTTACATATTCATAATTGGAGACTCTTTGATAAACACAGTGTCAAACGTCAATTATCTTGGTGTCAACTTTTTTCTCTGATCTGTCTTGGTCTTACCACGTTTTATCGTTATCGAAGACGTTTTTCCGTCTGACCTACTACATTAAAAGATTGCTCTTGGGATTACTCGTCATTTACTCTTACAATTTGTCAAGTCTTGCATATTACCTATCATTGTTTACCGTTCTCCATTATTCTCTTCCGGGCTTTTGAGAAAAGACTTTGTTGTATTGCAGAGTGTGCTGTTAGCAAGGTGTGTGGTGAATCTTTTGAGGTCATAATTAATATGTTTGTGAATAGACATCTTAAGTCATGCAAACTCCTGGTAGGTGTTATTTTATCAGACACTAACCATCCCCTTCACTCTTATCTTTCGCCTTGTATATCTTCTTCTGGTAGAACGAGACGTAATTACATTAAAATCGATGCACGCAAGCAAAAGTATAAAATTTCTATAATACCTTACTTAGTAAATATACTCTATGACGAACAGGTTGTTAGAGTTAACTTAGTCAATAACCTGCCTCCTTAACATGTCTCTAATTTTAAAAGTTGTACAGTTTTTCGGTTGTTTTTTTTAAAAAAACCTCTTTTATTTCTTTTTTTTGTATTTGTTACTGTGCTTTTTTTGTTGTTGTTGCGTTAGTAACTTGTTGAAATACCCTGTGCTGAGAATTCTATATTGTATCAAAATATAATATTGAATAAAGCCATTAATGATAATAATAATAATAATAATAATTGGCATATATGCTTAAGTATTGTAATAAAAACTATCGACTGTAAGAGCGCTAAAAAAAGCCTACGAAAACCAGTAAAATTTTGTAAGTGCTTTGGCTAACCATAGTCATTCAGAAATGTCTGAGAAATTTCTAGACAATGACAATTTTTACAATCATTATCTTAATAGGACAATTATTGATTTATTAAGAGCCGATTTCATCATGTTTTCTGGAATCTTCTACAGTTCCAAGATCATATTTAAACCTATACCTATCCATGTTTTGTGTGCGACAACTAATCTGGAAAATAAATGTTCCATTCATCTGACTTTTGATTTATTTATGGTTCAGGAATAGACGATTTCTGGGGTTTAAGAGGTGGTTAAACAATTGAAATGTAAGTGGTCAAGTACACCACATTACATTTCGACAACCTTTATTTTGAAATCTGTATTCTATATTATTGTTTCATTTTCAACTTGGATGACTCTACTTGTTCGTATCTTCTTATTAGAATTTTTAAGCTCTCATCTCTCAACTATCTTCTCAGTATTAGTGCGAACTGGTAAAAGTTTTGTTTTTACACAGTATTTATTTTCGAATATCGTCTTAAACTGGAATATATTATAGTTATCAGTTTTTGAATGACTTTCAGCTGATATTCAATTCATAAAACGTATTCTGTTGAATTAAACTAATCTTACGAAGGAACCGACGAAAATGTTCAGTAAATACTGAAAATATAACACAAATTTCCTATTTCGCCTTCAAACTGAACAAATTCTTCAGTTGTATTAAACTCTATGTGATCGAGCCGTTTTCTCTCGAGTGTGAATATTCGCCTATGTAAAACCCTAGAATTGACAGTGACCTATTTCATCAATGACATTTGAATCATTTGATTGTAATTCGAAGCGAGAAAGGTAGTTTCCATGGATATAGAAAGTTCATCATTTGCGTGTGGTCTGCGATACTGCCCGGGTGCCCAGACCGAAGCAGGTGGTTATCTTAGGGGGCCACACCACGAGCCTTTGACCTAAAGGTCCAACCCACAAGGGAGTGGAGCATCGTAAGGAGATGCAGTCCCATGGTAGCCGTTGTCCGACGATTGGTTCATACGCCATTTGTTCCCTCAGGATACTGGAGCCCATGTGCACCCCTGGTTTGGGATCCGGTTAAAGCCAGTGCCGGACATTCGCTTTTCGTCCTCTCATTTTCGTAAACAACAATAATGCCACGAGAAGGCAATGAGTAGAACTTCCCTGGCAGAGGCTGTTTACGCGTGGCTGTGTGAGAATATTTCGAGAGGGTGAGCGGATTCTCCACTCTCGAACGTACCAGGGCATTTGGGGGCAATGACATAGTGCCTGATGAACAATAATCGTACTATCATGGTATATCGTGGAATGAAAAATATTTCATTCCATCCGTTATATCAGAAAGTTCAATCTTGCTCCAGTCCTAAGCGTAATTATATGCACTGATGTCTTTATATAGCGTTTAACGAATTCTTCTATAGTCGTATTACTTCATTCTCTTTCATCGTCTCACTTTAGGATGATGATTTAAATCTCAGTTCGAATAACGATGATGACGATTATGATGTGACAGATAAAAGTAACCCATCAAAAACTATTCATCATTCAAATCCATCATTCAATACATCTGCAAACAAATCATCACATTTATATGGATTTAGTATATGGTCATTGAAACCTGCAGCATTAGCCCGTAGTATACAATTTTCAGAAGATGATGCCCGTCTTCTTGCTGATCAGTAAGTGTTTCTTCTTTAATTAAAAAAATTCGCGTAAAAGTTTCCATATTTTTTGTAAATGGGACGGTAGAACAATCGTTAAAACTTTTGATTCTTGACCGACAAATTACAGATTCTAGCTGCGTTACATTTTCATCGGCCTAGGCAACTGCCTATTATCACTGCCCATAACAGTTAGAGTATATTTTCATGCCAAGTACACGAATCGGTACCCGGTAAATAAGCTCTAGAAAGAGTTCATTAATTACTGAATAGTTGCTGTATGCTATTATTATCTCTATGTCTAGTTTTAATTCATATGTATTGGTTATTGAATCTCCCCATTGATATTTACGACTGCAATTGACGAATTTCTCTTAAAATATGTGCATTCTGTTTAAGACACGGGTACATCCAGCTGATGAGTCCTAAATTGGACGGAACACACGTCTTTGATTCAATTGCTAGGCATCATCCATTTCCGTCTAAGAGCTTAGAGTAATGTTGTTAGGTAATTATTGATATGTCTATCATCTGCCTAATTAATTATCTTTCCTTTCACATTCTCCTATCATCACACATATTATAAACTTTTGTTTATCACCGAATCAATGCTCCGCTGTCCTTCAACATAGTTTGTCAACTCAACGATTACCTGGTCTTTCATCACTGGATCAAATGTATTTATTGGGTATAGCTGATTTAATGGCGAAAACACGTTCCGATATTACGGATTGCTTGTCAAAAGTGCATTCATCAACTAAAGAAAAGAAGCTGGATCAATTGCCACGACGATTATCGATTAAACAGGATTCTAAAGAAGGTTATTATTATTATTATTACTATTAATTTCATTTCGTTTGTCAACTCATTCACTAAATACAGATTTGTCTATTTAGTTTCAATCCACATTCTGAGTCCCAAGGTTAGTAATATGGTGTGCTACCTATGCTCACAGTTATAAAAAGTATGTAATAGGAACTGGGAATGAATGATAATCAGCAGTAGATTGAAATAAAGAGAACATGAATGAAAACAGAGAGAAATCGGAATAACAACAAGAAAAAAAGAATGATAGCGTATGTAAACGACAACTTAATGACGATAGGCAGATGATTTATTTGATGTATGATTTCCATATTTTACATAAGCACTGTGTGATTTGACATAGAATTATAAATTATTTTTTCCTCAACAAGTCTTTGTCTCCATAAACCTGTATTTTAATCTTCGAATTCATAAATCAAATTAGAACATATTAATTTGGTGAACTCGAGGAAGCTCAAATAAGCCCAGAACGGGCTGAATATATTCCATCCTATCATTTTTTGAAAGAATATTCCAGGATCTCTACATGTAGCTTCCCTATTGGCCAAGTGCTAAAGACCCCTGTATACACATTGGATGACCATAATATAATTTCGCTTTTACTAAAAACTATAAATATCCGAAAATTTCATACCATATGTGACACTATTTGGAATAACATTCCTTACACTTGTCTTCTGTCTTCTCATTTGCGACATTGCACTGTTTCTAAAGGTAATGTGACAACGAATGCAACAGTATACATTACAAAGAATCCAGCACTCCACTTGTTGCGATTAGATCTGATAGAAACCTTAAAACTAGCAAGGCATTCAAATAACATCTGCAGCAGAATCAAAACCCACTCTAAGTGGTTATCACTTTTCAGAATCCATCCCAACAGTGTTAGCTGACAGTTTTAGGTTTCACTTATATATGTTTAATAGAAAGCGGGTTTAATTCTAACCAAATAACTAACCGATTGCTCTTGGCAACCAAATCTTATTGAAAGTTTGGATATATATTTACATTCAATCCATTAACGAACTCATCTCTATTGATCAGATGTCTTTATTAAATTAAACGTGCCTAATTAAAATATATATTAGTTTACTGTATTTCAATTAACTAGTTTGATTTAAGTTACCTAATCATCCATGATTATTCTCATTGTAATGTAAATAAATTAACAAAATACAATAAACTGAATCAAATAGATAAGTAGTATATTCCATAAGTATTAAAAAAAAGGTAGTTCGTTCCACCTTCAAGCATTCAATGTTTATCATTACAAACTATAATGAAATTAGCAATCAACTTGTATATAGAGATAAGTTTTTTATCCTTAGAAATTTTAAAAGTAGTATTAAAACATAAACAGCTTATACTTAGTTGAGAGTACGATTCAAACATCAGAAAGACTAGATAGTGTTTTCTTTTTAGTATCAGAATTTTTAACAGTCTAAACCTAATGAGATCAGTTTGTGAAAAATGCAACCTGCAAATTTATTCAATCCTTTACATTACTCCTTCAATTATCATTGTTTAATTATTCACTGAATATTACGTTAGCTAATCAGTTATACGGAACTTAGGACCTAGGGACATATATTCATCAGTTCAAGTTGCTATTCTATGTTAACACAAAAAGAAGGTATCAAGTAGGAAACTGCTTGTAAATACTTGTACTTTTTTGATGATTATTGTGGTAATTTTCCAAGTTCCAGTACCTCTGTACTGTACTGTATTGTATTGTATTGTATCGTACTGTACTGTACTGTACATAATTTGAAAACATGAATACTACTAATAATAGTATAAAAATAAACACAGAATAAAGTCGGATTGTGAATAACAGTGGAATCCTTTACGGAACTACCTTAATAACTACATTCTATTGTTGATGTTTGGACTATTTCAAATATACCAAAAACGTGCTACTTTAATAGCTACCTAGAAACAGTCTACTCAGGTTCCACATATACCAATATGAATTGAACAATTATAATCTTTAATACTAGCTACATGAAAATGTAAACTCCACTTCGAAAGTACAAAGTAATGGTAAGAATCAGTATTTTCATTGAAATTTTAAAAATGAATGCAACTGTTCCAATGTTATTTAAATTCTTGAATCCATTGGTTACAATTATGCCATGGACATAAATCGGGTTCAATTCACCATGCTCTTCAACATAATCTCTCGTTAGCATGATTATTGTGTATTTTTAGTGTGTAACTGATTTTGATAGATTACTGGGTTTTTTTCGTAGTTTATATAGTTGTTCAATTAAGAGGCAAACAATCTCAGGAATTCTAATTAGAAACCATGATCAGCGGAGTTCACCCTTATCGAACTTGAGACAGTTTAACTACTAGGGTCGATAAAAGATGTCTTGAGAATATCGAACACTGATTAAATTTATAAATGTAAACCATTAGATCCTGACTAAGTGACCTAAAGATAAAAAAATTCTTGAGCTCAATCCTATGTGATACATTCGTCTAAGCACACAACTGAGGAATCATTCACTAGGACGAAACAACTGTCTATTATTTCCTATTTCTCAGTAGTTTTTCAATATCATCAGTTCGTGATGTAAACTTTAAGAAAATGCTTTACTATTCTATCTTTTTATCAGAACATAATTAGTGTAAATTTATTGTTGTTGATTTCTTCCTTTATAAAGGTTTAGATGAGTGTGGTCTTCGATTTCTTTTAACAGTTCAATTATATTCTTATTTAAGTAAAACATTACCACCTGCACGTCGATCACAACTACTTGTAAGTTTTATCGCTTCATTTTTAACAGTGATGATCGTTTCTTTTTGGGGGTTTTTCTTCAATATTAAGTAAGATTTTCATTTAAATAGGGTTGGCTTAATAGGGACTAATTGTTCTATAGATGCATTATCGTATATTATGGAAATCATTGTGTTTCATAATTTGCATCTCGTATTGATCTTAGTTAGACAAGCATTGAAAACTAATACGTTCAGGTTTTCAGAAGTTGCCTAACTAAGAACTACAAAACTCAACAATCTCCACAAATCTCTTAAGTTAATGATGTACTTATTAGTTGCTGATTGCACCAGGTTATTCCAGAGTTCTATTAAGAAATTGTGATCACTGGACTTCACCCATTTCGGGTATGATGTAATTACTCATGAATAATATTGGAAAATGGTTATATCATGTCACGAATTTATGTCGATTCAGTAGTTTTTAAAGTTTAATCACCTATTACAATTTTTTGAGGCTCTTGTGAAAACCTCAATGCATATTGAGACAATATAGAGTGGGTATTTGGTTAATAAGTAAAGTAGATTCGTTCATTATATACAAAGTCTTCTCAAAATATGATGCATTATAGTATTTCTGTGTCCACCAACTAACCGCTTTTGGTTTACTTTCACAGGGATGATGAATGTCGCTAGTTCAAAGCTCCACAGAATTATTATTATTATTATTATTATTAATACAGTGAATACTTTCATAATGATAATGTATATATCGATTCTTTTATTTCTCATATATTGTATTTCAGTCGTCTGGCCTAACTAATTCCAGTCTAGTATGGGCATATCATTCGGATTCACAAGAAGAACTACTATCACAATTACCAATAGTTTCTAATCAATTAGGCGGTAGTGAAGTCAGCGGTGCTGATTCATTAGAATTAAATTGGTCAGATTTCAAACGATACGGTTGTGGTTGGTGGATACGAAGTGAAAGTCTTCTGATTCGCTGCGCTGAGAAAGTATGTACATTTCGTCATCAGCGTGTTAACAGCTATGTATACATGCAATCGTAGAAACACATATTTACGATTTCATTAGTTTAAACAGTGGTATTCGAAGCGATATGTTTACTGAGTTGGATGGTGGGTAGAAATGGAATCGAGGATGCACATTCTGTCCTATTTGAAATTCTTCAACTCAATCTACTTGCATCCCAGAATTAGTACTCATGATGAACCCAGTTCTTTTCACTCCAAACACCCAATGTGTTATCTGCTTAGCTACTGAGTTCAGATATCCACTGGCTTGTGCAATGGCGTGAATTTCAATTCATTTGTATGGGCTATTTAAATCCTCTTACTGCGTTATGAATTGCAATTGAACAGTCTCTTTTAACAAATGGGCATTGTATTCGGATATTGACTTAATATATTACCATTAGGTCACAATCATTATAAGCTAACTTGTATGGTGAATAGCAGTGAAACTTAGCACACGCGTTTCGTACTGTTTGGGACCCATCAGCTGAATTTGAATACATAGGATTTACGTATGTAGAGATATACTGATCATTTGCAGTCCATCATGTTATCATTGTAAGATTACTGCTTTATGGTCTTGAAATGAGTGCATTACAGATAGGTGCATACAGCTATCGAATCCTAACTTATGAAAAACATAACAGATAACCGATTTGGCTTCTGTTTTACGGTACATGAGATTGTTGTGTAATCCTTAGATCTGATTTTAACTATGTAATAAGATACAGTCCGAAAACTGGATAAAATATATAGGCATTGTTTATTGTAACTTCACAACTGTTTCCTATTATCTGACTAGGTCCATCTAGGAACTTTTAAAAACTTTGGGTTTACCTCGAATCCTATCAATTTGTTCCAAAAAAATTCTATTCCATATAAAATTAGTATAACTCTTTCAACAGTGTGAAATTCATATCATTGCCTTGTATATCCAATTAATTGCTAGTATAGTCCAAGTTTATAGAGAACTGTCAGAATTATCAATCTTAAGGCTGTCCACTTCCCCCATATTATATTCAGAGATAGTGCTCTCATCTCCTGACTTTTTATGATTCCATTTATTACCAAAAGATTTACTCTCATATGATATACTTTTGTTTGACGAAGATGCTGACAAAATCCAGTCCTCTGATCACCTTAAGTAATGATCGAAGGATGTTTGGCAAGCGTTTCTCTACCGACGACTGCAAGATATTGCTTTAAGGCTGGTTTTGATTAACGTTCGAATTATTTGTAAGTAGTAGTAGTTGGACGTATTGATTAATTAACTTGAAAGTCTCGCCAGTCCTGGTTGTTTAGTGTCTGATGAATTCTCGGTACGGATTCAGTAATCTTTATTGGCTTCTGCCAGCGTTCATCATATAATAGCATAGGGGAATTATCGTTCTGCCGAAAATGGACAAGTTTACTGCCTGGTTTTTTTCTTTCTTTTCTACTTTCTATGTGAAACATGACCATTAAGAATAGAAGATTATCGTAGGCTTCTAGTATTCGATTGTAAGTGTTTTTTTAGCACCTCTGGTGTGTGATTTTGAACCACTGTGTGAGCAATTTCTGAGTTAGACATGAGATACTTGATAAAGTTAGCAAATCGACTGATGAAGTAGTAAATTTTCATTAAGTGAGGTTACTGGGACATCTTTTTTCGAATGCCTAATCACCATGTACTTTGACAGGCTATGTTGTCAGATTTAGGTCTAGGTTGGAAGAAAGCGGCCTTATATACTGGAATGCGTTCATTCGTTTTATTCACCTTGTTTTCTAACAGATGGCTCGTACAGCATTTCAAAATACTAAAGATCCAATGGAATCTGCTGTCTTTTATCTGGCTATGCATAAAGCTAAAATGGTGGCTGCATTATTCAAGTAAATTTCTTATTCATGTTATTTTGGTAAACAAAAATGTTCATTTTCGTTGCATTCTTTTCGCCCGTATTAATTAAATACATTGTTCAAAGCCCTCGCTTATTCCTCGGGGAAATTTTTCAGTAACCAAGAAGATTTTAAAACTATTTCATGCTATCAGAATTCTCTAGGAAATTTACTCAGTTAGATGGAGGAGGAGAAGATTTGTAGCTCAGGTGGATGATTTAGGTGAAGTTTTGTCCTGTGAGCTACATGATTTGATCGTGGAGCCTTCATTGCTCATTTTGAACAACATCAGCACAAACTTTAGTCCTTTAGCCTAAATGTCGAGTCTGCCTGCGACCTCTTGAGCAATTTTGACCTGCTGGGTCATCTATCTCCGATGTTCCCCAGCAACCGGACGTCCAACTTCTTCTCATCAACAGTGACTGTTACGGACAGCGCCGCCTCGCCAAAGCACTCCATTCAACGTCTTTTTCCTGCGCAAGGCCGCACTAACACTAACGTTTCCTTTTCCAGCCCTAAACGGCGTCTGCAGAACTGCACGCTCCTCACCTCCTTTTTGGCAATATATACAAAGAGTGAACATCAACTTTGAGATGCAGGCACATCCAGCTGACGAGTCCCAAATAGGATAAAACGCGTGTCATGGATTTCACTGCTAGACACTATCCATCTTTAATTACGAATTCCTTGTTTGTGATGTACACTTGTCAAACTAATTCTCCAAGTGTGTACATATTAAGGGAGACCTATTTATGTAATACAATCTAACTTATACAACCTAATTACTATACAACTAATTTTGCATATGTTTCCTTCATTTTATTTTCATTTACTAACATATTAATTAATCTTTCTTTGAAAACAAAAACACAAACTACCAGAACCACTGGTAATAAAACATTGGAGAATTTCTTCCGATCCGATTTTACACCAGGGCAACCAGCATGTCGTCAAGCTAAATTAAACGCATTCCGTTTACTAAGTCAACATAAATATCTTCAGGCTGCTGGATTATTCTTATTGGCTGGATGTTTAAATGATGCAGTACGTGTTTGTTTGGATACTCTGAAAGATTTACAAATGGGTATTTTATTAGTTAGGTACGTTAATTTTTATATTAATATATTCATGTATATATTGTAATCTCAACTGAAACTTGTAAATTAACCGATTACCAATCTTACAAAACATTATTTGCTATTCATTTGCTCCCAAATACCCTGGTAAGGCCAAGGGTGGTGAGAGTCCGCTGTTCATTTTAAAACGTTCTCACATGGCCACGCATATACAGTCACTACCAGGGAAGTACTACTCACTGCCTTCTCATGGAGGGGGTGTTTGATTTTACAAAATTTAAAGTACGAAAGGCGAATATCCGACGCTTCAACCAGGTTGATGGGTAATCCACGTAGAGAGTTGGAAAACTGATTTTCAAACTAATGATGCACATAGGATCCAGGATCCTTAGGAGACAAATGGTGTATGAACCTATTGTTGGTCACCGGCTATCATGAGACTGGATCTCCTAACGTTGCTTCACTGCCTTATGGATTAGATCTCTAGGTTAATGCCTGTAGGTGTGACCCCCTAAGAAGACCACGTGCTTCGGTTTGGGCGCCCGTACAGTATTCCAGTCCTCACAGAAGTCGAATAATTTATGTGGTGCATCCTTGTATCAATGCTTATATGTTTAAATAAATGAAATAAATCAAAAATACCAACACCAGGTTGCATGCGATTGTTAAATGTTCTTAATTATTCTTCAACGTTATCCCCTCAACTCTTCATATCCAGACCCCATTTACAGTAATTGTAAATAATCAAAATTGATTGAAAGTAATTTCATAATGTACAAATCTCTAAACTAAGTGAATAATTAACAGAATACAGTAGAACAACACGTTGAAATGAGTAATTACTGAATTTATCAAAATCCTTACGAATATTAAACTGGATGATTTAGATATGTAATTCACCGTTAATCTTACTTTGTATCGCTTCTTCTCAATTTCAAGTCAAAGGATTGTCAGATTTTTTTTTGAAAGGGGGATTTTGAATTTATGGTGACCTGCTTGAATATCTGGGCTACCTGTACTTGCCATCTAGATATTTCACTAAGTTATCTGTTTTTTTTTTTCTAACACATCATTATATCTATTAATTGCATAACCTATTTACTTGCGTTTATGCAAAGTTTGCGACCTTTCATTTTACAACTTACAAAAAACCACGATCATAAACACTGTGGTTCCTGGCAATATACATTGAGAGGAATGAACATTATTCAGATGTCGATTCCTGAACTGCTAACATCTAACTGACAATCACTCGATATTTACCGTCAGGATCGATCAAGAAATAAGAAAAGGAAACTTGTTGAAATACTTTGTGGTGACAATTCTATATTGTACCAATAATATAATATTGAATAAAGCTAATAATAATAATAACTCAATTAGTCTACTTTATTTTTGTAATGACGTTCATAGTGTTCTATTTTGGTCAATAATTCTAAACTGTTAACTGTTGACCAGGTTCACTCCCATGTGTGGTCGTTTATACGCACTGCTAAGCAAACTCGTACTAGAAAGAAATAGCCGTACTCAAGTGAGTATGAATTATATTGAGAGTATCCATTCTCTCAAGTTTTCCAGTTACACCTAACTAACGAGTCCCAGCTAACCTGAAATTCAGGTATATAGGTTTTTCTGATATCTAATTTCAAATCACTTTACCTTGAAACATAGTGCTCATCATGTTAAGCCACTGAGAGTATTGATCACATTACAAATTGATCAATGAAATCTGATCAACAATGAGTCCATTGTGTATAATTATTTTTTTTGAATACTGACAGACTTTATACATCATCAGCTCAAGGTATTCCAGGTCAACAAACAACGACATCCTCGACGTATCATGATTTTCTAAGAGAACACATAATTAAACATCAAGATCCATTCCTAAGAAGTATGGCGTTTTGGACATTGGTTAGTTAATTTGTCTTTGTTTTCTATTTGCTTTCCTTTTGTTTAACTTTCGTATTAAAAAGAATAGTAATAATAATAATAGCCTTATTCAACATTCTAAGTAAAACATAATGAACAGCTATTCTAGTGTATTCGTCTTTTAGTATGTAGACGATCATTTTGTGTACGCTATATTAATCGTTAAGAATAGTGATACAGTCAAAAGGAAAAGTGTTGGTATTCGTCGTAGAAAGAACAGTAAAAAGTAACGAAGAGATTTGATTGTGAAAAAGAGAATCACAAATGCTGTTAGAGTTTAGATATCGGTTCCACATATCGTAAAGTGATATTTCGTCCCTAAGGGACCTGGAAACGAAACTGGCTTTGAAGTAGTCATATATACTCATGGTGTGTGACTTTAGAGCCCACGAAACACGGTCATTTTGCCATAGGTTTTATAATGCTTTACTTCTGTACTTTATAGACTTTACTACTGGTGGTGGAAATACATGAGACAAGATGATACTGCCTCCTTCCGTTGTTAGGAGGCAATGTCACTATAGACCCTGGTTATCTGAAGAAAGCACCTTATTTTTATCACATCCCAGTACAGTCAGTAATACATCTCAACCTTCAAACATTAGGTTATTGCTTTTCGTTTTACCGTTCTTCAATCAGCCTGCCTGGCATTGTAGGACCTTAAGTAACAAGCTCTTTAGTCATTATGTCTTTATTTGGTCATCACATCAAAGTATCAGCTATGTTCGTGAAGTACATAATACTTATATTCGATATATGGTTTCCATCGCATTTCAGATCTGTTAATCACTGACATTTGACATTGCTTTACTGTACTATCGAAAAGAACTTGTCTATTGTTTGAATAATTATAATTTGTCAACTTTTTTGACAAATGTTCGCATTATGTGATTTTTATTTACATTTTAGGGTGATCCATTAGCTGCCTTGCAAACATTATTAGAAGGACCTGGAATATTAAGTAATTCTGAAGATTTTATCGTATCTGAAAAGAGAGATAGTTTAACCGATTCAATCTATCAAAGCCCACAACATCCTCAATATCTTAGTGGTAGTCAAAGCGTCATAACTGGTAGGGATGCTTCAAAACCATCATCTGTATGTCCAAGTGTTTTCAAATTCTACACGTATCTACAATCACATCCATTAGTTTTACGTCATCAACGTTTACAAGCTCCAAATCTAATCAATTCTACTATATTATATCGTGTAAAAAGTTTAGAAAGACGTTTATACTTTCGTACTGCCCATCATTATTTTATATTGGGTTGTCCAACATTAGCATTGGAAGTTTTGACCAAATTACCACCATTGGAATCTTCCGATTCATCATCTATACTTGGTTTACATAGAATGTCAGTTAATGAATCTATCGAAAATAAATCAAGGCGTCAATCGGTATTCTCTTCAGATGCTGTCGTGCAATCTGTAAATAAACAAAAGTATGTTTATTTAATTATTCAAACATATATGGACCACTTTATCTTTAATTAATCCTGTTGTGATGTGCGGTGTCGGAAATTTGATACTGGTACACGGTATGCTATGCACCAACACCCCCAACTGCCTACTTGAGGGAGAAAGTGTATTGGACTACTCAATGAAATACCACTCTATCCTTAAGAAATTGACCCCATTGAAATGCACTTGACCTTTGGGTCACTTCTGATTGCCATCTATTTTTCAAATTCTCTCAATCAAGCTGCAATATTGAAGTTTCTTGTCGATCAGCTTTCACTACCTGTACTTACCAACTGACTTATCTAATCATTACCAACAAATTTTTCATATGATATACCTATAAACCGTTGAACATTGACCCATTGGTTTAGAGATTGAGTATTCGTTCGCAAAACCATAGTTCATGGGTTTGATCCCCGTGTGCAAAGGCAGGACGTTTACCAAGTGATTTTCTTGGGATCTAGCATCCCCAACATTTTTGTCATGAGATGTAGAACGACTGAAAACTGAGAAACACTGTCCTGCTTGTTTTCTTATTATTAGACTTCTCAGCTATTGTTCATCTATGACCTCATCAACGATGGAAATCAGAACCTTCCTCCACTTCAGCTAGCACTCCAATTTGTAACCGCTTAGTTAGCATCTAGTAATTTCCATCTTTAACTTAATTCAATTCATGATAGTTTGTGAACATCATTAAGTGCCACCTATGATATTGAGCTCACTCTTAACCCAGTTAGATTTTACTAATCACAACATCTCACTAAAACTCTTGGGATTTTTTCTCAAATTTAATTTGGTTTAGTGGTAATCCCATGATGTTTATTAGTACTTTGGGAATATGATGTTTGTCATTCCTTGATTTTGTAAACTACAAAAGTAGTTTTAACAAAAAATATGATTTATCTCTTTATTTAATTTCTATTTCTTTAAATCTCTCTTTTAAAACACAACTAGTAACGATGATGATATTTTCACATTCATGACACCTGATGTTCCTTTGCAAAAATCTACAACAGAAGATCAATTTACACTTGAATGGAGTGATGATAATGATGATCAGACGGATCATGATGATACTATTGATCATGTGAAGAGTAATACAGTTCATATGAATCAAAAACAACAAATGTTATCACCATCAGCCCAACAACGACCTTCACTTCATTCAATAGGTAGTTATAATATCGAAAGTGAGTAATTATCGTGTTTCGTTTCTGGGTAAATAATTCAAAGTAACCAAGGTAAGAATGTTGTATCATACTGACATCTACCTTGAGCAATTTTTGAGCTGATCAGGTAACAGTACTTAGTTATAAACAGTAGAGAATAGGCGGAAATTGCTCGTAAAGCCTCTCTTCAATGTTATTTTATGTACAGAAAAACATAGGTATGTATATAGTCGCACATAAATTCAAGCTTTTGAAAGCATACTAAAAATAGATGTAGTATATGTAAATATCCAGTCAAAACTGTATCTCCTTGTATCACTCTTTTCATTAATGAGAACTCTTTCTATTTCATAATTTATAAAGTATGTACACTGAATTGTTTTTACAAAGATTCATACAATTGTGTTTAGAGGTTGTAAGAAGCTGGTGAGTAACTGTGAAATTCATATTATCCTCCTAAATTAGTTCTTCTTGTTGATGTCTAGAAAAACGTTAGGGGCGACCAAACCAAAACGTGACATCAGTGCTTGAATTCACTAACTTCTAGTCTTAGCCATGTTGGTAGATGCAAATTACTTGGTTGGGGTCTGTGCAACTATTGCAGCCAATGGTTAGAGACTCTTGGTGACATGGCTCAGAATCTATCAAAATGGCGTCCGTGTATACACTCTCCGTCTTCCCTTAAACCATGAGATTGAAATCGCTTCACATTTTTCTTTCTACGATCTAATTCTTTCTTCCTGTATCATATCCTTATATGCAATCTTTCTTAATATATCACTACCATTGAAGTGACTACTTCTATGAATTTGATGTTCATCTTGTTGTGCTAATGTGGTATGGCAACTTGACCCGATGGATATATGTGCCTGGTCGAACTTTGTAGCTGAGTGACTCACTGACTCTTGTTAAAATCAATTTGATAAATAAAGAAACAAATTGTATGAATCCGATTTATAATGTTTTGTTTATTTATTCCTTACGCAAAACAAACATTTGATTTGTCTAAAGATCAAGGTGTAGTGGACTTAATGGCAAATCAATTGAAATTTATTGCTTGTTTAAAAATTTTGGCGGAAGAATTAAGTACACTGGCTGCTGGCGCTGAAGTAAGCAGATGATTGTTTTATTTTGTATCATATTATGCCTTTATTTATTTATTTAAACGCATAAATGTTGGTACAAAAGAGCACCCAAAAATATATACACTGCATAAAATTTGTCTGAGGGCTGAGATTTTACTCGATTCCTTAAACTGAAGCAGGTGATTTTCTTTAGGGCGCCACTCCTCGAGTCTTTGACTCAAAGGTTTTATCCACTAGGAGGTGAAGCGACGTTGGTAGATGAGGTCCCATAGCACCTGGTAATCATGAATAAGTTTATGCGTCATTTGTTCACTTAAAATGCTGAAGCCCATGTTCACCATTGCTTTGGAACCAGGATTATGGAGCTTTTCTAAGTGGATCCTCTGTGCCCATCAACCCAGTTTTAGCAGTGGACATTCACTTTTCATCCTCTCAATTTCATAAACAACACTCCCGTCGTGAGAAGGCAACTAGTAGGACTTCCCTGTAGTAGCTACATATGCGTGGCCGTATGAAAGCATTTGTTGAGGGTTAGTGGACGTTCTCCATCCTCGGACATAACAGGCCATTTGGGGGCGTTTTATGACTCTGGATCAAATCACATTGTCTTCAAGGAAGCAGCAGCTGCATCTGGTAACTACCGGAAGCTCTTCCAACTCATCCGAGCCACTGGCAGTAAGAAGTCTGGTTTGAGTGAAACTATTTGAGAGGATGATGGGATGCCAATCACCAACATCCATCTACGTCTTGGACGATGGGCAGAATTTTTCGAAGGGCAGTTCATCTGGCCTGCTGCTCCGGCAACATCGGTCAGACTGTCCTGCCCTCCATGGCCGGTGATGACTGATCCACCAAACGAGGAGGAAGTCCGCAAGGAACTCCAACTCTTGAGGCGCTCCAAATCACCTGGCCCAGATGACTTACCTCCGGCTCTTTTTAAAGATGGTGGTGACTTTTTGACTAAGGAATTGACGAATTTGTTTACAAAGGTTTGGGAATTAGAGAGTGTACCAACGTCATGGAATGAGTCGATAGTTGTCCCTATCTTTAAAAAGGGTTCACGTCGTTCCTGCAACAACTATCGGGGGATAAGTCTACTTCCGATTGCGTCCAAGCTATTGGCTTCCGTCATACTTCGTAGGTTGTTCAAAACCCGAGAAAGATTGACTCGCGAGGAGCAGGCTGGGTTTCGTTCTGGTCGAGGTTGTATTGATCATATCTTCACCCTCCGCCAAATGTTAGAACATCGCCATACTTATCAAAGGCCAACAATCGTAGTGTTTCTTGACATCAGGGCTGCCTTCGATTCGTTGGACAGGACTGTTCTCTGGGATTGTCTATTGAAGAAGGGTGTGCCTGAGAAGTTTATTAACATCCTGAAAGCCCTATATAAAAACACCTCAGGCAGAGTGTGGGCATACAACCACCTCTCTCCATTGTTCTATACGAGTAGTGGGGTTAGGCAGGGTTGCCCAATCTCACCATTCCTCTTCAACTTTGCCATCGATGACATTCTGGAAACAGCTCTGATGAATGTAAGTAATGGTGGTGTGGATCTGTTGCCTGGAGAAAGACTTCTCGACCTTGAGTATGCGGATGATATTGTCTTACTGTGCGATAATGCCCAAGGCATGCAATCCGCACTTAATCAGTTGGCAATCAGTGTCCGTAGGTATGGTATGTGCTTTGCACCTTCGAAGTGCAAAGTACTTCTACAAGACTGGCAGGATTCCAATCCTGTACTCACCCTGGATGGTGAGCAGATAGACGTAGTCGAGAAGTTCGTGTATCTGGGTAGCTGCATAAGTGCTGGTGGGGGTGTGAGTGATAAGATCAATGCACGTATAGTGAAAGCCAGAGCGGCTTATGCCAATCTGGGCCACCTTTGGCGCCTTCGTGATGTCAGTCTGGCCGTAAAAGGTCGGATTTACAACGCGTCGGTGAGAGCAGTTTTGCTCTATGCTTGTGAAACCTGGCCTCTCCGAGTTGAGGACGTTAGACGACTCTCTGTGTTCGATCATCGCTGTCTCCGAAGGATTGCTGACATTCAGTGGCAACACCATGTCAGTAATGCAGAGGTTCGGCATCGTATGTTTGGGCACAGAGATGATAATTCAATTGGTGTCACCATCTTGAAACACCGACTTCGGTGGCTTGGACATGTTCTACGAATGTCGTCCCAGAGAATTCCACGTCGTGCATTATTTGCCGACTCTGGGACTGGTTGGAAAAAGCGGAGAGGTGGTCAGTGCATGACATGGTGTCGTGGTATGAAAGAAAGCTGCAAAGGACTGGCTTCTGTCGGTCTTTCACGACTCCCTGGTTGGGGTCTGAGAGATGGTGCTACACAGTGGCTAGAGACGTTATCAGATATGGCTCAGAATAAAAGCCAGTGGCGATCCTGCTGTAACCTTCTTTTACTTTCTTCATAAAAAGTGGTTGTGTCTCCCTTACTTGAAAGATTTCTTCTGATTGTACCTTTCCGTTCCATCGTTACGACCACACTACCTTACACCAATCTCTTCGTTATCGTTCTCTTTTTTTTCTTTTGTGCTTCTTAGTTTTTTTTTTATCTCCGAATTTTCATTGTTTTGTGTGGCGCATATATATTGGCGCTCTCCTGTACCAATTTTTATGTGTTCAAATAAATAAGTCATTTGAAATATCATTATATGCTGAATTCATTACTCTATGCCATAACTGACCAGTACAAAGACCGTAATTTTGCCGAAAACTAGTTGAAGTTCGATTATCTTATCTGTTTAGTTGTTGACTGAGACAAAGTATATTGGGTTCGTATCCTTTGATTTTCGAAAAGTCACCTATATGCCTTCATGATTAATCACAATCTATTCATGATGGATAAGTGTTACCATTTCAAACATCAAAATCGATGGCTTGAACATGTTACGTGAACATTACCGTCCCAGTATTATTTTCGTTGTTCCACAATTGCTAACTCTCTGAAAAGAAAGATGATCAGTTTTTAATATTAAAGATAGTTGTACAAGGCATTTATCGATCAATAACTTTGCCATAATTGCTTCTCTAGAGGTTCTTGTATACTAATAACAATTGTTCTGTTGAACAGTAACCGTTTTGTTTGTCTTTTGCTCAATTATTTCTACATTGGTTTATTACTCAACTTTTCCCTCATTTGTTTCTTGACGATGTTATTCCTATTTTTTTTTAGCGAATACTCTCTATCTCTCTGCTGTACCTGTTGTATTTTTAGTTAGCCTATGGTGAAATTCTGTATTAAAAAAACCGGGATTTATCGAAACCGGATGGATCACACTGCTTATATATATTATACTTCAATAATAAACCCTCTCTTCATGTTAATGTATGAGAGAGAGTTTAAGAACTCTAGAGCTAGTTTAATATTTAGAGAGATTCAACTTGTGATAGAACAACTTATCCTTTACCAATAGTTATGATCCTAACTTAGCGAATGAGAAAAGTGAATAAAGTGGGAATTTAAGCTTGAAACTAAATCTTCAAAGAAAGCTATGCTCTTATATCCAACATTAATTCACTTAATAAATGAAATAATTCATATAAATACTTGATTTCACACAAATATTGAACATTAAGAAATAGATACACTACAAATTCACGGATATGTATCCTATCTCAATTGAATAGATAAGTAAACATTAACGTAGTGTAACTAGCTGGTTCAATTCTATCTATTCAAATTTTTTTTATAATCAGAGAGGAGTTTTGTGAATATTATAGTAATTTAATTGTTGAATTGATGAGTCGATTGAAACTAGACCAGCATGGAAAACATGGAAGCACCAGACGGCCGTCTCGTCCTACCGTGGGACTGCTCAACAGTGAGCATCCACGATCCCGCCTCGCGAGATTCGAACCCAGGACCTATCGGTCTCGCGGGCGTGCGCTTAAGCACTAGACCACCGAGCCGGCCGGCATTCAACGGTGTCAATGTTTAATTTCAAACAATCCACAATGTTGCGCCACCGTCTCCCGTTGTCTCAAAACTGATCCGGTTGAACTCTAATTCCAATTTTGATTAGTTCCATCAGAAAGGATAAGAAATAATATGAGTTTGCTAGATAAAACCGTTGTAATTAATTTGAAATTCCAATCGCTGAAATTATTCTAATTATGATTTTTATAACGAATGACTTACACTATTAATATTGTTATTGTTATTTTCCTCCTTTCTTTCATCATCACCATTAGTCTGAAGGTGTTTCACTTCGTCAACATGTTTGGCAATGGCTTGAAAATGAATTAGCTAGTGTCAATACATTGACTGGTTTAACGAAATCATCCATGACAACACCAACTGTAACTTCTGCGACTCATTCAACTAATAATCCCGTTGTTGTTAGTGATGAAAAGTTGAATGAACCTAGTTTTGGTAGGTCAAGAAGAAGAAAAAAGAAAATTAAAAGATTTTTTAACTCTTATTTATTTGTGTTTTAAATGTTTGTTTGATTGTTTTATTTGGGAAACAAACAAAAGTGTAATCATATTCAGTAATGTTAAATCGTGACTAGCAGTAGAAGCCAGGATGCACTTTCATCTTATTTGGGTGATCAGTTTGATGTACTAACATCTCATTATTTACAGAGAAATGTAAGGTGTTTAAGTCACGCTGTGAACGTCAACACTAGAATGCATGTACGTTCGACTGATGAGCCTTGAAAAGAACGAAACACATATCATGTATTCCATTGCTAGCCACAATATATCTTCGCTAGAAACTTGTAACTCAGGGCATTATGATGACTATTTACTCAAGATACTCATATGCTGATCAAATGCAATATTTTGTCTCAAAAACGGAAAATCTGAATTTATTTATGTGACAACTGTATTTCTTTATTATTCTCCAGCACAGTTTCGATTTTACGCCATTTTTATTAGATACGATTGATATCATTTCCTTAGAAGATACACTTTTGGTCTGATTGTAAAGTTTTTCTCCTTGTTCCCTAATATTATATTACCTCATAACTTGACTTGTTATACACTACTTCTTGTTTATAGTTATACCTTCAAGAAGGTATCACAATTTTGATTCAAACTCCAGCATCGACTTCGGTAACTTTATAATGTTTTGATATTCTGTTTACTGATTCTGGGATGACTAAGTCTCCCGCATGGAAAATTTTACAATTGAATCTTTAAGTGATACCATTAAGTATTTGCAAATTTTAAACATAGATTGATGTTATCTGCAATGTTTTCAATGTAAAATAAATGTGTCTCATTTCATAATATCAATTAAGTTCCATTCAATTAGCAAATGTATACTTTATAATCGAGTATACTATTTACTGGATTTTATTGCCAATATGCAACGCTGACCTACTAACTGAACCGAAAAATGTTGGAAAATGTCGGGAGCAGCTACACATGCATTTAACATTGGGGGCATTGCTGATATCCCACTTGTAAATATGTCTATCTTTCACTGTAATATGAATTTTCTCTTTTCTTTCTCCTACAATTTTTCTCTCTCTGTGTTTATTGTTATTAGATTATTCAGAATTTTCCGGTCCACTGACTACAACTTCATATTTATTAACTACACGAAATGCTGGTACCGTTTTAGCTGGTATCTTAATGAATTTATCAAATGTTTCTCCGGAAATTCGTGATGCCGAGTTAAAACGATTAAAAACACGTTATGATTGGATAAAAGTATGTTGTTATCTTTGATACCTTTTTTTTAATTTTCTTCATTCCTACATAAAACCATCTGTCATTTTGGACTGTTGTATTTGAAGCAACTGGAATTTTACTTATACTGTAGAAGATAGTTTTCATGGAGCAGTAACATTAATTAGATGACAGCTGAAGATCAGAAAGTTTTTGTTCCAAACTTCTTAACGGCATCTTGAAAGCACGATATTTAGTCTAGTATCTTCATTTGGCTTTTCTGATGATATATTCGTTTTATTTTCTTCAATTACGTATAACTTTGAATTACTAGACTCATCAAATAAACAATAAAGACAATTGCAACAATAAACTCAATGTCAAAGTTCTATGTTCACCACCAATAAATTGCAGACATTATAAGAGAAGACAATTTGACTACAATTATTCTCACACCTCTCCATACACCAAATACATCCGTTTCTAGTGATTAGGCCTTTTGAAGTGCTGAGCCGACACATCAAAAATGTTCCATAAAAAAGCCATGTGAGACAGGCCTCAAGCAGTTGTCGTTTGGGCCACTTGGTCGCCAGGTCTACTACTAATTCAGTTTCTATTTCATGCCGCTCAAGAAGAAATATCCTTCCACGATGTGGGAAACCGGGAATAGTGAAAACCGCTCTCATACCTCTATCAGCACATAAAATCATCGTGTTGTGGATCAAATCCCTCCCAGAAATCTACACTGCTGAATTTAAGCAACAGCTTTCGTGTTTTGTAGTGATCTCAATAAAACCATTTAGTCATAGAGTCGAATCGTAAAATTACTGAGCTAGTGTATCAAAAACCGTTCATAAAAATACTATGTGATCGACCTCAAGCAATTGTTCATTGAGCTCTACAATCATACACGCAGCTCACTAAGTCCTGTCCTAATCCAGTTCCTATTTCAATTGTATCCATAAAGTATTAATTTGCAATGTGGATAACTAAGAAATGATATCTGTCAATACATCTTTAATAGTATTCCTAATACCGTCTATGTATGTTGACTCGGCTAATCTCATAGCGTTTCATTACCTCAGAAGAAATTCATCTCGAAGCCAATTATCAATTACGTATATGATTATCATTTACTTGTGTGTTAATTATTCATGGGTATCTATTTAGTTTGAGCACAGATTTTGTCATAGATAGACACCAACCAGAAAGTTACGGAATTTCTGAAATTATGCTATTAATTACTATTTCATCACATAAGTATTATGTTTTTCTCCTATTTATATGTCCTCTCTCTCTTTCTCTCCCGGTATATATGCACGCGTCTAGGCTCATGAACCTTTTCTAATATCGTTAATTAATTTCTGTGATCTGTATGGGTCTAGTGGTATACGATTACCAGCAGTTCGTATTGAATTATCCCTATTACTTGGTGAATTATATTCAACATCTTATTTATTTACAAGTCAATCAACAATATCGTCACAAAATAAATCCGATAATAATCTGTTAGTAGCATCACGTCCAACCAATACCAATGTCTGTTATCCTTCTCTTGATTCTTCACGTTGGCCAATATCACCAATGGCTTTAATTGATGGTATACCTTTATTGCGTACATTGATGCGTCTACCACCGGGTGCATTACTTCTACCAGACTCAGTAAAGCGTATCAAGGTAAATTTTATTGACTTGACAATTTTTTTATCAGTATGGGGTTGTGGAGATTATTAAGTTTTTAATTGAGATCATGAACTGGTTGATGTTAGACCACCATTGGAAATCTAGGAGCACCGGATGACCATTTCATCCTATTGTGGGACTCCTCAACAGTACTCATCCAAGATCCTGCTCGCTAGATTTTTGACTGTTCATTAAAAAATTTACTAGCCTAATACTATTAGTTATTTCAAGCAGAAACGTTGACATTAAAATTTCATAACCAATGGAACTCATTATGTATAGAGTAGTGTAGTAGCCCAAAGCTGATCTTATTGATGGTTGTTTCTGAATTCAATCCTTATTTGAGATTTCAAATTATCTAGAAAGAAAATCTTGGTTGTTGTTTTATCTTTTTAAGGAGTTCTAACTAATATGAAACATTACAATTCATTGATCACTGGGTGGTGATCAATGTCAAGCATGTCAAGTCCTTATTTAGTGCAGATCGAATGCTATCTACCAAGTTACAATGTGGCCACCAGTCTAAGTGACTCGACACTGCGTGCACTATATATTGAGATTGGATGTTGGTTGGAGGTAGTCGACAGGAAACCCTGGACCTGGGTTTCGTGCTACTTGGCACTCGTCAGCAAGATGTACCTGTAATCTCGAGGGAACTGGTGCTGCCTGGCGGATTCGATCCCGTGTCACCGAGCTTCACAGTCAGAGACGTTACCATCGAGCTATCCGGGTCGCGACTTACCTCCCTCAAGATTACAGGTACACCTTTCTGACGAGTGCCAAGTAGAACGAAACCTGGGTCCAGGGTTTCCTGTCGACTACCTCCAACCAACATCTAATGCTGTTCATTTATTTATTTATTTAAACATAAACATTGGTACAAGGAGGCACCAAATAAATATGCACCACATAAATCATTCGATTTGTGTGCGCTGGGATACTGCTCAGGTGCCTAAACCGAAAAAAATGTCCTTTGTTCCCTGGTTTTCAATAATTGTCTAATTGAAGTCAGTCAACGATGTAAACTTTCAAACTCATCAATCCTCACAACTTTCCATTATATTTCTAAAGCTTTACTATTTAAATTATATTATTGAATCATCATAACCATGCTTTTGTTTTATTTATATTTCATTTTTATAGTATATGGTTCATGATTTAATCACTTGTCTGGAATCATTACCACCTCCATTTTTAGTAAGTGTTCTGTTACCTTTTCCTTATCAACAATGCAATTGTACCAGTACTACTACTAATACTACAGCAAGGACATCGAAATCATCTGTTACATCTTCATCACCATTTCATTGTCCTGATTGTATTTTGGCACCTACAGGCGATCGTCATCGTAGAATATTTTTATTACGTAATCTATGCGCTGCTCTTTCTGGATGTATACATCAATGTTTAACTGTTGGCGGTTGGTTTGGTCTTGGTTATGCAGTCGATGAGAACTCCATGCAATCCTCTGATACATCATCTCCATTGACAAAAAAAGTACTTGCTCTACCTGCAACAAGTACTATCAATGCTCGTTCAGGTGAGTGAGTGGATTGTAGTCTGTGAGTTAATTGCAATTTTTATTAGTATTAGAAGTTCAAGGCGATTGTTCAACTTTGCAACACCAATTCGTCTTGCCAAGTGAACGGGCAAATCCCGGCTGATTAGTCTTAAAGTTGAGCGAGCGCTTATTAGAAGACCTGAAAGTCTTGAGTTCAATCTCCGGTGGAGTTACGGATGCCTAGTTCTGAGTGATAAACAATATTGTTAAATTCCACTGAAACTACGAATCATCCAAAGTTTGACAACCACTGAAAACCTGGGAGAACTCAATGGCCGTCTCATCCCTGTATGGGATTCCGCAGCAATACGCATCCACAACCCTACATTTTTATTTATTTATTTGAACACATAAAAATTGGTACAAAGGGGAACTACAATTCGTCATTCTATGTGTGTGTGGGCTTTGATACTGTCCGGGTGCCCAAATTGAAGCAGGTGGTCTTTTTAGGTGGCCACACCCGGAGCCTTCGACCTAAAGTTCTGATCCACAAGGCGGTGGAGAAACGTAAGGAGATTCAGTCCCATGGTAGCTGGTGGCCAACGATTGGTTCATACGGCATTTGTTTCTTTAGAATAATACTGGAGCCAATGTGCATTATTGGCTTGGAATCAGGGTTTTCCGACTCCCCTAGATGGATCCTCCATATCTTCCAACCCCGTTAAAAGTGCCAGACACTCTCTTTTTGTCCTTTCAATTCGTAAATAACATCGCACCCGCGAATAGGCAGTGCATAGTGCTTCCTTGACAGTGGCTGTATACGCATGGCCATGTGAGAGCACTTGAAGAAGGAGAGCTGACTCTTCCTACCCTCGTCCGTACCAGGCCATCTGGGGGCATTACCCTACAATTGGGTATAGAAAGTAGGACTGTCGGTTTCATGAGCGAACCTTTGGTTCGCTGAGCCGAGATTCAATGATGTACAAGTCCACGTTAGTGTTCGGCCATCTTCCGTTGTCTTTGGTACAATACCTACCTGACACTCGACGTGATTTAGCTCCCCTAGCCACTACTCAGTAGTCCCATACTAGGATAAAGCAGCCGTCTAGTCTTTGCAGGATTTCATTGGGTGTCTAACTGTGATTTCAGTGAAATATACTAGATATTTATTATTATACCAATGTTAACAAGGTAACCAATCCTACCGTTTAGTTAGGTCACTGCAGCATCATTTAGGAAAATAAGTTCTCATACTTTGATGTGTTGTGTGATATTAAGGTGTGACTGACTCAATGAACTTCATTTTTAGACGATATTGATATTACTGATTTTTTTTTAAAGATTCACTGTGTATGTGTTTAGATTTTTAATGTATTTGTTCAAATAAACTATGGCTTGGTTTAAAATCTGATTCTATGTTTTTAGTCACGAATTGTTTATCTTGTATAACATGATCTAGTTTATATCTAGTGTATGGAGTGAATATCCAGTCTAGTCCAGTGATCGTATAATCTTGTGTCATGGGCCATATTATTAGATTATAGTTACTTACTTAGGCTGGTTACCCTTTGTGAATGAGCGTAGACCGCCCTCTAGGATCCTCCTTCGAACTCTGTCCCGGGCAATCCTTATCAGTCGTAGTATTATAGTGATAACTATATTGTAGCCCACAACAAAACAGTTTGTTCATTCGTTTATAATACTGTGGTTTTGTTTTAACATGCAAAATTACTGTTATACACACATAGTTGTTACGAACCTATAACTGTATTTCAGTCGTTCAGTTAGTTACAACGTAGGACCAGGCACATATGAGCATCGATCCAAGTTGCCATACCTCATTAGCACTGCACGATGAACACCGAATTCATAGAAATAGTTAATTCAGTGGTGGTAACATATAGAAGAAAGATTGCATATAAGCATATAGTACAGGAAGAAAGAATTAGTTCGTAGAAAGAAAAATATGAAGCAATTTTAATATCATGGTTTAAAGAAAGACAAAGGGTGTATACACTGACACCATTGTGATCGATTCTGAGCCATGTCACCCAGAGTCTCCAACCATTGGTTACGATAGTCATGCGGACACCAACCAAGTAGTCTGCATCTACCAACATGGCGTCCGACAATGGTGGTCTTTCTTGACTTAAAAGTAGCATTTGACTCCGTAGACCGCGAGATTCTGCGGCATTATCTGTCATTTAAAGGCGTACCTGAAAAGTAGATAAACCTTGTAAAGGCTTTTTACTCGAACACTACTAGTCAAGTCAGAGCTTAAAGCGAAATGTCCTCTGCTTTTGCAACCTCAAGTGGTGTCCTTCAAAGCTGTCCACTTTTTCCGTTTTTATTTAACTTCATCATAGACCTACTGATGGAAATAACTCTATTTATTTAACATTGTAGTCGCTTTTCAACTTTTGATTGTACTTACCTCAAGCTGAATATGGGTTTTGATTTCTGTTTGTTTTCTTGTCTTTTAGTTGATCGTTTATGTGTATCTGGTCAGATATTTAGACCAAATACAGAACCGTCTAAATGGCCAGGTAAGTCACTTTTTATGGTAATATTACGTGTTATATATATAGGTAGGATATTCATTAAATATGCAATTATGTATATCAATCTCACCTTCCTCTAAAATTATCCCTATTTCCTAAAATTTTCTCTTTTTATGTTTTGTGGTTAAGGGGAGTAAACGACAGGAAATTTTACTTGACATATGTTTTGTGCTAGTTTAAGATTCGTCAATAAAATATAACTGCATAACTTGAAAAAATCACTAATTCCTTTGAGATTCATGTCTTCATTATCCAGCTTCACGAGTTAAAACATTATCATTGAAGCACTTCATACAACAACTTATCTGGTTCACGATCGATTGATCACTAAGTGGTGGGTGAGCAGTGTCGTGTGTGTCAGGTCCTTCTTAGTGCAAATCGAATGCTATCGACCAAGTTGCAATGTGGCCACTAGCCTAGATGATTTGACATTGCGTACACTATGTTGAGATAAGATGGTGGTTGGAGGTAGTCAACAGGAAACCCTGGACCCGGGTTTCGTGCTATTCGGCACTCGTCAGTAAGATGTACCTATAATCGTGAGAGAACTGGTGCTCCCTTACAGATTATTATAAAGTCAGTTTCCTTTCCAAATCTCTTCAAATGAAATGATACCTGTTATTTTGATCCACCGGCATTCCAAAGTTGATGTACACAATAAAATTGCAATCTAGTACCCTACTTATTACGTCATGTGTCAGGCAAGGTGTTATCTTTTAAACTATTTAGTCACGAAGACCATTACTCACTTGTCGAATAAGTGTGCTAGCTAGTATCTAAAATATGTTCAACTTTTAAATGTAAAAACTATCGAAATATCCGTTTAAGAAGAAACTCACTAACTAACTGGAATTTCTTATACTCAATTTTGAGTATCAGAACAATTGAGCAAATTTCATAAAACCATTAAAACAATACAGTCAATATTCAATAGTTTTTGTATCCATTTATTAGTTCAGTTGTATTGCTTATAACTTAAGTTCTTTTTTTCTACATAAATGCCAACCAATTGGGTGAATGTTCGGTTTTTACGTGTTTCTCTCGGCAAGACTATCACATACTGCCAACTTTGAGTTAGCCAATCACAGTTAAGGGAACACCTCGTGTATTTTGCGCGAATTCAAAAGTACAGTGATAGATAACGTGAAGATTGGCAATATTTGGTTCTTGAATTGCCCGGAATCAATAAAAACATCTGTTACGCAACCAACATGTTTTGTAACTATGTAACATTTCCTGATCAGCTAGTAAGTCGTCCAAGGTTGTCAGCATATTATACTTTAACTGTTTCACTTTTCGGCTTTTCTGATTATTTTTCACTCTATTCGATTTTCATATAGGTTTAACATGTTTAAAAAGTTATACTGAACCTCAATTACAAAGTAATAGTGTAAGTAATAGTCAAATTATTCGTATCACATCAACACAAAATCTATCAGATCGTGACTTATCATCGCCATCGTCATCTGTAACACGTATTCAATCTGTGGATCGTCGTCGAATTATTGGTTTATTATCTCAAGTTTTAGCTGCATCCTATTTCGGTTTATTAGTTTATGCATTGCATACTCGTGATACATTCACATTATATCGATTAGCTTGTGCTCGATTAGATGGGAAAACATGGAGTCGTGTATTCGGTGGAACATATCGAGCTAAACCTTTTCGACCACCAACACAACCTGGTACTACTGCTACTATTACTACTACTAGTAATAGTAGTAGTAATGTATCAAGTAATATAACTTCTGAAAAGAAGCCTCTTCCACCGAGTCGACCTAAACGGTAAGTTGTTGTATAGTTTACTTTTTTAAAGTAATTCTTTTCGGAGGTTGGAGAGAATTATGTTAAATGCATTTTGAGAAGAGATAATTCTGCAACTCTTATTACTGACTTCTTAAATGCCTTTTTAAACCTCGAATTACTTCACCTTGAACAATAAGTAAAAGGTGCGAAAGGTATGAGCTTTACTCCAAGGTTAGTTGTGTTCAGGTAATCGAGTGTATTTAAAGGGTTTCGTGTGACCTTGGTCCTCTAGAAACGTATAGAATTATACCAATACGACATTTATACTAAATACGACAACGATATAGGTAATTATCCTACTAAAATGTTACACGTAATCCTTCACTGTTCTAAGCGTTTCTGAGAAGCATTTATTCCATGCCAATTGGATATGTATCCAGGCGTTTTCTGAGTCTTTATAGACTTTGACGAGGGAGTTGTTATGTATGATTCTTTTGTTACCATTGTTAAAAGTATCTGTCAGCCGGATGCAACGTAGAATCCGGTTCATATAACGCATAAATCACATCTCTAATTTTATAATAGGCAACACCATTGACTGATTATCAAGAAAAAAGCACATAACACCGGACAACTCTGTCTTTTCTTGTATGGCTTTTGTTAGTAGTACATACCAAACAACTCGAATATTACTTGTAAATTGTAGGGTTAGAATCACATCATTATCTTTGATTGTTACCATTCCAACATGCTTGATTTTCACTTCTCTAAATTTATAAATTCTTATCCAAACTGTAGTGTCAGTTATTATGTTAAACCCATATACCTTATTCTAGCTTTCCGACAGGCCAATCTATTTATGTAACCGTATGTGTGTACACTTCTTATCCTATTCATTACATGTTTGTAGCTTATTTTTGTGTGACTATAAATATTGATTAACGCTTGATTAAATGGTGTTGGTTCACATGCCTTCTCCACTGCGCGTTGTTTCGTTCTCTCTTCTTCGCTTCCTTCGCCACGTCTCTTTGATTGTCGGTTCCGATCAACGAGTATACAAAATATACGTATTCAAACATCCATTTTCGTATTTGACTTATTTAATTCCGTTATTTACCAACACGAGTTAAGTCGATATGTAAATCACTATAGCAACCTGAAATGATCTCACTGAAGTCAGATCCCGGGCCACCAGGAAAAAGAACTCCACTTATCTGAAAGTATGAATTAAAATCTACCATAATAGTATTGTACGTATATAGTCCGCAATTCTTTGTTGATCTATTTATTTATTTTCAAATATATTTTTAAAAGTAACATAGATATTATTACGCAACGATTAAAATTCATTCGAATTTCGTAAGTAAATAGTATCTATCTATATATCTAACACTTTTCACTGATGTATTTGAGATGCTAACAGAAATTTCCGAAATATATATAATATAATAATCTTAACTTGTTACATGGTTGGATAACAAAACAGTGGTTGATTGGCTATTAGAGCACTGTAATTTTACGTATGCTTTCTCAGTTCTACTCACTACCCTCTTATGATAGGGGTGTTGTTTATGAAATTGAGAGGACGAAAAGCGAATATCCGACAATTTAACCGGGTTGGTGGATATATAAGATTCACTTAGGAGAGTTAGAGTGTCCTTATTTCAATCCATTGATGTAAATGGACTCCGAAATCCTGAGGGAACAAATGGCATATGAACCTACTGATTGTTACCGGCTTCCATAGGACCATATCTCTTAACGTTACCCCATTGCCTAGTGGGTTAAGTCTCTCGGTTAAAGGCCCAAGGAGTGGTCCACCATCTGCTTGGGTTTGACGCCCGAGTAGTATCCCATTCCTCACACAAATAGAATGACGAAGTGTGGCACATGTATATTTGGTGCCTCCTTGTACCAATGTTTATTTGTAAAAATAAACAAAAACATACATGGTTTTTCAGTAGATGATTATAACTAACGATTAACTACTTAGTAGACGTTTTGAAACATCGATTATCCTCATTCATTATAACCAGTTCAGCAGCTTAATAGGTTTTCTTGATAGCTACTTTTAGTCTCTGTTTTCAAACGATACCATTGGATTCATCTCTAAATGATGAAGAGATATAAACAGTTTCGTTGTTTGCTGACTCTTTCAACTATTTATAAACTTTAGTGGATAACCATTAGATATAAGTAGGTCATTCATCAGTTTTGCGTCTTCTTCAACCGTATCTGTGGTGCATATTCTTTGAATCCTATTAAAAAGGCACTTAACCAAGGCTCGCTTGTTTTGTAATGGACAAAAACTGTGGAAATTTAAATATTAACCAGTCTAAGTTGGCTTCCTGTAAACTGACCGCATTATGGTTCCATCCTCTGTTCGACTCAATAGTATCTTCATTTACTTTTGTTAAATGCTTTTGAAAGGTTAATTAGCATGAATACTTTTTATAGGTGTGTGTAGGATTTGAAACCGAATGCATGAATTAATTACTTAATGATTATTGATACGTGCATATATAAACCACACTTTATTATGTAATATAAAACACTATTTGGTGTGAATATTTAATAATCACTGGTGAATCTATAAAAATTTTCATATGGCATCCTATTACTGATTGATGTCAGTCAGTCCATGAGCAACGTGGAGCATAATAAACATACATATGTGCACCAGTTCAAGTTAGATACACTATAGTAAAACAGGGCGATGAAATTCTCAGGATCGTACAACTAGTAACGGTATCAACGGTAACATTAAAAAATGTTAGACATAGACTGTACGATTCGAGAGGAACGAATGAATTCGTGAAATAATTAGTATGAGATAATTTCTTAACTTAAGCCAATACAAAATATGAATTCATTTTGATGGAGTTTTGTTCTCAGAGCTGAATGGTTTAGTTGTGTATTGATTTTTCATCGTACTTCTTAACGACATTATCAGCATAAACTTCAAGTAGGAGTGAAGTATTCGAACTTCGCCACATATGACTTCCAGTCTGTTCTGTAGATAGACCTTGATCTTGATTGGTTATTGTTGACCATTATGATTTTTGCTCAACATTATTGCAGTGTTTTCTCGTTTTTACAATTATAAGTAATAAGCGACGCGGATATAGCAGGAAAAAAAAAGAATACTTTAAAGTTTGTGCTGATGATGTCGTTCAGAAGAACGATGAAAGCTCCACAACCAAACCATCCAACTCAGACAACAAAACTCCACCAAAAAAAGAATACTATTTAGAGATGGTTTATTTACAAGCTCTACAATTTGAAAACATTGGAAATGTTTTCATGATGTCGATCATATTTGTCTATAAACCGCAACCCAATGATTCAGTTTATTCAGTCTATCCAATAAATATACAAACTGAAAAGTCGATAAAATTTTCTGTGATAAATTATTCTTAAAATGACCCATAATATACACTTGAAGCATTGAAACATTAAATCGAAGTTACAATCGTGTCATGAATTATTATAACAGATTGATGAACTCAGTGTAATTATAGCGTTATTGGTTACATCGTATGCATCCTTATCAATCTACATACATAAAAGCGTTGTCGAACGCGTTGATAACTTCACTTATCTTGGAAGTATGATCAGCCCATTAAGAGTTGAAGATATTCGTAAACTACTAGTATCTGACCCCACATGGATTAGAAATATCACTAACATCTGCTGGGATCACCGGATAAGTAATAGTGAGGTTAGACGCAGGGTATTAGGGAATTATGGTAAATCAGTTGATGAGGTTGTGAATCTTCATCGACTGAGATGTATGCCTGAACACTGATTATGACGACGCGCAATGCTGACTAGTGTAGGAGACGATTGGAAGAAAGTAAGGGGTGCCCTCAGTGCTTGAAAACACTAACTTCTGTTCTTGGCAATGTTGGGAGATGCAGACTACTTGTTTGGTGTCCGCATGACTATCGTAACCAATGGTTAGAGACTGTGTGTGACATGGTTCAGAATCGATCACAATGGCATCAGTGTATACACCCTTTGTCTTTCTTTAAACCATACCTTTCTTCCTGTACTATATGCCTATATGCAATCATTCTTTTATATATTACCACCATTGAATTAACTACTTCTATGAATTCGGTGTTCATCTTGTAGTGCTAATGAGGTATGGCAACTTGGACCGATGCATATATGTGCCTGGTCCTATGTTGTAACTGACTGAAGCGGGATCAATGAGACTGGGGTCAAAATAGAACCCAATATTCTACTTTTCTTCAAAACACTCTCTATTTATCCTGACTCCATTTACATTGTTCTAAACATTCCTCAAAAGTTATACTCTTTTCAACTATCTGATCGTATCATCTTTTACTATTCACATTCTGTATTCTGTGATATCACCTGAATATTATATACATAAATGTTTGTTAAGTGTTGTTGTGCAAATTTACTACAACTTTTCTTATTTATGAATGTTTCAATCCCTAACTTGGACCGATGCATATATGTGCTTGTTCCTACGTTGTAATTGACTGACTGACTCTCAATCTTTAATATTTTTTTCCCAAAATCATACGTGCGCAGATAGTTCTGCCATACCTTCGTATTTTCAAATGATAATGTGGTGAAATCCATCGTTTTCTTTTTATTCTTGGTTAATTTTAAAAGATAATATGTACTTCATTTGTACAACGGTGTTTTAAATTCATAAGGTGATCGACTTTTATTCAACTAGTTTTATCGGCGAGACTATAATTTATAGACGAACCAATCACGTATAAGATAATAGGCCTTGGATATTGGCGCGAAATCCACTCATCCAATTTGGTTAAATAGAGTTTTGGCATTATAGCTGATGTCAGTTCGTGATGAAAACCCGAAATCTAATTCCTTACATTAATCATCAGCTGTAAAACATAATTCTAATTCCTCAAACAGGTTTAGAACCATCATTTGGTCATAGATATTAGGTGGACACTATCAAGGTCAGTCTAGTTTAGCTCAAAGGTCGTCCATAAATTATAGTCTCGCCATTTAATCAAATAAAAATCTATAATATTGGTGTTTACATGTTAACTGTTTTTCTTTATCTCTTAACTTCTCATATTGTTTACATCTAGTATAATCTTTCTTAACATGAATTACTAATCACATTATTAGTTAGTTGGGTGCCTTGTAAAGATTAATTCAATTTCAACATGACACTTGTTTAAATGAATTGATAACTGAACGGTAACCAATGTCATGTTTCTTTAGTTCTGCCTATTCTTAATCGAGTAATCTTGATCAATTTACAGTGTGATCACTAGTCCAAGTGACTCAATTTTGCTTGTACAATGTTTTAATGTAAGTTAGTTTTTAAGTAATCGATATAACGAACTAGACACATAACATTGACTAGTACTCAGTGATCAGATGGCGCAAATATTACAGTCCTACAGGAGATCAGTCGCTGACAGAATAACTTTCAAAGATCACTAGTCAATTGAACATTCCAGCTACATTTTACTGACGATTGCATGTTAGCATGAAACGTCGGTCTAAAGTTTCCTACCGATTAACTCCGATTTGCTAACATAGATTCGCTTGTCATTACTGTCTATAATTTATTTCGTACAGGACACTGATTTACGATCCAACTATGTGGTCACCTCAAGTGTTCACATATAGAGTACATCATCTATAATTCATTAGCTCATTTCTTTTCAATTACACTAAAATAGTTTTTTTGTGTCGATTATCAAACAAGTTAATTCGTGCAAAAAATCTTAACATATTCATTCGCTTTTTTTTCTTTGCTAAATTAGACCGACATCCTCTACTCTTAAACATGACAGGTCGAAATCAAGAAGTCCAGAGAAAGCTGTTACACGAGCTAGGGACCATGCAGCTGCAGCTATCGAAGGTGATTTCTTCATAAAGTTATTTTTCCTTCCTCTTTCGTTGCTTTTTTGTATAGTATTTCTGTTCGTCTATGATCCAAACCCCGATATTATTTGAGACTCTAATAGTAGTAGTGGTAGTAGTAGTAATAGTAGGATGACATTACTCTTTTTTTAGTTGTTAAGCCTAAAACTAGTATAAACACTACTACATTGGTTTGCACGAATATAGCTATGGACTGCATGGCTCATTACCACTTGCTCAAATTGGAGTACATAAAACTTGTACTTGCTTACTCAAAACGAAGTATATAAGGTGGTGTTTGCCCTCACAGCCCAACAACCGATATTTATGTATATATCACAGCTATTTTTTCATATTACAATGGTGCAAGCTCAGTCACTCTAATCAAGCATCAATAAATAATCACATCAAATTAAATCAAATCTATCATGTGGTAGGAAAAATGATTAAGAACTCGAATATCAAAGTTCAGATTAATAGAGAAACTAAACATACAAGCAACAGCCACACAATTATGAATAACAAAGAATCAAATTTCAAGTCAACACTTAATGGACGCTACTTATAAGATTGTTTTTATGTAGTGCGTAGCGGAACATGATATTGTCAGATGGAGTGAAGGGTTTCAGTGCATTGAAAGTACGGCGCTGACAGAACACTTTGAGACCAGATCAGATGACAGTTCTGATGTCAAGAACACAATGATAGATCTAAATGTAAGATTGAAGTCTATGTATAATGTATTACATAAATACTTTGTAACTTCTTGTCTTTTGTCCTGTCTTACAAACAGAACAAACTATAAGTTACCAGTAAATAAATTCTAGTAGTTCACTTCTCTATGAAATACATTCTGACTGTGTTGTTCATAAAGGCAATAGTTCCTTCTTACGTTAACCATATAGGAACTAAGAGACCACAACACCTCTAACACTGTTCAATTAACAATTCTCCTCTTATTGCATACACACACTTATACATTGGCCTCCTTTTTTTGTACAGTTGCACTGAAAATTGGTAGCCCACCAAATCCCACAAAGTTAACTAGTCAACATATACGTTTTTTGGCACATGCTGAAGCTGCGGCAATAGCAGACTTAAAATCTGACACAACCAGGTACGATGGTGTAGAGAATAAAGTTTCAGAACAAGCCACCAACGACACCACCACAAAAACAACAACAATATCTCAGTCATCTGTCAGTCCAGAGGAATGGTTTATATTTGCCCAATCTTCCATTCTCTCTTGTCTTCTGGAACGTGTAAGTTTTGAATTTTTAAAAAATTTTCTTTTTCAGTATTTATTCTCATCTTAAAAATAAAAAAAATGATCTGTGTGAAGGAATTCTGTGGAAAATGGTTTTATTTATAGGTTATATTCATCAATGAATTGATCTCAATTAGAGTATCATTGTAATATCAGAGGGTGCTAGACATCTGTTTTGTTTTAACTTGTTAACATTGGTCATCAATAACCCTACAAGGGGTCAGAGCCAAGGTCTTGAAGTCTCATGGGGATGCCCAACCATCAAATCCACTTTAACGAACATCCAATGGTATAATGCTAATCAATTCGTGCAATACATAACATAATGCGATGACCTGTCAACTTCATCAGTGATAACTGTTTCTCTCTCGATGTCCATGAAGTCAACCAGTGGGTGCACATTTCTAAACAGTCACATACCTGGATGAAAAAGCTGCCCAATATTTCCAGGTTTTCAGTGGTACCTTAACTAAAATCAAGTTATGAATAATGTAATCCACCGAGTTGTTTCTTGCTTTAAATAAATGTAAATACAAATAAAATTTTGTTTATGTAATAATAATGATTATTTAAAATGGATTAATTACTATGTAGTGACCAGTGTCATGGTTTCCTGTCAACAACCGCCAAATACTGCCTAACATGTCAGTATAGTGCACGCTATGTCGAGTCACCTTTGACTTCTGGCTACATTACAACTTAATCGATAAAATTTGGTATAACCAAGAATGGGAAACGTCCGCTCAAAGTAAACTCAAAATCCACTCCCATGGGTATGCATATATAGTAACAACCAGGAAAGTCCTATTGACTACCTTCTGGTGACCGGTGTGTAGTTTACAAAATCGAGAGAACGAAAAGCGTATGTCCGGTGCTTAAACCTAGTTGGTGGGTACAGAGGATCCTATTGTTAGTCACCAGCTTCAATATGATCACATCTCTTTACGGTATCCCATTCTTTAGTGGGTTAGATCTATCAGTTGAAGGCTTGAGGAGTGGCCCCCTAAGAAAACCACCTGCTTCAGTTTTGCGACCGGACAGTATCCCAGCCTATATATATTGAATGATAACCTGTATGTTGCGTATATATCTTCTGTAACAATACTTATGGTTCGAAAAATAAATAATAACTTATCCAAGTTCCCTTTGTAAGCTCATAATTAAACCACCCAGTTCAATAAAATCAAATCACACTGAACAACAAAGCTATGTATCTTCTCCAACATTTTAAATGCATTTATTCAATAAAAACGGATGACTGATCGTATTCAGTTAACCATTAAAAATCATAAAACTAAACAGCTGTTTCCTCCTAGTATGGGATTCGTCAATAGTGCCCTCGTACGATCAACTGAAGATCGAACCAAGGACTTTCGGATTACATGGTGAGCAATTAACCCTTAAATATCTAAGTGGAGATGTAAAACAGCTGATATCGGTTCAGTAGTTCTAAAGTTAAGCGTACGCCCCTAGAGCTGAAGGTCTCAAGCTCGATCCCAGTTTTTGCTACATACTACTTATATCTGTCCGCATAAGTATTGCACACCACAGTCTAACTTAAATCAATCCATCGGATAAACTATAAAATTCAGCGTTTATCACAAACCTCATTACAGTAAAAATATAAAACTGAATTTCATCTTCAAAGAATATTCTATTCTTTCAACTCTTCTCTTCCAATCCATTTTAGTAAAGAATCCGCATTAATTTTGACTGGTTGTCAATCATGTTAAAAATGTGAATGCGTTATAATTTATACCAACTTATATCAGTTGATAGACCATTAAAATGAAAAACTCATTAAAAAATCATTTTCGCCCCTATCCAAAACTCGGGATATATATATATATATATATATATATATATATATATATATATATATATATATATATACCCAAATGCCTTATTAAGGCCGCTGGTGGGAAGAGTCCGCTCTCCCTCTCGAAACACTCTCACATGTCCACACTTACACAACCACTGTCAGGGAGGTACTATTCAATGCCTTCTCATGGAAGGGATGTTGCTTACAAAAGTGCGAGAACAAAAAGCGAATATCCGACGCTTTAACCCTGTTGGTGGATATAGAGGATCCACCTAAGGGAGATGGAAAACCCTGATTTCAAACCAATGGTGCATATGACCTCGAGGATCCTGAAGGAACAAAGGCGTACGAACCTACTGTTGGTCACTGATTATCATGGGACTGGACCTCCTAACGTTGCTCCACTGTCTTGTGGATTAGACCTCTAGGTTATAGCCTCGGTGTGTGGCCCCCTAAATAAACTAGCTCTTTCAGTTTGGGCGCCCATGCAATATTCCAGTTCTCACACTAATGGGATGGCGAAGTGTGGTGCATATATATTTGATGCCCTCTTGTGACAATGTTTATGTGTTTAAATAAATACATACGTATAGACTAACTATAAGTATCCATTTTATAATGTATATAATCATCTTTTTCTGGTTTGTAGCCTCCAAAACAAGCTGACTTAATTGATGATCCCAGTGAGATTTTCGATTCCGATGCTAGTGAACCATCTTCAAAGAATGAATACGATACATATCATGGAGCTTTATTAAAACAACAACGTCGTATTAATCGAGTACAACGCTTTATCAAACATTGTTCTAATTTAAAACAACGTAAAGCTGTACGACACCGTCTGAAAAATTCGTTACATTATCGTTTAACTGGACAGTTTATGAATCATACCGATGATAATCATGACCAAAGTGATGGCGATGGTGTTGATATGAATCCTAATGAACAATTGGATGTTAATGATGTTGAAGATGATGACAATGATGATGGTCAACATTATTCTGATCATCCTTATAATTTACAAGATTATGATGGGGTTAAAAATGCCGTAGTAACTGAAGGGAAAGATGATTCTGGGAAAGTATTATCCTCTCCTACAAAATTAAATCTCTCCAGTTTACAACCACAGTGGATTTTACGACGTTTACATTTGAATCCAGATTTTATGGATACCTGGTGGGGTAGTCGACTAGAATCGGAATTCTATGAAGCATTGAATATTTTCTACATGAAATCTGACAAAAGACAAGCAACACATACTAATTTAAAAGATTTTACCGAATTTAATTCTACTGTTGGTGGTGACCCAACTGATGACAATAACGATGATGAGGATGAAGATGTTGGTGAAGAAGATGATTATAATCTGACGGTCGATGCTTTAGGAAATCATAAATTAGCATTTTTTGAAAATGATCGTCAATGGACTTACAGTGATAGTTACGCATGGAGACTGATACGTTTGGGTTTAATGCAACTGGCTAAACGAGAATTGAATAGACTTATACAAATTATTGATTTCAGTGGAGAAGGTGATTTCCTTTTTATTAATGTTATTATTAGTAGTTGTATTCTGACAGATCTAATCTGTGTTTTTTTCTGCTTCTCACTCGTCAATGTTAAGGTTTATGAAATTGATCAGTTTCTTGTAAGTATAAGTCTTGTAGATTGTTGAATTTCATTTAAATCATGAACCTATCAGTTTTAGACAACCATTGAAAACCCAAAAGCACTAGACAGCCATTTCATCCTTGTATGAGACTCGTCAGTGGAGGTGTGCATCCATGATTCTGTAAGCGAGACTCAAAATCATGGCCTTCAGTCTCGTGCGCGAACGCTTAGTCTCTAGACTATTGAGTCGGGATCTAATGGGGTTAATGTCTAAGTTTAATCAATTTATGACATTTTCACGACCATCTTTCGTTATCTTCAGTTCATGATTTCTATGATCAGTTTCTATTGGCATGATTAAATGCATGTTTTTCATTCCACGGTTAGTCACAATACAAATGAAATAAAATTGTAACTACAAAGTTAGGTATATGCTAACTGGTCAATATCTATGTATATCAAGAGTGACTGATTAATTTTAGCTCTTAGTATCAATAACGGCAAATTACAATTACTTTTAACTTCACATCCATTTCATGTCTATCAAAACTTCTCAGTTCAGATAATAATGTATTACTGTTTGCTTTGGAAGTTTCAGCGTAAAATCAACATCGGGATTCATATATATCCATGTGATTGGTCTTAAATAGTATGGAAAGCACCTATATGAGGTTTCATTCAAAACTAAATTTGATGTGGTAACCAAAGATTTATTCGATTAAAGCCTCAATTATGTATGTTATTGATTTAATCCACTCTCTATAAACAAAAAAATAAAATTATCGTTATTGGGATTGTTGAGTTTTATTGCAATCACGAATTGATTCATAATAGACAAACGTTGAAAATTCCGGAGCACTGGATGGCCGTCTTAGTATCGAACTACTCAGCGAGAGTGCACATCCCGAACCCCAAAACTGAGATTCGAACCCCGAATCTTCGCTTTTGTGTGAACTCTGAACCCTCTAGACAATTGATCCTGAATCCAGTGGTGTACAACTTCAGTCAATCCATGATATTCCACGGCCATCTATTGTCTTTCATTGGTACTTTGTTCAGATACGACACAATTTAGACATTTCACCAGTAGTGAAGCAATCACATTATAACTTATAAACCAATATTTTTCATAATCTGTCAATATTTAATCTTTTATGTATTTACATAGATTTGGCTGTTCATGCACCAGGTTTAATGACGTTAACACGTCTAGCCGATTGTTGGTTGGTTGGTTATCGTTCAGAATTAACTTCACCACCAGCATTGAATCCGATTCATTTAAAATTGCAGCATAAAGGATTTGTTAATGAACATTTTGTACCACCGACAGATTTCCTACCAGGCATTCAAGAAGATTTATCTTCTTCGATTACACAAACGGCTGCTGGAATTAAAACTGGTAGCAATTTGACAGTTGGTGTTGAAGTGTCAAAATTAGACTTTCCTTCACCCGGAGCAACAAGATCGATGTTACGTTTGAAAAAGTTAATAAATTTTAAAAATACTCCATTTCAGTAAGTTTTTCAGTCACCTTTTTTTAATCTGCAGTGAAGTCATGAACTGACCTTTGTTAGACAACCCTGAAAACCTAGTTGGCCGTTTTGTTCCAGTATTGGACTCCTCAACGGCAGTGCTCATTGGTGATCCCACGTGTGGGAATCGAAACCAAGACCTTCAGTCTCGTACACGAACTCTTAGTCTCTGGGCTACTAAACCGGGATCCGATGGTGTTAATGTCTATCTTCAATTAATTCATGACGTTGCGTGACCATGAATCATCAATAATAGGTCCCAAACATTAAGAATGATACACCTCTTCATTAATCTCTGGTTTTCAGTGTGTTCTTATGTCACGGTTGATTCGTTAACTCATATATGGACATCTACTTCTAAATTTTAACATATCAACATTGGTACAGCATCTCTTTTAAATATATCAACTCTCCGCTTCTACTTTCTATAGAACACGTGATCCATTCTCATTACCTGTCAAACGTTTATGGTGTTACTTAGTTCGACAACCTGGAATAGATGATATATTTTTACGTCATATATTTCGTGAACCATGTCTTATACAGTCCGTTATTACACCGAATATTAAATTAACATTATCACCATCACCTTCGTTATCATCATCATCAGTTGCTTTTGGATCATCGGAACTTAACCATCCACCTGGTTTGATAAATTCTACATCATCGTCTAATCTGAAAAATGTTTCTTCTGCTGCATTGGTAAGAAAATCTACTGTTTATTAAAATATTGTTGATTTTCTTAGTTTTTTTCAGTTGTAAGGTGGTTGGAGATATTCGGCCGGAAATCTTACTTGATATGGGTTTCGTGCTAGTTGGTCCCCGTCAGCAAGACATACTTTCAACCTTGAGACGTCTAATGTTCCCTGTGAGATTTGTACTTGTATCACTCAGCTTCACAGTCTAGAACTTTCTCAATGAGCTCTCCATTTCATGACTAGCCTCTTATATAAATAAAGCCATTAAGTAGTATCCAACGTAGTATTTGTTTAGCTCCTAATGTAGACCAAATTCTATCAATGTGTAGTTTAATTGACGTACAACTTAAGCTTCAAGTTCATATCGTGCTTATGTAAGCTACCCCCACCTTAAGCATTTATAAGCGTTTCATGGTATTGAATTTGTACGAGTTTACTTTTCCAAATACATTTTTCTTGGAGTCTTTACTATGATAAACTAATTCGTCTCTCTCTAGGTTGTTGTATTCGACTTTAAGGTAAACATACTGTATTTCCTCTTGAAATATTTATTCGACTGTATAACTCGAAATAAATCCATGTCAGCATAGTCTAACATACAATCGAATTATGGAAAATCATTCACTTAAGACACAGCTACAAACTTATTCTGTCTACTGACACCTGTATGACTGTATCACATATAAGTGTTAAACTAGTTAGATGTTAAATTAGGCCAATACAATCTCCGTTTTCGTTCAAATGTCAATCAGTTTTAGTTAGTTGTGTTAGATTTGAAATGATTATATAGCGAACATCTTTCATATGTTATGCATATGTATTATAATTTCTATTGAATGTTTTTGGTCTCGTTTCAGACTGATATTCCAAAATCGTCAGGGAAGCAAACAAGAATACAACAACAACAGACCCAATCTTCAAATCAAACTGTTTCAGGATCTCTACTGTTTAATGATGCTGTTCGTCTTATTCATAAAGAACATGATCCACTTATAGCTATGTGTATTAATCAGGTGAATTTCATGGACTTTTTGTTGTTGGAAATAATTTTCTTTTGTGGTTATGTTTGTTTCAATTAACGGGGATAGATCGTTGGTTTTTCAATAAATTCAATAGAATACTCAACCTACTCATAAGCAGTATATTTAAGATGGGTAAAAGTATCAGTGTTTGTATGATTGAAAGCACGTTTTTGTATATCATGATAATTATCAATTTTGTATTTGTTTTGGGATCGTTCGTCGGTTATCGAACTCAAGAAATTTCTTGAAACATCGTAGTTAATTTTTTATTTTAAGACCATTGTTTGTCTATTTATTTATTGAAACACGTAAGCAGTGGTACAGAACGGTACCAAAAAATATAAACAATTTACAGGCTATCATTCAATTTGTGTGTGGGCTGGGATGCTGTTCGGGCTTCAAACCGAAGCAGGTGGTTCCTTTAGGGGGGCTAATCCTCAAGCCTTTAACTGATAGATCTAATACACTAAGCAATGGGAAACCGTTAAGGTATGTGATCCTATGGAAGCCGGTGACAGTAGGTTCATATACCATTTGTTCCCTAAAGATCTTGGAGGCCATGAGCACCAGTAGTTTGAAATAGAGGCTTTTCGACCACCCCTATTGAATCCTCGATATATACCAACTTGATTAAAGCGCTGGAACTTCGCTTTTCATCCTCTCGATTTCGTAAACAATGTTAGGCAATTGGCCTTAGTCGATAGAAAACTGGATATTAGGTGTACCTGTAACGTCGGGCGAACTAATGCTCTCTGTGGGGTTGAAACCCGTGTCAACTAACCTCATTGTCTATAGTGTTCCCAATGAGACAGACAATCACTTTTCGTCCTCCTAATTTCGTAAGCAACAGTAATACCACTAGAAAGCAGTGAGTAGGACTTCTCTGGCGGAGGCTTTATACGAGTTGTCATATGAGAGCATTTCGAAAGAGAGAGAGATAGCTGACTCTCCCCATTCTCAACCGTACCAGAGCACTTGGGAACAATCTGAATATGTTGATCAATATGGTGGAGCCGATATCCCATGATCTAATTTGACAAAACTCGAAAAAATGTTTTGCAAACAAACTCCAGATCCAAAGTGATTTTTTCTGAGAGGCAAATAGAAGAGTAGAAAAAGAGTTTAAAGCCGAGAAAATCAATGCGATTACATAATCATACAGTTGGTCCAATCATGAATATACATTACTCCGAAAACTAATCATCTTTAACTAAACCAAATGCCTTCTAAGATGAAGGCGAAAGAAAAATGTTCTAAAATCAATCCTTATCAAAATAAATCGTGTGAATAAATTGCATAGTAGAAGGATTTTGTTGTATCTTAAACCCGGTTAATTATCACGTGATTCGCCAGTCGATGTACGACTTACACAATCTTAATACTGTGCCAAGCCAATGATGTTCGACCCGGTCTATGTCCAGCGTCCTCATTAGTCTTTTGTTCGCCTAACCTGTCCAATTGAGTCCAGAACGCTAATAACAGTTTCCACTTTCAAACACACTTGGTTTATATACCTGTCAAACAGGCCGCACCATACCATAAAATAGGAAATAACATTTGTAGAAGATTAAGCCAAAAAGTGGCTGTGAACGTGGGAGACATAAGTTAAGAACAGTAAGTCGTATAATAATAGTCTATAAATTAAAATAAAGCTTAAAATAAGAGGAATATGAATATACATAATTTAGTTACTGAATAACTATTCAGTCTATTAATAGTTTACAGAAGTTACCCGTAACTAATTCTTCACTTGGATATAAAACATTTCGTCTCGTTAATAGAGATGATAATAATGCCACTTGTATGTAATAGGCATTAAGAGAAGTATTCTCAAGGTAGTTATAATGGAAAATTTTTCGTGAATTTGGAAAGATGATAGGCTTTAAGATGTTACTTCTGGAGTTCTAATGAGAAGCCGTGATCAGTGAAGTCCAATCCGTGTCGAATGTGAGTCAGATATTCACCTCAAGTAATGGATGAAGGTTTGCTCAAGATCATGGATTGATGGAAGTTAAATAGTAACACCGATGGATGCCGACTCAGCGGTTTAGACGTTAAGTGTTCGCATTTGGAACCGTGGATACTCATTGCTGAGAAGGATGAGACGATTATCCAGTGCTTCCACAATTTCATTGATAGTCTAGCTTAGATCGACTCGTGATTTTAACTGTCAAAAGGTTAATTTGTTGTTATATGTATATTTTCTCTCTCAATTATTAGAAAACCTGAAGTGTTTATACATGTTTCTTTTTTTGCATCAAGGCAGTTGTGGTAAGCTAGCTTGAATGTTAATTGGTTGCTTAGTTTGTTAAGATTGTTTCTCTGAAATAAAGAAAACTAGAAGGGAATGGAGAAAAAAAGAGGCTCTGATATCTATGATTTTTATCTTCTTGGTTTTTGGTGTGCTAATCGCTGTAGCTTAAAAAAGAAATGCTTCTTTATTTAACTTATTCCGGTGTTTTTTTTCTCTGTTCTTATTTTTATATATTCTATGTCCTTCATTGTATATGTTTTTAACTTTGCTATGGTTATATATCATTTATGTTATACAAAAAGAGTATACCAAAAGATTTCGCTGAAACTCATCATTGTATACATCAAACAGTAAGACTCAACTTGGAACTTGGCACACTAGTATATCGGTTCAAGTTCCTATGCCTCATTAACACAGCGAGATGAAGTCGTTAGAGCAATACCAGAACAGTTGAGGCGATCACATTGTTAATAGTAATAGAAAAAGATTAGATAGGATAATGTTTTTCTTCGTGTATTGTTTATGTTTATCTAAGTAGTATTATCATTCCTGATAATCAATTGCTGTTTGGGATTTTGGTGACGCCGAAATTAAATTGAGTGTCAACTGTTGTTTTCAGCCTTCGTATGTTTGTTTTTCTTTTTAAACGTTTAACTACTTATAAGTAGATAAATAGTGAAATATAAATTTATATCAGTTTCAGTTTGGAAAGGACAGTAGGCTAGATGGCCTGTGTTCGTCCTGGCAATGTTGATCTCTCACTTGATCCAAATTTCCTTTAAAAGAGATGATGGATGAAGCCCCAACCACGTGCTGAGGTAATGAATTCCACTCGTTGATGATTCGATGGGAAAGTCGATAATCAGCTGACAAGTATTTTGTTCTGGGCTTGTGAACTTTTTGGAGTGTCCTCATAAATTCTGTTTTGGAAGACAAGAAAAATGAGGGCATATCATGTGCTAATTTATTACTAAGCAATTTGAAAACTAATCAATTCGTCTCTAGTTCTACGATATGACAACTGGAGTAGGTTTAGTTTGGCCAGTCTAGCATCATACGGAAGCTTCGCTATTCCGGGAATCAGCTTAGTTGCTGTTCTCTGAACTTTTTCCAGAAGCTCACTGTCTTTTTAAAGCAGGGGCTAGCCGCTTGTATGTGGTACTCAAGTTTAGGACGTACGAACTTTGTATACAAAGCCAAAAACGTTTTAGAGTCGACATGACTAAAAGCTCTACATATTGACCACAACGTTCTAAAACTTTTGACGGCTATTGCACGGCAGTGTGCAGTAGTCTTTAAGTCTTGGCTAACGATTACTTCCAAGTCATTATGGACGAAAGGTAGCTCAATGTTATTCGTCGTGTATGTATCTGTACTTTGATGACCGATATGCATCACAACACACTTGGAAGTATTTATCGGCAACTGCCAGGTTTGAGATCATTCAGATAATTTCTTCAGGTCATTTTGGGGTTCTAAGCTATCACCCTTACATCGTATTGTTTTCCATATCTTGAGATCGCCAGCACATAACAAGACCGGGGATGATAGAAGACGAGGAATGTCATTGACATACAAACAATGGCCCCAAAACTGTACCCTGGGGCACTTCACTAAACACAGTTACCCAGCTAGATAACTTTGAGTTCACCCGTACTCTTTGTTGGCGCCCAACTAAGAAGTCTTTTATCCACATCAATAGATTGCCTCCAATTCCGACATTTCTTAGCTTATATAGCAACCGGTTGTGAGGAACTTTGTCAAAAGCTTTGCTGAAATCAATGTAGGCTACGTCTAGAGGTAACTTTTGTTCCTTAAGAGCGCACCAGCTTTCACGAGCGACTAATAAGTTAGTGAGACAAGAACAACTTATTCTGAAACCGTGCCGCTTCTTCGAAAGGATCCAGTTTTCATCGAGGTACTTAAACAGCTCCTTTTGAATAATTTTTTCTAAGATTTCAACAACCACACTAGTTAGTCTAACGAGTCGGTAATTCTCAGGTTTATGTTTCGTATCTGTTTTGAAGACAGGACTAACTATGGCGTTCTTCCAATCTTTTGGTAAGTGACTCTACGTTACGGATAGATTAAAGCATATACTTAAAGGTTTCGCGACGAAGTTAGATAATTCCTTCAGTAGCCTAGAATGAAATTCATTGGGCCCCGTGGATTTACCTATGTCGTCGAGTTGCTTAATGGTCACGCTATCCACTAATGATGCGGCAGTGCTGTCTCTCCATAGTGCAGGAATATTTCCTCTTCTTTTTGTCCTTTGGTTTAGGACATTCCATGGATTCCCCAACAATTTTTTCTTCGTACAACTCTCTAGATGTTTTTAATTAATATAAATAGTGAATCAAAAATACTATAGATGTTTTCTGTATTCACTGAAAATAAATACGTTAACTAATAATTACATTACGATTGACGAATTCATTTTGTTTCACTGAACTTTCTATTTCCCTTTTATTAGAAATGTAAATTTTTCTGATGTATTTTTACATACCACTCTGTATGATGTTAGCTAGTATAGAGGTAAGTTGAAAGAAAGATAAAAGCGATCTAAACAAGATATGGAATCAGTCTATGAAGTCATTGAGCCTTGTTGATATCTACAAACTATCTAATCTAAGTTCATGCCATTATTATGAATAATAGATGAAGACTTTCAGTGATATCATTTAGAACATTCCAAAATGATACAGATCCATACATTGTTTATCTTTATTGAATAAATTATCTGATAAAAATGTTAATTTTAGTTTCTTAATCAAATTGGTTAACTACTAAATAGTTCTGTATTCTAATTCTTAAAAAGAACTCTATTCTTCAAGTATATAGAATAAAAGAGAGATCAGTTCTATGATTGATCTAAGTATTCAATCACTTTATCATGTGTTATGATGAAATTATTCTTTGTATTGTCACAGGTTAATTACAATGCAATTGCAATCGCTACACCGAAAGAAATTATTGAGTTAGATATTGAAAATCTTGTTCATTTACCATCATGGTATACTGATGAAGTTGAATACGATTTAGAATTAATGCGCAAGTAAGTATGATTTACAACAATGAAAAGTTTAGAAAATTTTGTTTTTCTACGGTCTAGTTTAGTTAGAGATCCATGCTTTCTAGATGATTCCTCAATTAGCTGTGTAAAATAAGACTGAAAATTCATAGGAGGTTATGCTGTTTGTAGCCGGCCCCCGAATGCCTTAGTACGGCTGAAAGTGGAGAGTCCGTTCTCCCTCTCCAAACGTTCTCACATGGCCACGCGTATATATTCTTTGCCAGGGAAGTCCTACTCACTGCCTTCTCGTTGCATTACTGTTGTTTACGAAATTAAGAGAACGAAAAGTGAATATCCGCTGCTACAACCGGGTTGGTGGATATGGAGAGTCCACCTAGGGGAGTTGCAAAACCCTCATTCCAAACCAATGGTGCACACTACCTCCAGTACTTTCAGGGAACAAATGGCGTATGAACCAATCGTTGGTCACCTGCTACCATGGGACTGCATCCTTACGTTTCTTCACTGCCTTCTGGATTAGACCTTTAGGTCAAAGGCTCTGGGTGTGACCCCCTAAGAAAACTACCTGCTTCAGTTTGGGCACCCAGGCAGTATCATAGCCCTCACACATATCGAATGAGATTTGTGTGGCGCATATGTATTTGGTGCCTCCTTGTACAAATATTTATGTGTTCAAATAAATAAATGTTTGTAGCCGAATGTTGATGTACACAATTCCCGCTCATATATATGGAAGATTATTGAATTGATCCAAACTGGAATATGCAGTTGGTGGGCTTGGCCTAATCTAAGATTCTTTAGTCTTACGATGAATGCCTATGCAATAGAACCACTAAGGGTTAGTGTCTAGTGGTATACATTTCCAACTTCAATCACTCTGCGATGTGGTATGATTATCATCTAAAAGATCTCTATAAACCCCTATATTTATTTAGAAATCACAGATATAACGATTAGACTGAAGTGATTACATTATTTGTTGTTCCTAATTCTGTTATCATTATTTTTCAGACCCCAATTACGTCGATACCCTGAAGGCGGGACTGATGATTTTATTGTATGTGATACAAATCCAACAAAAGTTGGTAGTAATGATCATCATTCGGAGGCTACAACATCAAATATAACATCTTCACCAGCCACACCCCTATCTACTGGTGATAGTAATCCTAGCGGTACACATGTGGTACGTTTGTAATTATAACGATGCAATATTTCGGTGTTGCGTTTTCTATGCTAGATAATCTAATTACGATGCTATCATTGTCATTCTAAATAACTTTGTCAGTACCTGCTTCATTTAGAAGCCAACTTTTTAGTTATTCGGGAAGTATTATATCAGTTTGCTCCGATGGCCTTGTTTATAATTGGTTTTCTTCATTTGTTCTCCTATTCATATCGATTATCTCTAGTCATATGATTGGTTGACTTTTTCCATTTGAATTCACAGATTTGGTGTATGTCAAAAAGCTCGTTGATTCTTAGTTGATCTCAATGGAACAGCTGAAAAGCTCACTTCTAAATAAAGTTCGGAACGATAATAAGATTTTCACAATCCAGTCATTTAGCTGAAAGAACGAAATACCACCAAAACATTTGCCTGAGTTGTAAATTTCTATCATTTCAAAATTACACAGTTTAGTTCGGTTGTTAAATGCTTTTGTAAACAAGGATTAACAATTGAATCCAGGATACATCTCTTATTTTATACGTCTTTATGAGTTGTCGCAGCGTAAATGTTACCCACTCACATACTCGTGATTATCGTACCCAATGGTTAGGGGCTTGGAATAACATGACTCAAAATCGTCCTCAGTGGCACAGATACTTTCATTTTTTTATCCTCCCCTGTATACGGAGTCCTGAAATCACCTTATGTACCTGTTTTTTTCTTTCTCTATACCTAGTCTTTACTACCACTACTGATACTGTTGATGCTTCTCGGGGATTTATCTTGAAATAAATTCATCTCTCTGTGATAATGTGATACGGCAATTTGAACCGACACAGATATGAGTTAGGTTGCGTATGAATAACTGACTGATATTTGAACTCATTACCCCCTGGTTTCAAACAGTGGTTGTGTGCACGTGGCTATGTGAGAGCATTTCGAGAGCGAGATAGGACTCTCCTTGCCCTCAGCTGTACCAGAGCATTTGGGTACATTAAGCGGTTAACGTGTGTAATTTGTAAGTTAAAAATAAAAAGTAGATAATGAGATTGTTTTATGTTTCCAGAAGGATACCTGATGTATCATATGTGTACTAGTCAAAGATATTAAATTTTTTTCGAGTTATGTTAACTTGTCATAGATTGGTTGATAGTTGAATAGGCGTGATTATAATTTATGGACGAAATAATGAGATATCGAGTCTTGGACTTCAACGTAAAATTCATTCATCCATATGGCCAAATTGTCATTTTGGCATTGTAGCTGATGTCAATTCATGATGATAACTCTAACTTTAATTCTTAATCCTAACTTCTAACTCTAAATCCCGATTCTGATTTCTCACACCAATTTATAGTCCTTTTTAAACCCTCTTAGTTAGGTGAATTTTCTCAAGGTTACTTTGGCGTTGCTATAGTCGTCTTACTTACGCCTGTTAATCCCAATCGAGCATAGGCTGCCGACCAGCATTCTCAAACCCACTCTGTCATGGGCCTTCTTTTCTAGTTATATCCAATTGTTGTTCATTCTTCTCATATCGGCCTCCGTTTCTCGGTGTGATGTGTTCTTTGTTCTTCCTCTTCTCCTGCGGCATTGTCTTATGACGCAATCGGGTGCTTTCCTCAGTGTATGCTATCCACTTCCAGCGCTTCTTCCTGATCTCTTCCTCCGCTGAGATCTGGTTTGTTCTATCCTACAGTAGATTGTAGTTGATAGTGTCTGGCCGATGGATCCCAAGTACTTTGCGTCGACAACTGTTAATAAACACTTGTATTTTATGGATGATGGCTTTCGTACTTCTTCAAGTTCCCACTCAATACAACAGAACTGTCTTGACATTTGTATTGAAAATTCTGAATTTGGTGTTAGTTGACAGACCGTTGTTTTTAGTTCCAGATTGTAGTTCCAATTGTAGATATGCTACCTTTACTTTGCCAGTCCGTGCCTTCACATCTGCATCAGATCCACCGTGTTCATTAATGATGCTGCCCAGATATGTTAAGGTTTTTACATCTTCCGAAGCTTCTCCGTCAAGTATGTTTCGATTGGTGCATGTTGTGTTGTATCAGAGAATCTTGCTTTTCCCTTTGTGTATGTTGAGACCTACTAATGCTGAGGCTGCTGCTACACTGGTCGTCTTCTCCTGCATTTGTTGTTGCGTGTGCGATAGAAGAGCCAGGCCGTCTATAAATAATAATTTCACCGTTTAAATATCCAATATAGGACGAGTCAATCGTATACACAATAGAATCGTTAATTGCTTGACCTAGATAATTAAGCATCTACTAATATTCCGAAGAAGTTGAATATTATTTCAAAAATATAATGTAATTATTACAAGTTGAATAATAATTGAGATGAGTTAAAAGTTTCAGCCAGTCACCATGAATAGTTTATCAGAATAACTTCAATCTGACTTACTAGTTTTTATTGAAATCACTTCTGATTTGTTCGATGTATCAATCTTTTTTTAAGGTGCTGGGTTTGATTCCCAATACAACACATCAACATTACCATCCAGGTTTACATCCAGTTGATGAATCTCAGACAAGACGAAACACACCCGGGATTCTACTGCCTGTTCAATCCAACTATTTTAAGAGACTTACAACAAGTTGGCTATATGTAAACAATATGCACATATTTCAACAAAGACTGATTAAAATTCAGTCTTTAATATCAGTAACCTGTTAGGTTCAAACCTCTACTAATAATGATATAAACATTAAAGCGGTTAAACAAGTTATTGTTTACCATAAATTTTTAACTCATTGGCGTTAAAAACTCATGGTACTGGGTTTTGTTTCCCAATGTACATCTAAACACTAGGATACATACGGAGGTGTAATTTTTTTCTGGTTAGCGTTTTTTGGGGTCGCTAACCCCATGCCCAACCCTTCTCCTTTATCCGGGCTTGGGACCGTCAGTAGCCCCAGGGGGAGTTATACAGAGGTGTATATTCAAATAATAAGTTTTGAGAAGAGCAAGAACGAAGATTGATGCAGTATATTGGCAACGTCTCTCAACGTAGACCCAAATGATAAGGGATCAAGTTTGTCGGGGGAGACTGGTTGTTTACCTTTGACCACCGATTCTGCACCAATCTACGTTCTTGCTCTGATTAAGATAATAAAGGGAACTATGTGTATGTAATAAGTTTTGAATCGGACAAAATACACGTACTTAGTTTCACTGCTAACCACAATTCATCTTTCTTACAAAATATACAGATATTGTTCTTTGTTTGCAATCTCTTTTCATTATTCCTTCAAATACTTTCATCTTTATACGTATGTATACATATGTATGTACAGTTTCGTAGTATAAACCTACATCCCCTACATGCAAATTTGGTCAATCTATCTAAACATGCATTGGAACGTAGCAGACGTTTAACTAGCACGGTATATCATTTTTATTTATTAATTAAATCCGTTTTTTAAAGGATATACACTCATATATGTATCTGTTATCCTATGCATGTACAAAACTGGTTTTGTCTCTTTGTTGTGAGTTATCAATTAGGGTGATGTTGTTTTTTTAGTTTGATTTTGTTTTTGTTATACTATTTGTCTTTCTGTAATTTTAATAAACCATGTATTAGATAATTACTGTCTGTAAAAGTATAGAATATTGACCATCTTCAGTTGACCAGTCATAATCAAGATAACACCTCATGTATTCTCGAAAACTAAAACGTGTGTGAATACACCCGTCCCTATCGCCTTGAGCCGAGGAGTGACCGGCGTTCATGTCTGCATTCGGACGTGCCGTTGAGGCAACTATATAGCTGTATCTGTTACTAGTCCTCGCTAAAATTTTGTCTGATATGAAGGCTACCTGGTTAAATGGTGCATCCTCGAGCAGGGCCGTCACTGTAGGTTGGATATGTGCTGGTAATGACTCGAGCCATAATTCTTTGACAATCTCATAGTCAGCTGTCGTGGGTCTTGCAAGAGATTGCAGGCGCGTGAGGTGGTGGCTTGGTTTAGCATCACCCAGAGAGTGACGTGCCAATAATGTTCTCAGTCTTTCATCCCTCGATGGGAGGAAATGTCTGAGAATTGCCTCTTTGAGGCGATCATAAGCATTGAGTACATTGGAATTGAGGGAAACCTCGCAGATAGCCACTATATGGTCCCCGGGTGATGATTCGATGGAGTAGGCATACTTTTGCCTTTGGCTCGTGATGCGGCGGGTCTCGAATTGAGACTCTAATGCGGCAAACCAGACCTCTGGGTCGTGGGGAATAAATGAGAAAGGTCGAAATTGGATGGCCTGTACGTCTGAGTCTATGACATTAATACTATTCTTGTCGCTATCCGTCATGTCGAGTATATTATATATTGAAAAATATTAATATGAAAATGTACGACAGACGTGGATAGATAAACGATAGACTCACTGAGTTGACTTCTTTGGAAGATTTGACGAGAGGTTGGGACGTGTTCCAAGATTTGGCTCACCAGTTGTTGCGTGGAGTCGAGTTTCGATTGATTATGAACACCACTACAAGAAAGCGCGTACCAGAGAAATCAGAAGGTGAAGATGGAGCGTAACCAGATTCATTTCGTTGCCGATCTCGTGGTATCGAGCGAATACTGAGATCGTGCCAAAAGGAATACAAGCGAAATTAGTGGGCGAGAGTACAAGCGTACAAGGTCACAATCCACAGGAAAGTAATGGAGTAGTAATATGGCTGTCTTTAACACAGCTAAACATACGAGCGCAGTAAAATAATCACTGGTACAATTGGCTATGCTAATGATTGTTTCCACTGAACCCGTCGCGTTCTCTTGATAAAAGTAGGTCACTACAGAGTAATCAAAAGTGTTTAGTGAAGCTAAATAATGTCTTCTTTTTCTTACTCTTACTCTAAATCTCAACCCTAAGTAAACAGGAAAGTAACAACTTGTTACATGATAACTGATATCAGTTCGTGTTAAAAACCCTGACCTAAATTGCTAAACTCAACTGTGAAAACTTCAGTTCAACTGTTAATACCTAAACCTTAACCTTTTTGTATTATAACCGATATCAGTTAGTGACAAATACTCTATAGGATGATAACCCTAACTCCTAATATATATACTTGACTTTCCTCTTTTACTACAAAAAGAATAATAATTTGACTTGTGAGAGTTAATCATCAGTGTAGCGTATACTTTTAACATTACTGTCATATATTCAATTGTTTTCTTTTATTAAGTTTAAAAATGATTTTAGTAATGGTGTACAGTGAAAATGCATCAATTATCATCAACATACTTTCATGTATCCAATGTGTGGTTGTTGTTTATTAGATGTTGTTTTAGCCCTGTCTAATAAAATCGTTGTCGTTATGTTTTTTTACTTCTTAACACACTACTACTATTACTACTTAATATGGTTTTTTTTTCCTTTTGTCTGTTGGCACAGATATTAAAACGAACTTTGCCCGCTGTTTATAGTTTAACTTCGCATCCAACATTGCCATATTGTAAGTTCAGTTATGTATAATGGTCATTATTGTCGCTTTTATTATTATTATTGTTATCTGTGGATTGCATCTATCACAGTCAGTCAATCAGTCAGTGAAGACGTGAAACTTCTTACGTACGTACATCAGTTCAAGTTACCATACCACATTAGCACAGAGATACAATTGTCGATTCAAATCCCATAGTGGTAGAGGTAGTAAAAGTATAAGCAGTAATCAGAAACATTAGGGTTTGAAGATGTTATTCAAGGAGTATAATCCAGTGAAATAAATTTAGTAAGAGCAAAAATAAGAGACATGAAGAATCCAAAAGATTAAAATTAGGGAGAACACAAAGAGTGAATGCACCAACGCCGTTGCAAATGATTTTGAGCCATGTCATTCAGGGTGTCTAACCATCGGTTGCTATCGTCTCGCGGTCCCCAACCAGGTAGTCTACACCTACTAACATGACTCAGTCTACTTGTCAGTGACTTCATGGATTTGGGCCACGTTCTAGTCTGACCGTCCCTAGCTTTCTTCCAACCTACTCCTACATCATGAAACATTGCACGTCGAGACAGTCGGTGGTTGGGCATACGTAACTTGTGTCCCAGCCATCTCAACTGGTGAAGTTTCACTACTTTATCGATTGATTTGCCATCCTTACCTAGTACCCGTTTCCTAATAACTGCATTACTTACTCGATGGTCCCAGGATATACGAGCAATGCTTCGAAGACAGATCGAACTCATTTTGAAGTATCATTGAAAAATATAGAGCACTGGATAGATTTTATATCCTAGTGTGTAACTCATCGGCAGTGTGCACTTCATTAAGGATGAGACCAAAAAATTTCCGATTTCGTGATGAACGCTTAATCATTATAAAACCCACTGAATTGGCATCATTATTTCTTTTGAGAAATTTAAAAATATTCCTTAGAAAAGTCCATATGGGTCCACAAAAAATCTTGGAAACACTTTGTCCAATCAGCGTTTAACAGAAGCCTCTCAGAAACATCCAGAAAGTGAAGAATCACGTGTCATTTTTCTTCTACCATGTTTATTATGGTTCCAGAAACCTTTAGTAGCTCAATATCATGTGGAACTCTACAAATACCCTCGTTTTTCTGTACATAAACTAAGCTTGGAGTAAAGCGTCGTTTCCATACTTCATGCCTTTTCTCTTGTGTTAGATTCCCCGTTTAGATTTAGCCTGTAGTTATTACAAGCGGGTAGAAAATCAGATCGTCCGTTAATTTAGCGAAACTTATCAACTTCATTACTGTTCTTATGATTTTTATTTAATATCTGTGGTTAAAATTGTTAAAATGGAATAGTTTTTATTTCCTCCGATAAATCTAAACTAAATAAGAATATCAAGACTAGCCCCCAAACGCCCTGGTACGGCTGAGGGTGAGTAGAGCCTTATCTCCCTCTCAAAATGCTGTTATATGACCACATTTATATAACCATGGCCAGGGAAGTACTACTCACTGCCTTCTCGCTGCGGAGATATTGCTTACGAAATTGAGAGGACGAAAAGCGAATATTTGACACTTTAACTAGGATCCACCTAAGGGAGTTAAAAAACCCTCATTCCATACCAATGATCCACGTGGCCTCTAGGATCGTTTAACTAAAAAGCTTTCATTATTGTCATCAGAGCTTCCCTCATATAGAAATGTGTTGTTCACTTAATCCTGTAAGTGTTAAATCAGTCTATTTTGATGACTTTGTCTTGGAATCGTTGTTTTCGGATGGTTTATAATCTTCATTGTCTTCATATTCTTGTTTAAAAGTTTTGTTTTGTCGATTTCTGGCCATATGATTGATTCATATTTTCCATATATGTTAATATATAGAGTTCATGTGTTATAGGGTCTATTTATTTATTTTGTTATTTTATTTAAACACATAAACATTGCTACGAGGCGCCAAATACATATGCGTTACATAAATCATTCGGTTTGTGTGAGGGCTGGAATACTGCGCGGGTGTCCAAACCGAAGCTGATGGTTTTCTTAGTGAGCCACAACCCGAGCCTTTGATCTAAAGGTTCTAATCTACAAAGCAGTGGAGAAACGTTAGGAGATGCAGTCCTATGGCAGTTTGTGACCAACAGTAGATTCGTATACCATTTGTTTCCTTAGAATCCTGGAGTTCACGTACAATATTGGTTTGGAATTGAGTTTTCTATCTCTTTTAGGTGGATCCTCTATATTCACCAACCCAGTTAAAGCTCTGGACATTCGCTTTTCTTCCTTTCAATTTCGTCTATTGATAACAAATTGACGTAAACTTCATGCTTTCAAAAACTTTACAGGATTTCTTTAAATTCCATTGTTATTATTATATATTTTAGATCTATGTGGAACAGGTACCGGTTCAGTGCATATGTTCGAATGGTCAACTCCAGTACCAGTTGTTGCTGGATTTACAAATACTTATAGTTTAACAACTGCTGGTATGTTAGGACAATTTCCAGCTGGTTCAAGAGGTGCACGTGTAACAGCATTACAATTTGATGATAGTGGATATCGTGTAAGTGTGTTTATAATGTTGTAACATTATGTTGCAAATACTTCTCTTTTTCCATATAATTTTTTTTCTCTCGCTGTATAGTTTACTACTTAACAAATTTGTAAGTAGTCAGTTTAATAATAGTCTCAGAGATAATAAGAAATCAGAATTTATCAAAAAAAAATTAAAAGATATTTTCACAGATTTAAATCATGAGTCAGTTGAAGCTAGACCACCATTGAAAACCTGGAAGCACTGGACGGCCGTTTCGTCCTAGTATGGGACTCAATAATGATATCTTTAACCGTGCATGAATTCCCTTTTTAAACGTTCTCTGAACTAGTTCTTTTGACCCTGTAGATTTGTCTGAAAAATTATTCCGGCAGCGCTGTGTGACCATAGTTGATTATATGTTTTAAGTTTGAGCTGTTTAATAACTAAATAAGAAGAGATTCAGTCAAATGAGTAAGCTTATGTAGGTGATATTTGATAAAGATTTATCTCAAAGTATCGTTGGAAACCAAGGAGCATTGAACAGTGTTTCGTCTTAGTATGAGACGTTTTTAGAGTTTAAACCCAGTAATCGCCCCAATCATTAGACACCTGATTTAATATTCACTCTTACAGATTTCCAACTTCAATTAAGTAGTGTTATGATGCGCCAACTGACACTCTTAAAATTTCTAAACTCCACTGATTATTACTTTTCAGTAGACCTGCAGGAACGCATCTTGAAGTAAGTTACTAGGAGTAAGCACCCGATTATAGTTTCGATGTGTTCTTTAAAATTACACTGATAATAATCTGTTGAAAATAGTAAAGTTGTCAGAATGAGGCTTGTGGAAATTATAGTAATTTAATGGTAGAATTCATGAGTTGTTTTAGACTAGTCTACCCTGGAAAACCTGGAAGCACTGAACAGCCGTTTCGTCTTGGTATGGGACTCTTCAAGGTGGTCTGTTTTAAACCGATTCATGAATTCAACCATTAAATTACCACAATGTCCTCAAACCCTCATTCTAACAATGATTCATATGTGTTTACTAGTGACTGGCTTCAAGATGTGTTTCCTAGAGCTCTATTGCGTAGACGTGACCAGTGGAGTCAAACCGTGTCTGTTGTGAGACAGTTAATCACTGAAAACAGTGGTAGACAGTCGCGCAACGTCGTGGATCGTTTTTGAAGTTAGACACTAAAACCGTTGGATGCCAGCTTAGTAGTTCAGAGGTTAAGCGTTTGCGCGCGAGATCGAAGGTCCAGGACAAAGAATGTTGAACAGTGGTCTACGCTCCATTGAGAGTAACAGGCGTAAGGAAGCTGTTTTTCTTCAAGCTTTGGTTTCATGTGTATCTCAATCGTGAGATTAGACACTTCAGAAGATTTAACATTACCTTTCATGTACGTTTAACTGTTCAGGAATTAGATAAATTAATGTTAACTTTATAATTATCATGTTATGTTTCATCTACTTTAGATGTTCTCTTTCTTTTTTTTCTTTCTACTCATTGCTACTTCTCTTCATCATTAATATGTTACGTAATCTATTCTATTTATGTCTAATTTGACATCTTGTATCGATCAAGTTTGGTTGTGGAGATTCTGAAGGAAATTTCGGTTTATGGAATTTATATTCAACTATGCCAGGCAAATTACCATATTTTGTAAGTAGTTTAGTCATACATTCCGGATACTTGTAGTAATTTAACTCGTGTTATCTAATAACTTTAATAATCATTATTCTATTTTTGTCAGTAAAGGGTTGTGAAGATTGTTGAATTTCATTGATATTATGAGGCCTAGAGGTTAAGTATTCACGTGTGAAATCGAAGGTCCTGGTGGTTTGGTTCCCGCGTGTAGAGCTGTAGATGCGCATTGCTGAATAGTAGTCCCGTACTTGGAAGAAACGGCCGTACAGCACTTCCAAGTTGTCAATGATAGTCTCACCTCAATCGTTTGATGATTTCAATAAATTTTAGCTCATATAATTATTACTTGGTCAGTTGTGATCAACACAGAATTCGACATAAATGTACTGAGTCAACCCAAGTTACAATCGGACATCTTGTCATGATAAGGTGTAATTTCAACAAGAAAAACAATAAAGGTGTTGAATTAATCTCAGGAGCAATGATAATGAAAAACATTAACTATTAAGAATATGGTTCATAAAAAGGTGTGTGTGAAGAGGAATACTGGAACCTGTAATCTTGAGGGAACTGGTACTCCCTGGCGGATTTGATCCCGTGTCACCCAACTCCACAGACACACATGACATTGATCACCACCCAGTGACCAGTCAATTGTGATTACATCTCAGTCCTACAGGAGGTCGGTCGTGGTCCGGATAGCCAAGTGGTAACGTCTCTGACTGTAAAGCTGGATGACATGGGATCAAACCCATCAGGGATCACCAGTTCTCTCAAGCTGACAGGTACACCTTGTTCACGAGTGCCAAGTAGCACGAAACCCGGGTCCAGGGTTTCCTGCTAACTACCTCCAATCATCATCTTATCTCAACATAGTGCACACAATGTCGAGTCACTTAGACTAGTGGCCACATTGCAACTTGGTCGATAGCATTTAATCTGCACTAAGAAGGACTCGACACAAATGACATTGATCACCACCCGTTGATCAACCAATTATGAAAAGCTTTAACGGATACTTCGAATTTTTCATAATGATAAATGCATTTTGTTTTGGTTAATATTTGTAACAATATAATTTAGGGTGTGTATGTCATCCTCAAGGTATCCGGTCAACAATAACCCTGTCTATATCCTAATAGAGACTGTACAGATATTGTTTTGAATATCAACAATAGGAAAGTTCAAGTACTTATAGCTCATAATAAAATATCATGCTCGTTAAAAAAGTTGTTGGCTATCTGAACTCAGTGGTCCATCGGATAACTCATAAATATTTAAGGCGTTGGGTAAAAAATTTGTATCTCACTGCATACTTCAAGAGTCTGGTATCCGGGTACATCACCAGCTAACAAAATATGGATCGTGAATTTCACTTCCAATCACTGTATAAAATACAATATGCAACTTAAGCTTTCATACTTTGAGTTAAAAGCATGTGCTTTTTGTTCTACATCACTCTTTATAACTGATTGACCACTAAGTATTGAGAAACCAATGTGTTGTTGTCTAGTCCTCTTGATCGAATTCTATCAATCAGTTTGTAATTTAGCCTCTATTCTAAATTATTCAACATTGCGTGCATTATGTAGAGATTCTAGGTGGTTAGGGCAGACCGGTAGGAAACCTCTCTTGAACTTAGTTCTATACTGGTTGGTGCTCATGACAGAAAGGCGTACCTGCTATCTTTAGAAAACTGATGCTCGCCGATGGATTCAAACCTGTATCATCCATCTTCATAATGTCTGGGACGTTACCACTGAGCCACTGTTTAGCTAACGCATGACCTTCCGTAGACTGTGATATTTTTATTATTGATTGGTCACTGAGTGGTGAGTGATCAGTGTCATGTTTCTTTTCTACTACGCTTTTCCGAATGTCCTATTGTTTATCCATCGTAGCTTGACCATTCATTCTTTCTCTCCCATTCTTGTATTATAGCGTTGTCGTTGCCATGCAAAAGGTTTAGCAGATTTCTGTTTCCTTGGCTGTAGTAGTCTAATAGCTACAGTTGGCAATGGCGGGATGACTACAACAACTACACATATTGTCAGTGGAATAGATGTCAGTGGGGCTGGTGTAGGTGGCATTGGTAGTGGTCTTAGTTATGGCGGCGGCAATAGTGGTATTGGTGGGCCAACACACTACACTTCTGCCAATATCATAGGTAGTAGTAGCAGCAGCGGCGGAGGTGGTGGCATCAGTTATTTCGGGGGAACTGTTAATACAGATCAAGATGCATCACATTTAACACTATGGGATACTTTATTACCAGCGAATCGATGTGGTGTTATTCGTAAGTAATTCTTTTTTACTTTCATCCATTTATTATACTTATATTATTTTACTAATAAATGAAATTAACCAATTCTTTGGTTGTTAAACCACCATAGAGCAGAATGTTTTGGTTTGCCCAACTGAATGGAACAAAGATTATTCTATCTTTTTTTTACTGAAAAGAGACTTGTCATTACAGTCAATTGTCCAGTTAGAGGTAAACACCAAATTATTTAATTTGGTTAGCGTTTTTTTAGCAAGGTTATTTTCCACGAGATGGGGTTGCTTATCCTATGCCTAACCCTCCTCCATTACCCAAGTTTTGGACCGGTAGTGCAACCCTAGAAGAGCTACAGGCGGAGTTAAACATTAAATACCTGAAAGTATAAATAAAGCAAATACAAAGAGGTATTGTAATTTTTTTAGTTAGCTATATAATATAACATACCCTTGTGGGCCAGGGTAATTGTACATTGGTTTTCAAGAGAACCAGACACCATCCAGACCCTCACGTGACAACCCAAACAGTACAGCTCAATCCTGTTTAACAAGAGAGCCAGACACCGCCCAGGCTTAAAATTTGTAGCCCAAATAGTACGGTCCAATCCCGCTTCACAGGAGAACCAGACACCGTACAGGCTTTAACGCTACAATCTGAATAGTACAGCTCAATCCTGTGGCGCAACCACACAGGTACCAAGCACGCTGGTGGACCATTCGCACCATTCATATACACATTGACATCATATGTTTAGTTGTTCCTATCAATGATCGCGTGAATCAATTATGCACAGCACGAATAGGCCAAAGTTGACCTATTCCGCTTACACGACAGTCAAACTCATTAACGTTAGCAATGATGACATGCCTTACAATGTCCCAATGGCAACGGCCTTTGAGAACACTGAAAATCAACCACCAGTATGGGTGAAATCGGTTAACCAGCGAACTAATTTTGTTCATGAACAGTCAGCAAAACTTGCCAAAGTAATACCGAACTACCCACAATATCAATGGCGAACCTCTAGTCTCATATGAGACCTTCAGGTCTACATAGCCAGGGTCTGAAAAGTCGGAAAAATGGAAACTTCACAAATGTGATAAAAATGATCTTGGTGATCTTGTAATAGTATTCCGACACGAGACAATCGGTTTTGAGCGTTATTTAAGCCCTAGCGCTTCAGATTGTGCTATTTCGTTTACTACCCTACATATAATGTTTTAGTACAATTCAATATTTCTTAATATTACCGAACACTTACTTAGGTATAAACCATTAAGTTGACATAAGAAAGCAAAGGATGCATTCATTTTGTTGATAATTGTCATTCACTTCAAAACTTATTCTATTCAAGGAGTAACCCCTTCACATAAACTAAAGTAGTTTTAATAAAAAGTATATGTCACCATTATGACGGTGCCAATGTAGTTAAAATAAAATTTGGTTCATATTTTTAGTATTATTACTTACTTACACCTGTTACTTCCAATGGATCATAGGCCACCGATCAACATTCTCCAACCCACTCTATCATGGGCATTCCTTTCTAGTTCTATCCAATTTTTGTTCATTTTCTCCACCTGGAGCCCCTCTGGGGCTATTGCCGGTCCAAAGCTCGGATAAAAGAGGAGGGTTGGGCATGGGGTTAGCGTCCCCATCCCGTAAAAAACTAACTCGCTAAAAAAACGCTAACCAGAAAAAATTATTCAAACCACTTTCAGTATAATAATCAGTTCTTAATTTAGCTTTGAAATGGTTGCTTACTGCTTATCAGTATATTCAGTTTTTAAACAATAGGATTCACGCTAAAAAATCTGTTGCGAATACCTGATTTACTGTATGGACGCAGATAGTATTATCGTAATCGCTACACAACTGGTGAGTACATATGTGATATGTGCTACTTATACTGGTCAATATAAGTAGTAGAATTCCTACTGACAAATGAGGAAAATGAAAAGAGCAACCACAACTGAGAGTGTTATAACTTATGACCTAATTCCCCTATCAATATATGACTTAATGATACCTCCAACTACAGAACAGTGATTTATCGGCCGGACCAACGACGCATTTGTTTGTTGGTGTGTGTATTACCACATTAAGGAGTCCTAAACTAAGATAGGAAAGCTTTCCCATGATTCTCTATTGTTATTTAGATGTCAGCTATTATTATATTCAAACATATATATTGTTGATTAGATAATCACGTAAACATTTCTCCTTTTCTACTTCACCTATTTACGCTAAGGTGTTCTTGACCCAGAATTGGATGCTCCATGCACATCAATTGCTTACTGTGGATCACTTACAAACACCAATAGTTGGCCGTCCAATACAAACATTTATTCTAGTAACAATATTATAAATTCACTAACTATGGGAGCTAATTCAAAACGACTCTTCACTAATAATGATAGAACCGTTATTGTTGGTACTAAAAATGGTGATATATGTACTGTGGATATGCGAAATCCAAAAGTATTGCATAAATTCTCAGCTCATGATGCACCAATAAGAACATTATGTATTGATTCAGCAACTGATTGTTTAGTTACTGGTGGAGCGGATGGAATTGTTAAAGTATGTTTAATAAATTGTTTGTTGATATTCAACTATCTCTTATTGTATGAATTTGATTAAATGATATCAATCCATGGGAAAAAATGAGTTTAGTACTGTTATAGTTTGTACTCAGAATCATACAGTAGACTCAAAATATTACCAAATTCAGCTTTCGATGGTGGGATGTAATCGACAAGAAATATTGCGCTACTTGCCACATAGCCAGGCATATGTGCTTTCTTGATAGAACTGATACCTTGCCGTGAGATTTGGACCCACATCAATAAGTGTTATAGTTACAGGCAGTACCACTAAGCTTTGTGCTCAAGGTCTTGGTTTCCCAAAACCACTCTCAAAACAGTTTGCTTTTCAGTTCCATTGAAAGGAAGCAGTCTATCATGGTGTATGGAACCAGGAGACGACCATCACTCATACACACTTTTAGTAATACTCCAGATCATGTTATTAACGATCAAGCACTCTCATAACTTGTTAATTTTGCTTCTGTCCCCATTATAAACGCTTCTCCCATGACTTTATATTTATCTTCACATACCATTAGTTATCGATAAATACGCTTACCGGAGTCTATGTTGCTAATAACTGGTCAGATAGGCTGACACACTTCTGAACTATCAAAAACAAAATAACTGCATCCTAGTTCCAGATCATATTGATGATTTGTTTGAAAACCGGCATAATGGATGGTTTAGAATGTTTTTTCTCCCAGGTATACTACGGTAATGCGTTAGTATGATGATATATATCACATCCAGGATTCATGACTCAGAATAGAGAACCAAATTAACACTACATAATACCTTATTCCACACAATTATAAGCAGTTATGCTCAGTGAGTTCGGACTACAAATCAATAAGTGGGAAGGAAATCACATATTTAATAGCCAGTAGGCGAAGTGTTTGGTTGTCCGCGCTCACTGCCCAATCATATTTTGATTTCATTTACACATATCAAAAACCAAATCTACTAAGCACAGTGGTTTTTACCCTACAACTAGAAACTGCTTAACCAAGTTAGTAGTATATTACTATTTCATCAGTAAAACATGTCAAATTTTTCTTCATTATTCTTTCAGATATGGAGGCTATCTGAACGAGAATTATTGACTAGTTTCTGTGGTGACCTGCACCCAAGTCGTGGTGCAGCAGCTGTCGCCGCCGCCGCTCTATTCAGAGGCAATCAATCAGCAGCTATAATTGCTGCTACTAATCCAGGTATTTCAGATATTCGTCTATTGCCAACGGTTACAGGAGCAGCATTGATTCATGTCAATAACGGTAATAATAATAATGACAGTAATTCTACTAAAAATAATGATTGTTCGACAAATCTAAATAACCAAATGCCTATTACACACTCTTCTCATGATCAGAAATGTTCAATGACTGCCGCATCAACAGCTTGTCGATTTTTAAGTTGTGGTGCTGATGGTGGGCTACGTATGCGTTCATTAGTTGTTCGACCAAAACCTTCTATAGTTTGTTAATGGAAGAATTAGATAGAAGAATGAAAAACATAAAGCATAATATTATATACTTCATATTATTTATCTTACCTTATTACTTATTGAAAGCATTCCATACTCATTACACTTATACTACTTATTGTTATGCTTACTTATAATCATATGATTTTGTTACACTTTTCATCTATTTATATGCGAGTGTGCATTGTTATCCTTTAAATTTAGCCAAATAAACTGAATAATCTATGCACCAAATATTATTATCTTAATTATTTTAGAAAAAATAAAAAACATTCTGCAAGTTTATGATGACTAATGATGATAATTAGAAAATGAATTCTGTAGAAGAAAGCCAGGGGCTGCCTGATCAAAACATGGTAACAATTTACTGACTGTTGAACTGAGTCAAGTTGTTGGGTACTGACTACCAGGTTAAGATCTGCGTGATTATCGTAGCCAATAAGTGGCATGGGTCAGAATCGCTCGCCAAAACTCAGACTTATATACTCTTTACTCTTTCCTAGATTTTGAGCTCTAAAATACTACTTTCTATTCTACAATTTTGTTCTTGTTCCTTAGATAACATTTTTTTATGGCTAGTCTTTCATATTACCACTGATACTGCTTTCATTTCAAATACTCTGGTATTTATCTTTATAATTCCATTTAACTGTGCTGATCTAATGTAACAATTCGAACCCATCATATATGTTCCAGGTTCTACGTTTCATATAACTAATTGTTGATTTTTGAGTAGAAGTATGTAGCCGTCATATCTACTTCCATTAATCTGTACAACCTTGGGGAAAAAAACAAATTTTCCTTTCAATTTTCAAACTAGGGTGTCTTTCAGTATCAAAATGGGAGAGGCTATTATTAGGAAGTGATCTAGTGGTACACTAGTAATTTTGACAATAATGAAATAAATATAATGATTAACTGGTTGATAATTATGCTGTATCAACCTCAACCAATAGAGCTTGATGTCAGCCATCTGATATTTCATATAACATTGTGATCCCATGTATTTGTGTTTAGAAAAAGTCTTATTTCAACAGCTGTAAATAGTAAAAGATTCCTCACTAATGTATATTAACCTCATGTTTGTACTAAAAATTAGTATATCAAAAGCGAACATTAATAAGATGAAAAGCAAAGAATTTGGTATCATAACATGAGTGACCGTAGTGAAAGACCAAACATAAAACATATACTTTAATAGTAACGGACAAGGTCGTGGGACAGAACACAAAAATGGAAGATAAAGGATGAAAGCAACTGCATCAAAGCAATCCGACTTCCAGTTATGCTGCCGAAATCTACCATAGATAATAAAAAATTAGATTTCCGAAGGCAAGAGATATTCTACATATGAACATAAACTATATCTAGTGTTGCTTTATTTATTTTATTTAAACACATAGATATTGGTACAAGGAGGCACCAAATACATATGCGCCACACAAATCTCATTCGATATGTGTGAGGGCTATGATACTGCCTGGGTGCCCAAACCGAAGCAGGTGGCTTTCTTAGGGAGCCACACCCCGAGCCTTCGACCTGAAGGTCTGATCCACAAGGCAGTGGAGCATCGTAAGGAGATGCAGTCCCATGGAAGCCAGTGACCAACAATTGGTTCATACGCCATTTGTTCCATCAGGATACTGGGGCCCATGTGCACCATTGATTTGGAATCCGGTTAAAGCGCCGGACATTCGCTTTTCATCCTTTCATTTTTGTAAACAACACCCCCGCCACGAGAAGTCAGTGAGCAGGACTTCCCTGGCAGAGGGCCATATGAGAGCATTTCGAGAGGTAGAACGGACTATCTCCACTCTCGGCCATACCAGGGCGTTTAATTAATTCTAACCCCTACAGTATATCCGATTTCTTAATTTATTTACCAAGGAAGTATTGTTTTACCACAATAAGAATATAATTCTTCAACCATCAAAGCGTGTAACAACGATTCAGAAAGATGACAAGCAAGTAACAAAGTAATCAAAAGACGAAGACCGACAGGGTAATTATATTATTATAAAAGGCTTTAGGTGGTTAGACGCAGTCGACAGTAAACTCCGGACTTAGTTCTCGTGCTACATGACACTTGCCAGCAAGCGATACGATGAGGTAAGAGTTAAGCCTGATAGTTAGGCACTAATTCTATTGAAATTAATGATCTATAGTTGCCACATCCTTTAATCGTTCGTTTTTTTTTCAATGACTTTTAAACATGTTAATCTTTGTATCCAACATTTTACCACTAAACCAGACCACAACGAAAACCTTTACACCGTTTGTACATGTGATAAGATCACTAAGAAAACGACATTCAAACTAGGTACATACGATGTAAAACAAACGCGATATATCCGTACTGACTAATCAAGATGTACAGACCAAAATGTAGAATGAACATAGTTTCTCCATAATCTACATCAAAGCACCATTAAGTAAGAAACAATATTATGAATGTCATCCATTGTTTTACTATTTAGGACATCATAGTCGGCATATACATATCAAAATTGCGTCACATGTAAGCTTAACAGTGAGTTGTAGAAGTGTTGACATAAGAATGATACATAGTGTGAATTATTCACCGGACAAAGGTAGACGGCTAAGTGGATAATGTATATTAGTCACTATATAGAAGCCCCCGAATGCCGTGATACGCCCAAGGGTAGGGAGAGTTAGTTCTCCTCGAAATGCTCTCACATGGCCACGCGTATACAACCACTGTCAAGGAAGTACTATTCACTGCCTTCTCATGGAAAGCGTGTTGCTTACGAAAGTGAGAGGACAAAAAGCAAATAGTCGATACTTTAACCGGGTTGGTGGATATAGAGAATCCACCTAAGAGAGTTAGAAAACGCTGATTCCAAACCAATGATGCATGTGGGATCCAGGATCCTAAAGAAACAAAAGGCGTATAAACCTACTGTTAGTCGCCGGTTACCATGGGACTGCATCTCCTAATGTTGCTCCCCCGCCTTGTGGATTAGACCTCTAGGCCAATGACTTAAGGAGTGGCCCCTTATGGAAATCAGCTATTCCTGTTTGGGCATCCATGCAGTATTCCAGTCCTCACACAAATCGAATGATTTATGTGGCGCATATCTATTTGGTGCCTTTTTGTACTAATGTTTATGTGTTTAAATAGATAATAAATACATAAAAAGTACAGAATAATTTTAGATTTTATTGTTCAGTTTTAATATTTCAGAATATTTATCTTCCGATTCAGTTGAATTAAGAGTAAGCCTTGAGAATCGAGGCATAGAACATATCACACAAGTGTAAAACTTATCCTGAAGTGTATTTAACAAAAGCGTACATTACTAATTATTTATTTGAACATATAAATATTGGTACAAGCGGGTACCAAATATATATGCGCCACACAAAACAACGAGAATGGGAAGAGAGAAAAAAGAGCGTAAAAGAAAAAAAGAAGAACAATAACGACAAGATTAGTGTAAGGCAGTGTAATAATAATAATAATAATAATAATAATAATAATAATAATAATAATAATAATAATAATAATAATAATTGGGGAGACGGAAAGGTACAACTAGGAGAATTCTTTCAGTTAAGGAAGATACAACCATGTTTCATGATGAAAGTAAAAAAACGTTACAGCAAAATCGCCATTGGCTTCTATTCTGAGCCATAGCTGATAACATCTCTAGCCAATGTGTTACACCATCTCTCGGACCCAAACCAGGGAGTCGAGAAGGACCAACAAAAGCCAGCCCTTTGAAACTCTTTTTCATACCACGACACTATGTCATACACTGACAACCTCTCCGCTTTTTCCAGCCAGTCCCAGAGTCGGCAAATAATGCACGACGTGGAATTCTCTGGGACGACATTCGTAGAACATGTCCAAGCCACCGAAGTCGATGTTCCAAGATAGTAACACCAATTGGATTATCGCCTGTGCGCCCGAACACACGATGCCGAACCTCTGTATTACTAACATGGTGTTGCCACTGGATGTCAGCAATCCTTTGGAGACAGCGATGATCGAACACAGAGAGTCGTCTAACGTCCTCAACTCGGAGGCCAGGTTTCACAAGCATAGAGCAAAACTGCTCTCACCGACGCGTTGTAGATCCGACCTTTTACAGCCAGACTAACATCACGAAGGCGCCAAAGGTGGCCCAGATTGGCATAAGCCGCTCTGGCTTTCACTATACGTGCATTGATCTCATCACTCACACCCCCACCAGCACTTATGCAGCTACCCAGATATACGAACTTCTCGACTACTTCTATCTGCTCACCATCCAGGGTGAGTACAGGATTGGAATCCTGCCAGTCTTGTAGAAGTACTTTGCACTTCGAAGGTGCAAAGCACATACCATACCTACGGACACTGATTGCCAACTGATTAAGTGCGGATTGTATGGCTTGGGCATTATCGCACAGTAAGACAATATCATCCGCATACTCGAAGTCGAGAAGTCTTTCTCCAGGCAGCGGATCCACACAGCCATTACTTACTTCCATCAGAGCTGTTTCCAGAATGTCATTCATGGCAAAGTTGAAGAGGATTGGTGTGATTAGACAACCCATGTCTAACCCCACTTCGTGAATGTAACAATGGAGAAAGGTGGTTGTATGCCCTCACTCTACCTGAGGTGTTCGTATATAGGGCCTTTAGGATGTTAATGAACTTCTCAGGCACACCCTTCTTCAATAGACAATCCCAGAGAACAGTCCTATCCAACGAATCGAAGGCAGTCCTAATGCCAAGAAACACTACGATTGTTGGCCTTTGATAAGTATGACAGTGTTCCAACATTTGGCGGAGGGTGAACATATGATCAACACATCCTTGACCAAAATGAAAACCAGCCTGCTCCTCGCCAGTCAATCTTTCTCAGGTTTTGAACAACCTACGAAGTATGACGGAAGCCAATAGCTTTGACGCAATCGAAAGTAGACTTGTCCCCCGATACTTGTTACAACAACGATGTGAACCATTTTTAAATATAAGGACAACTATCGATTCATTCCATGACGTTGATACACTCTCTAGTTCCCAGAACTTTGTAAACAACTTCGTCAATTCCTTAGCCAGAAAGTAATCATCATCTTTAAAAAGAGCCGGGGGTAAGTCATCTGGACCCCGTGATTTGTAGCGCTTCAAGAGTTGGAGTTCCTTGCGAACTTTCGCCTCATTTGGTGGATCAGTCGTCACCGGCAATAGAGGGCAGGACAGTCTGACCGATGTTGCCGGAGCAGCAGGCCAGTTGAACTGCCCTTCGAAAAATTCTGCCCATCGTCCAAGACGTCGATGGATGTTAGTGATTGGCATCCCATCATCCTCGCAGATTGTTTCACTCACACCAGACTTCTTGCTGCCAGTGGCTCGGATGAGCTGGAAGAGCTTCCGGTAGTTACCAGATGCAGCTGCTGCTTCCATCTCATTAGCACGCTCCGACCACCAGGCTTCTCGGTCCTTACGCAAGCTTTGCCCAATTTCCCTACGTAACATCCTTCGTTTATGGTCAAACTCACGGTCACCCGGAGTCGACCGACGGGTTCGATACTTACTAGCAACAGAAGTTGCAAGCAGCTTGCTAACATCAATCCATTGGTGGCGGTCACTTCGTTGTCCACTGAAAAGTAAGGTAAGATTGGCGCAGACCAAGGCATGGTCAGAGTCCAGATAGGTACTCCAAAAGGAGCGGCAGTTTTGTACACAACCACGCCAGCGGTAGCTGATCGCGATGTCATCAATCTGAGTCCAGGCGTGGGATGCAGAAGGAGGACGCCAGGTGGCATATCGGCGATGACTGTGCGGAAAGTTAGTGCTAGCCAGAAACAGGTTGTGGTCTGTGCACAGTTGCAGTAGACGGTCCTCGTTATCTGTCCTGCGACCAACGAGTCCCCATCGGCCACCTAAAAGACTCTCTTCTGTGCCTAGACGCCCGACCTGAACATTCAAGTCTTCGGCTAGTACTACAATATCTATCGAACGTACTTCCTGGAGAACAGTTTAGTGGTGGTAGAATTCACCTTTCATTGCATCCGGGGCATAGGCGGAGATGACGAAAAATCATCGCTTCTGAGGCCGATTTTTATCACTTTGATGGAGCTCTCTAGTCTAACAGCACATAACCGACTGTTAATGGGGTCCGACCGATTAGTGCTGCCCCCAAATGCCCTGGCATGGCCGAGAGTGGGATGAGCCCTCCCGCCCTCTCGAGATGCTCTCACATGGCCACGCGTATATAGCCTCTGCCAGGGAAGTCCTACTCACTGACTTCTCGTGGCGGGGGTGTTGTTTACAAAAATGAAAGGATAAAAAGCGAATGTCCGGTGCTTTAACCGAATTCCAAATCAATGGTGCACATGGGCCCAGTATCCTGAGGGGATAAATGGCGTATGAACCAATTTTCGGCCACCGGCTTCCATAGGACTGTATCTCCTCACGATGCTCCATTGCCTTGTGGGTCAGACCTTTAGGTCAGAGCCTCGAGGTGTGGCCCCCTAAGAAAACCACCTGCTTCGGTCTGGGTACCCGGGCAGTATCACAGCCCACACACTAATAAAATGAAAATGACGATATTTACTGACAACAAAAGCATACAACAGAGACGTTAATCACTAAGATGTAATGTATATTTATGTACATGGATTATTGAAAAAAACTTATCAGCAACTTTAAAAAATATTTCATACCCAATAAATCCAGTCATCATTTGGTCATACATAAAAACGAATCAATGTTCGGAACAAGAAAAGATAAGTAGATAGTAAAATACTATGACTCCTAAATCTAAGCATTGTTTCCTCATCATTAGCACACCATAGATTGTTAGCAGATACATGTCATTTCTGCATTTGAGAAGAACAAAACAGATCGAAGAAGGCATACATGGAATTGAGATGTCAAAAAACTGATGAGAAAATTATTAACAACGGATGGCAGTTCCTATAGCCATAAACATGCCAAATGTACCTCCACCTTGAAACATGCCTTTGCCGACCGTTTGAATCAATTCACGTCCACGTAAACCGTATCTACAAAAAATATAGACAAAAATCTTCAGTATACACCGTTAATATATATTTTTCATAGGTTTCGACAATGAAATCATGTCAGTTTGTTCCATATTATCCCCAACAGTCATAGCCAAAGTTGTTATTATTATTATTATTATTATTATTATTATTATTATTATTATCTAAGCACATGAACATTGGTACAATGAGGCACCGAACACATATGTGCCACAAAAAATCGTTCGATTTGTGTGAGGGCTGGAATACTGCACGGGTGCCCAAACCGAAGCAGATGGTTTTCTTAGGGAGCCACAATCCGAGCCTTTGACCCAAAGGTCTAATCCACATGGCAGTGGAGCAACGTTAGGAGATGCAGTCTCATAGCAGCCGGTGACCAACAATAGGTTCATACACCATTTTCCTCAAGATCCTGGAGCCCATGTTGGTTTGGAATCAGGGTTTTCTAACTCTTTTAGGTAGATCCTTCGTATCAACGAACCTGGTTAAAGCACCGGACATTCGCTTTTGATCCTTTCAATTTCGTAAACAACCCCCCGGCTACGAGAAGGCAGCGAATAGGACTTCCCTGGCAGTAGTTATGTCAGATAATGTCAGAGCATTTTGAGAGAGAGAGAGAGAACTCTCTCCACTCTCGGCCGTCAAAGGCATTTGAACCTGGTAAGTGCATTAGTAAAAGTTTTTAAATATAACGTTAGCCCGAACGGAACTAACAAGCGAGATAAGTAGCATAAGTAAGAATACAGCATTCAAACAAAAAGATACGATTATGAACAAGTGTAGGTAGGTATGCCAATTTCCTTTCACCCAAAGAGGTGAGAAGCGAACCTTACGATTTTTACTTGCCAAGGCATGAGGTGATATAAATTATATGATGGTATTCTGGGAAACTGGTGTTTCAATAAGTCTACTCTAGTTTAATTTTCTAGAAAACTAAAGAAAGTTTGTTATTCCACGAAAATTTCACTGATAAACACCAGTAACAGTAGAGAATTTGGTCTTGAAAAACCTTACCTCAAACAACTGAATCCGCCGAATATAGCACCAGTTGCTACACCAACACAGAACCCCATTAAAAATCCAAACTTTACTTTGGCTAAACACGATGGTTGGGAAACGCCCCGATAAGTATTTGGAGCAATCGGCATCGCTACGAGTATATGATCTGCGAGAAAAATTTGTACTAAGCATTATTGCTTGAAAAGTCAGTAATAAAGTATGACGAAAAAACCTCAACAAAACGTTCAAACCTTTTTCCTAAAGTTTACTGAATTCGAGAAGACCGTGGACAAGCACAGACTTAAAATTAATCTAACCCCTAACCCCATGGGGTTAGTTCAAATGGTTGTGGACGGAATAGAAGAAGCTTTCGCTTAACAGGCTTCCGTATCTAGTAGCAGGGGATCACCAAATTCTCTAGGCAGGAACCTAGGTATGTTAACAATAAAAGAGGAAAAGAAATTGGTAAATCATAGTGTGATACTGTAGTTGGTCCTTAAGAATAGGTCAGGTTGCCTCTTGAAGGACTCCTGAGAAGTCGCTTGGACTAGCTCGGCCGGCAGCGAATTCCAGCATTTGACAACTCTTAAGGAGAAGTTGTGTCTACACTCCGTCTTACTATGTTGAGTTTCCAGTTTCTGGGTGTTACCCCTTAGGTTATTATTCGAACTAAGCTTAAGTAGGTGTTTAAGAGGATGTCCAGAAGTGTTAAGAATACTATAAGCCATTAATAAATCACCTCTAAGACGCCTATACTCTAATGGGTAAAGGTCTAGTGAATGGAGGCGTTCTTCGTAAGGCTTAGATTTGAGTCCTCGAACTGATTTCGTGGCTCGCCGTTGGATACGCTCTAAAGTGACCTTGTCCTTTTGGAGTGAGGGGGGAGTACTATGATTCCGTACTCTAAATGGGGACGGATAAAACTATTGAAGATTGTATGGAAAGTTCTTCCGTCAAACTAGCCAAAAATGTGCTTCAACGTTACCAGTGCAAGGTTTGCTCGGAAGGCATTTTTGTCACAGTTAGCGTAAGACTTTAAATCATGGGGCACCAGGACTCCTAAATCTTTTTCGACTTGGGACATTACTAGAGAGGAGTTTCCTAAGTTGTAACTGTAGTTTGCGACATGTCGCAGATGGACTACTTTACACTTTGAAGTGTTATAGGTAAGTCCGTTATCGTCTGCCCAACTTTGAAGTCGAGTCAGATCCTCCTGCATTGTCCTAATCTATCTTTATCATGACACATCGAAAAACAGGGATAGGTTAGAATTAGAATTATAAACTTAGAGTCCATCCATAGGGGTCTGAAATTGTTCTGAAGTTAAGATTTAATCACAAGTTGTATCACTAAATATACTACTGATGGAATCCTTAGTTTGGTGGATATTTTTCCAAGACCATAAAGCGTAAAAGACTGTTTCTACATGAATCAAGGGATGTTTATGCATCCAAACTCACCAAACTACAGCTTATTGGAGCAAGAGCTAACCCGATATGAGAACAATGTGGACTAATGACCCTCAACAGTCAAAATTCCCCGTCTTTCAGTATCCAATAACTTTCGGAAGAGTAAGTGTAAATCATGTAATTTCTTTTGCTCCTTAATGATTGTTACAATTGAATTCCAGTACTTTCCAAGTGCCTTCATTGGGACCCCAGTAGTTCTGGTTGATTCAGCAGTAATTTGTGGATTTGTGTATCTTGAAATCTGAGTGTTCATTTCAAAACAGTAAGAGTTCCTGAACCAGTTATGAGGTTGGTGTGTTGTTTGAACGAACTAATGATACTATTGTACTGGTTTATTGTACGATTTCGAATTCCAAATACAGTACATTCGGTTGTGCCTGTGTCTTCTTAATTCAATTGCGTTATTTCTTGGACTCTTAGTTCGTGCTATAATTCAAATAATTCGAAACATTATAGTTGGTTGATCCCACTGTGAAAAATCTTAAAAGAAACGATCAGACTGAGAGAGAGCTAAGGGAAGACGATGGTCAGGTGAAATAAACAGATTGATCTATTAATCCTTAAATTCTTGATTCCGAGGTATAGGACACCCGGAGATAAGTGAAGTTCGGTTGGTAAACCACATCATCGCAATCGTCGTTACAAGGATTAAGTTCGGTAGTTGCTTTTGTAAACGTATTTTCTCGTTTAATCACTAATCAGCCCCATCAGTTCCTTCAGCAGTACTGGAAAAGTGCATCTGGTCAGTAACAAGCTAGCTTTCCCTCTAATCCCTCTGGAAATTTCAGGGAGAATAGATTGTTATCATACTTCTGTCTGTCACCGTTATTGTTGTTATTGACATAACAAGCACATGTCAGTATATTGGCACCCTCTGTGTATTGCCTCAGGATCATGGAGCAGATTTTGCAATATCCAACGAAATTCCTGGCCGAAACGGTTCCATTTTTTTAACTTACCTGAGATTTAGATGAACCTTTTCCAAACCATCACCTAATACTAGAACGGAAAGATATAACTAGCCAGTAAGCCCCCAGTTTGTTTGAGTGACGAAATAAGTAATAAAGATTCTTTCGTTTTCAGGCTGTTTAGATCCCCGAGTATCTGTTTGAGAGCACAGGCCTCCTTTTCTTATAGGCTTCCATGTTGACATGGATCTGAAACAGCAAAAAGTAAGTGATTAGGAATCAATTATTAGCCTGCTGACAAAGTAAGATCTTTGGTGCTAGACGTTTGCAAAGTAGTTCCTTATTTGGCTGCAATTAAACGCAACGCAATTTCGTAAATGTGCCCTTCAGCCTAGCAACCAATCAGAATGAGGCGGGAATTATTATATCCGCCATCTTTGTAGGCTATGGCGGCCGGCCTTCTTCATTCTGTGCTTCTTCCAGCTATTTCTTTTGTGTGGTTATGTGATTTAATGTTTCAGCGTGCTTAAATGCAGAAGTTAATGTGATTTTCTAAATGTTGGAACGAAATTTTCTTCTGATTTAGCTTTGTTTTCTGGGTTTTTGCTGCTGCTAATCAAGTCAATGTATTTCTTCAGCCAAGCTGGCTAGTCTTATGTTTTATAATGGTAATCGGTTTTGTTTTGACTTGTTTTTTTAGATATCCAAAGCCGGATTTCGTTTCTCTAGCTAAAATAATTGTTGCCGCTGCCTGTGACTCTAACTGTTCGAATGTTCGTTCCTAACAGTCCTTTATGATGTTATCGGCAAAATGAAAGAAAATAATCAACGGTTTTTAATTCTCTTCAGTATTATGGACAACACTATCCCCTCAACGAGTCAAACTAATACTGAGTGCTTAGCAGCAGTTGATATCAGCACTGTTTTCGGAAGGACCCAGACTTCCGACAACCATAAACGAAATCACAGATACTACCAATCTATTGAAGAGGGTTTGTTATTAAAAATATGTCATATATCAGTAATAGAGGGGTTGTACTCATTACGTAGTGCGTTAAAGCAAGCCTAACATTGAAAAGCCGGAAATCTGCTATCAGTGTGTAGTGCATGTTTGCTGTTTTGGTCATAAAAGGAAGCCAAAGGGTCATGATCAGGGAGTAAAAAGGTAATTAACTGTTATCAAGCTTACATTTTTATAGATCATATTTCACCACACGCAAATCTGTGTTTTTTTTTACGTATGACATCAACCTGTATCTAATATTTTCACCCTTACGATGAAAAGTACCTGGAAATTCTCACCTTCATATTCGAATTATTTTTGGACAACTGCCTTCCAGTTTGATTGCTTCGTACGCCCTGGGAGACTAGATTCATACATTATTCGTAGTTCCAGTATAACTTTCTCACACAGTAAGTTCAAATTAGACACTAGTCTTTCTAAATAAGCCTGTAAAGCTAATATCCGCATTCTCTATTTCAGTTAATCGATGAAGACATGTACCACGTGCATCTGCTGTATATTGCCATTTCACTCGAATTCTAACTGTTATATCTTTTAAAAAATAAAATAAATGTATGCAGTAAATATAGACTTATTTGTTTTGATGGAGATAGGGGGGTTCATGGGATTTTTAGCATGACTGTAGTAATATTCTCACTAAAGGGCTAAGCGAGTGCGTAGACTAATGTAAGTTACCACACAGGGTGCCTTTGAGTTACTCGTGTTCCATTAGTGTGGGTAGAAGCATTACTTATCATATGACATTTGAGTGAGAAGCTATGATATTAGACACGGGGACGGTTAGGATGTGTAACGCGTGTCCATCCATCAGCTACCCTGGCAAATCATGGTGCCTAGAATAAGTTGTAAGAGGACCCTAGTCTGTAGGTTTCCCAAGAAAATGACGAAAATATGCACCAAATCACCTTATGAAGAGCGTCTCCAATCACTTGACCTCTACCCATTAGAGTATAAGCGTCTTAGAGGTGACCTGATGGTTTACAGTATCCTTAACACTTCTGGACATTCTCTTAAGCACTTACTAATGCTTAGTCTCAACACTAACCTAAGGTGTAACACCCAGAAACAAAAAACGCAACATAGCAGAACGGACTGTAGACGCAACTTCTATTCCTTAGGAGTTGTCAAGTGCTGGAATTCGATGCCCGCCGAGCTAGTCCAAGCGACTTCCCGTGAGTTTTTTAAGAGGCAACTGGATGTATTCTTGAGGATAGTATCATACTATGATTTGCCAATTTCTTTTCCTTCTTTTATTGTTAACATACCTAGGTTCCTGCCTGGAGGTTTTGGTGATCCCCTTCTACTAGACACGGAAGCCTATTAAGCGAAAGCTTCTATTCAGTCCACATCCATTCGAAGACATGAACTAGGTTCTGAGGCTTGCTTATCACAAGTTTCTTGCAACGATTAAGTAGATAAAACAAAGTAGCATTAGATTCAAAAATTTATTCAAGAACTTTCATTAAGAATCGAATATCAAACAAAGGTTTAAACCAAGTTCCCGTTTAAAGGTTGTATTGGTGATGTTAAGCTGCAGTTTTTTTCCAAACGGAAGACTAAAAGAAGTCAAAAAATACTAGAAGTGGTTGTGGGACTAAAATAGACGTCCAGCATCCTTTTTATAATCTGCTGTTAGTTGGGTCTCCCGTAAACAGTTTCATAGTTCTAAGGGTGAAACAGTTTTTTAGAATCTGTGAAGACTCACTCCTGTTGCATTCTAAATGAGAAAATAGTAATGAATTTAGTCAGAAATGTGAAATAGACAAATAAATAAATTACATGGCTTTTAGCAAAGAATTTATGCAGTTGTGATTTACTTTGAGTTCATGAATATTAGATAAGGTCAGTTACTATTACTTGTGCAAAGCATAACATGGGCTTAGTACCGTATTGCAATGCTTTTATTATTTTGCTCCCATTTAAGTATTCCCATGCACCTGTGTCTAGTTTAACAGGAAGAGATACAAGCAGAGTAAGTGTCTGATAAAATAAAAATCCCAGTTGTCAAAGAGATTCTAAACATTTGTTCATAGCCAGCTGCATTTAATTGAGAAACAGAACACTCATCTTCTAAGACTGTATACTGCTGTTTTGCGGGCAACTGAAAGCTCAGACGCTTAGCTATCTTGCTACCGATGTTATTGCTTGGGAAATTGTTTAATGACAGTGATCATGAAATATGGTCAGTGATAAATGTACAGTCTAGAAATAAACACCAAACATACTTATCGCTATCTTATAATATATGACAGCAACTGCATCAAAGGCACGTTTTTCCTATTTTTAATCAGACTGATCTGAATCAGTATACTCATTAAAAGCAGGCAACTCTACTTACTAAACTGATCTGTTTCGTTACAGGCTTCAAGCACTATACTTAAGAATAACATAATTCTTTCAACTAAACTGAATTATACGACAACCAAGAATACTAAACTAAGCAAGTGCCATAATTATTGTTTCATTTGCACAGACATGTTGCTCAAAGTAGTTAAATGGACATAATTAGGCCAATAAAACCAAAGCACGAAATATAGGCCATATGAACCTACCTTACAGAAGATAAAGAATACATATATTGCTTTCCGACTGAAGACAGCAGTCAGTTAATCAAAGAAACATAGTTTACAGTACAACAAAACTTTCTTCAGTAAAATCATGCACTAACAGTCTATCTGGAAACAATCAACTATGTGAATTAACTCACTATGACTTGGGATAGCATCTCAGCATGCAGTAAACGTATAGTGTAACGCAGTCGAACATGCAGAATAAAAATTAAAAAAAGAGCAAAATTAGCTACATAATCTAGTCATTTAATTAAAAATACATTATGAAATAACAAAATCTGTGGTTACTTGAACGCACAAATGACCGTTATTACGTTGGACGATACATTAAGTTTACATGGTTGCGTTGCGGATAAGATCACCCCCTTATTTCATGCTAGAATCATATTTCTTATATTCCTTGACTGAATGCTGACATATTTTTGTGCATGGCAGCTTCTTGTGTTGTACTGCATTTGTAGAACTATGGTCTACTATGATATTAGTACTGCTCTAATAATAGACCTAATCCTAAATTTGTAGATTTGTCATGATATAACTGCCTAATCCATAAGATCTTACGTGGAAGTCACACCATCGACTACACCAACTCACTGTATCGTATCAATTACCAATACATGATGTAGAACAAGGTTAGGCTAGAGAAAGAACAATATATT